CTTCCAGCATGCGTATGACGAGTATGCAGCTGCTGCAGAGGAGAACGCTCGTCAAGAGCCCGAGAAGCCCCGTGCTTCTGAGTCGCAGAATAAGACCGGCTTCCTTGATGAAGTGTGCGCAGTTCTGCAGCCCTCACAAGCAACCGTTGCATCTGTCTTGCGACGGAACGAAGCTGAGCAGTATCTTGCGGGCGAAGGCGGTGCGGTTGAGCCGCATAGTACTATTCTGACCTGGTGGAAGGTGAGCTGTCCTTGCTTTTGTACAAATCTTGTGACTGACTCCAACTCTTTAGGAGCACGCAGGTGCATTTCCCATCATAAGCCGTATGGCGCGCGACTTTCTGGCCATTCCCGCAACAAGCGTGTCAGTGGAACGACTGTTTTCGGCGTCTCGACACTTGTGTACCGATCTTCGCTCCTCTTTCCGGGCACAGACTGTCACAGAGGCTATGTGCGTCAAGCAATGGATTCGCGCAGGCCTTCTGGAAGTTATTCCGGCACGATCCTCAAAGAAAAAGTGATTGTACATATTAACTGTTTGTTTACTGTTTATAAACTGTTTATAAACGTTTATAACCGTTTACTGTGTGTTTACAAAAAAATTTTAAACGTAAACTAAACGGTTGGAGCCTTACGTTCGATAGCTTTGATTTACCCAAAAATGTACGTCAGGAATTCAAAAATATTCCCATTAGCCGACTTGAACGACTGACCTCGTCATTACTAGTGACGCGCTCTACCAACTGAGCTAAACGGGACTTACTATGCGGGGATAATGAAATTATATAATACAATCAGCAGCCGTCTATTGCAACCTTCGTTCCTTTAATTCTCGAAATCATTTTTCTGTTCCTGCACCTCGCCGAGTTGTCAGTGCATCCCTACGCTGGCTCCCTCGAACGTCCTGCGGAGCCTCAAGCCAGGCGACCAATTACTCTCCTTTGGTCGCGTTCGCTCCGTTTCGACCGTCTCTTTGTCTCGTCTGGTCGGCTTTCCCTGTTGCATTGCTACCGCTCCCTCGACCCTCCAGCAACTTTGGGCTTCTTCTAGTCTATCTGGAATCCAACAGTATGGTACAGAAATATTTGCATCTGCGACCGCTGTAGCTGCTGCCCGCGACTTCTTCACACCTCATCCGAGATTTGACTGGCGGCCGCGTGCTCGTTCGCAGCTGAAGTCAAGTACAGTATCTGCTTCTCAAGTAACTAGACTTGACGGCTCTTCTGCGAAGAGAAAGGCAATGCGTGCTGCTCCATCACACATTGATCTTTACGAGGGAGAGCCATTCTTCGAGGAGATGAAGACGTACCCGGAGCAGTACGTTCGCCGTCTGTTTGCCATATACGTATCCTAACACGGCGCAGCTTCTTACCCCTAATAGAGTATGAACAACAGTCGGACGAGGCAATACTACGAGAACGACTAAGCACCTGGTCATTAGAGAGATTGCAACAAGAAGGCTACTGCATAACAGACCTATCCGCCTACTGGCTTGACCCTGGTTCTACGAACTCAGGGATGGGACGGTTTGTAGCGAGCTTTTTCTTGGGTCCAGGAATCACCCTCCCTGCTGAACATCGCTTTGAGTAAACTATCTTACTTCACATGTGGTATCAGGCTCTGATACCTTCATTCATAGGCGCGGGACGCAAGTCCTCGCAACGCATCTCGACCCATTGCGGGAAGTGCCTCAAAGGGGGAGCGTCCTCAGCTTCACAGAAACCCAATTAAGAATATCATTCCAGGAGAAGTTCAGCCTTGGCAATGGACAGCCTTGGAGGTACGCTTGAGTATACTTCACGGTACGTTCCCACTAAACCGTCGTTGCAGGCTTGACGTGACATCCTCTGCCCTTGCATATCAGCGCATGAGAGCTGCCATTCAACGTCTGAATTATGATCCTGCTCAGCAATTCCGCGATTCAATCGTTGTTTCACATCGCCACTCTCCTCTATCACCGTCCGTCAGCGAGCCGAGTGATAGAGAAATCATTCTTCATGGATCGTACCTCCGAGACTTATTACTGCGTGGCTTTCGCTCGCCCATATCTCCGACCCCTATCACTTCGTTTTGCCCACAACCGAACATGTTCACGCCAGATGCTCATCTCACTTCATGGGCGCGACGCTATGCTAGGCCAAACCCCGTCGTTATACCGGGAGACCCGGACTTGAAGACGCGAGGGTTGAACGATACGCAGATCAGGGCTGTAGCCATCATGCTTGGCGGCATGTCTGGGCCCATCCCTAAGCCACCACCCTCTAGTGAAGAGGACATCTCCGTCAGCGACGAGGGGCGTTATGGTCTAGATCATACCGTAATGCCCCGCGAGGGCGAGCGACGCATGGCTCTTGTCTTGGGTCCTCCTGGAACCGGCAAGACGAAGACGATTATTGAAGCCGTCCGGCTGCTAAAGCAGCATTTTGCCATCCCCTATCCTGTGCTTCTCTGTACCTACACGAACGTCGCAGTCGACAACCTGGTTGAAGGCCTCGTCCGACAGACATCACACGTCGAGCTTCCGGGACGAGCGAAGCCAGCACCCCCACAACTTCTTCGCGTCGGTTCTCCGGGCAAGGTCCGGCCGTCGCTTGAGCGGTACACCCTTGAGGCTCAGGTGGCGGTTCATGCACTAGCGCCTAAGCTCGAGAAGTTGAGTGAGCGAGCCACCGAGCTTGCCAGGAAGATCAAGGACCTCTCGACGAAGATCGGCGAAACCCACGCGAAAATGGGCTCCTCAAATTCTGTATCGACGCCTATGCACGACGTACATGAACAAGGTGTATCACTTGCGACTGTCAACGTCGTCGGTCAGGGTATCGGCAGCGGGCGCACCGGTGGTCGGGCGAAGGGCTTACAAGGGCGGTTAGAGGCGATGGAGGCGGACAAGCTGTTCCTCGAGAGGCAGCGTGCAGGCTGCGACAAGAAACACTACGCCGTCTGGCGAGACATATTGACAGACGTGGTATCCAGGGCTGACATCGTCTGCACGACGTGCATCTCTTCAGCGTCGTCTGCGCTCGACGTTGTTGATTTTCCCCTCGTATTCATCGACGAGGCAAGTATGTCGACAGAGCCTGCATCGCTCATACCACTGATGAAAGGCGTAAGCCCTTTTATGCTCTGTTGCTCTATATCACTCTCATGTCTCTATCTAGTCACAGCACGTCGCTTTCATTGGGGATCACAAACAACTGCCGCCCGTCATCACGAGCCCGGAAGCTCAAGCAGGGGGCCTTGGTGTGTCGCTATTTGAACGACTATCCGAGGAGAACTGTAAGTGTTCTCAGCCAGCAGATTCTTTACCTAATTCTGACGGTCACATCAGTCCTTCCGTCGATTATGCTCGACATCCAGTATCGTATGCATCCAACAATCTCTTGCTTCCCTTCGCATGAGTTCTACGATCGTGAGCTGCGCGACGGCACTGTCGACGAGACCGGTAAGGTCGTGCCAGGCCTCGTTCCTCCTGAGTCGAGAATTTATCAAGAGCTGCAAACATCACTGAGAGCCTCGTCGGCGGGATTGAATACTAACCTCAGGCATCTCGGCGCGGATGGTCGGCCGTCGGTTGTGTTCCTCGACCATGTCGGTGCCGAGAGCGCGAAGGACCGGAGCCGTGTCAACTGGAACGAAGTACACATCGTCTGTAGTCTCGTAGAGGATCTCATGCTCCGGAATCCATTGCTACCTGGCAGTCAGATCGGCATCATTGCGCCCTACGCTGCGCAGATCACCCTCCTCACGCGGCTGCTCACAATCGACAAAAATTATGCAGAGCGATTCGAGAGCGTGCTCGGCCCGCAACGCGCGATGGACCTCGCGAACGTCGAGATCAAGACCGTTGACGGCTTCGAGGGCCGCGAGAAGGAGGTCATAATCTTTTCAACCGTGCGCAACAACTCGAACGGCCACATTGGCTTCCTCGCAGACAGGCGGCGGCTCAACGTTGGCCTTACACGCGCGAAGCGCGGGTTGTTCGTCGTCGGGAGCATCAGTACGCTCAAAATTGGCAAGGGCAGGATCTACGCCGCGCAGGCGGCGGGTGTCGAGGGCATCGAAGCGGCCGAGGATCTCAAAGTACCCAGCGAGGACGGAAAGGACGCTACGGCAGTGGCAGCGTCCCCTGCGACTGCGCCGGTGAAGAAGAGGAAGAGAGCGTCGAAAACGAGCAAAGGAGCCGAGGCATGGCATAACTACATGGCGTTCCTTCAGCGCGAACAGCTCGTCGTGAGGCTCAACGGCGACCGGCTCCAGAGGCTGCTGCGAGGCAACGTTGAGGAGGTCATCGGCCTAGAGGAAATGTATCTGAGAATGCAGGAGCTTGAGAATGCGCGGTTGCTAATGGGGGTTTAGATTGCATTTGTTTATCTTGTCTTGTCGTTCCCGTTGCTGTTCAGTCGATGCTTTCGTTTGCTTAGGTAGATCGCACGCATAATGTACTCGTAGTGCACTCTAGACAACATCATCCCAACTTAGTGCTCATTCTTATCACGTCATGATGGACTGCCCTTACCTCAGGAGACTTATTCTTAAAATGCCAATGACGACCTGAGCTGCGGCGCGCACGACGCCATAGAGACACCACAACAGTGTGGACCGTTCATTCTCTGTCATATTCGACGCTAGGCGTACACGGTGTACAACAAGTACTCGGATAAAACGGAAACCAGAAACAGTGCCAACGACTGTACGCGTGCGGCAAGCGAGACAGAAGGGTAGAAGAAGTAGCAACAACAAGATACGCCTGGTGCGGCAAGCCAGCAGCAGCGCGACAATAAACGTGCCATGCAAGAGGCAACAGTAAGAAAACTATCAATCGAAGTACCACTACCGAGCTTACAAAGCCAAATCGAGTGTAATATAGATATAGATATACCAAGGGCGAAGAGCAGGAAGAGGGAAGACAGAGGCGATGATGAGATTCCAGGAGAAAATACAGTGAATGCATCCACATGTGTCCTTTCGTTTTCCGCCACGGCGATCCGCAAAGTGTAGAGTAGGTGCGCAAGGGTCGGGCGTGGCGGAGGCTTGGGGGAGCGGGCGGGAAGGCGCAGCGCGAAAGCCGTTTCCGAGAGAGAAGTAACCGTACCAATAGTACCGATATTACCAATATATGACGAGCCTCCTATAAATACCAACCGTAAATAGACAACTGACTACTGGACGGCGGCGTCAACACACAGCGCGGCGGGCACGAGGGGGCGGGAAACACGTACTATTATTGTGTTTTTGACGGGTGCCGCCGCCGCGGGAGGCGCCGGACTCAAGCCGTCACGAGCGACAGCCCACTCGCGAGGCGTCCGGCGAGCTCCGCGAAGCATTCGCTGTGGATGGGTGCGTACGGCCGGAGCGTCTTGCTCTCCTCGCCGTCCATCTTCCAGATGCTCTCCTGGCTCGTGCTCCCGCTCGGGTGGGCGCCGTAGACGCGACGGCCGGCGCTTGCGCGCGTTGCGCCGCCGGGCGCGCGGAACCGCGGCTCCGTCTCCGCGCCGCCAGGGACGTCGAAGCCCAAGTCGTACGCGCCGTCGTCGAAGGACAGGTCCGCGCTCGACGTCGACGTCGCGGGCGACGAGTGCACGGGCGACGCGGCGTGGATGACGTCCTGCAGACACGACGGCAGGAACGCCGCCGTCGGGCTGGGCACGCGTGACAAGCAGCCGCCGTACGACGAGCGTGTCGGGCTCGAGCTGCGCGAGGTGTGGTGCGCTGACGTCTGGTATATCGGGCGCTGTGCCATGCCGTGCGAGTACTGCCGCACTGCGGCGGCCTCGCATTGCTGCCGGAGTTGCTGGTGCTGTTGGTACTGCATGTGGAGATCTAGCTGCGAGCGCGAGCGCGATGCGGGCAGCGGGCTGGCGGCAGCGGGACCGCAGTTGAAATGGTTGCCGAGGCTGGTGAGCTGCGCGTGGCGAGGGAGCCGGGACGGGAAGGGCGACGCGCTGTTATGCATCATGGAGCTCACCGAGTTGAGAGGCGCCGACGCGCGGCGCTGGAGCGTGTGCTGGAGCGTGTCTTCCGTCTGGTCGAGCAGGTTCGTGAGGAGCGCGATGCGCTCAGCCTGCACGGCCTGCGAGATGGAGTCGCCGTTGCCCTCCGCGTCTGCGCGGAGACGTCAGCGAGCGATAGGGAGGCACAAAACCGACGGCACTCACATGGGTAACAGGTCTGGCAGACCTTGCGGCGGCGCCAGTTCAGATAGTGGCACTTGGAGCAGACCCAGTCGCCGGGCTGCTTCTCAGCGGCGCCCTTGTTGCCGGTGTTGACGACGGGCGGGTACTAGCAGGCCGGGCCATCAACTTCACGAGCGGACATGGACACAAAAGCAACCACGCACCTGAATGACTGCAGACCCCGACGGGCGGATCTGTCCTCTCTCGGGCAGGGGCTCGTTACCGGGCCAGTACATGATGCACGGCGCGCTAGGGTCGGCCGAGATGTTGCGCACGCGTCCGCCAGCGCTAAGCGCGTGGCCTGAGGGCGTGAGCAGTGGGTAGCTCGGCACGGCCGGTTTGAGGTTGAGTGTGAGCGGACCAAGGATCGTCGGGCTCTGCGACGGGCTCGGGTTGCGCGAGTTCGGCAGCGAGCCGTGGTACCGCGCGGGGGGTGCGAGCGGTGGGAGTGGAGGCAACGAGCGGCGTTGGCGCTGTGGCCCTTCGTGCTGGGCCGCGAAACGCGGCGAGATGAAGTACTGCTGGTGCTCGTGCTCGTGCGGCAAGTGGTGGGGCGGAGGGGCATGGTGGGTCATGGGCATCGAACGGGTGTAGGCATTCTGGGTCGTGGGCGACGTGTGTTGGGTGCCGTAGGGATGCGGGTTGCCGCAGCCGATGCAGGTCATGTTTCGTCTAGCAGGGCGTGACAAAAGAAGCAGACGTTAGCAAAGAGTATGTACAGCGAAGGCGAAGACGTGGGTGTTGAACGAAATGAGGTGCAGACAGGAGAAGGCGAAAGACAAGGAGGAGGATGCGGGCGGAGGCCTCGGAAGAAGGGGGATAAAAACGCGATGAAAATTGATACTTGTATGACCGAAACTCGTAAGCAGGATCGGCCGGTTCTATGGACGAGATCTCCATGGCGAAGGATACGAGCGATCGACGTGTGTGAACTCGACATATCGGGAAGGCCCCTGCAGATGGAAATCCATCTAAAATTGCTAGGTGGAGCGTCGGGTCGGGCACCGGCGGGCACAGCTCAAAAACCAGGCGCGGCGGTGAAAAAGAGAGGGAAACCCCGCCATCGGCGCCAAATAAACACGGCGACAGATCTGGAAAAGGAAATAGGCGGAAGCACTTACCCAAAATTATAGGCGCCGCACGTCGGGAGGTCGCATCTGGAAGAAGGGGAGCTCCATCAGCATCGATATATCACGATAGCGGTATGTTCGCGTCCGACGTATCTGCGCTGTCAGGCCGACAGCGACAATCGTTGTGGCGGCGGGGGAAGGGAGCAGGAGAGGACATAGAGAACACTGCGAGAAGAACACGAGGAACGCGAAACTCACACCCAATCGCCGGGGCGGTAGCTGATCTTGGGATTTGGTGGGTTAGTTGACAGCGTAAATTTGCTATGTGGCAGAGGTGGCGGCGATAGTTTTGACGTCGCGAAGAAATCAGGAGTCGTGGGCGTCAACAACCCCATGCTGCTGCTCGAGCTCGAGCTTGGCGTCGCGCAGTGCACGACCGGCGACCCCGGTGCTGCGGCGAGAGAGAGCGAGTCTCTACGTGATATCTGGGGTTATAGCTACGGTCACTGCATATCGCCACAGAATATCAAAGAGAACTCACCACGCCGCCTGGCATAATCTGTTCCAGCTTCTCGTAGGGTTCCAAGTCTGTCTCCAGTGCTGGTTCGACCCTGGCGAGGGAGGGGTGCGAGAGGGAGAGCGAAGCCGCCGCCTGCGAAACACAGCGTAGATAAACAGGTCAGCATCGCCGCAAATACACTCAAATTCGCCCCGCAAATGAACGGCGCCTCCGTACGAAGACCGCCTGAGCCCACCACCAGTGCTACAAAAGAGACCGGTGTCGAAAGCCTGAGAAACGCGGCCTCAGGAGCATCGCTAAGGCAGCACTCAGCATCGCACGGAGACAAATGCGAAGGGGCGTTCTAGCCCCCTCGGGCTGCCTCGGACATGGGGAGGCAGGCGATGGGCGGCGCATGACGCCGCGGCTCAGATAACGGGGTAAGGCCAACGGAAACCAGTCGGGCTCGCGAGCACGGTGTGTCGCGACGCGTATGTGAGGAGACGGTCCCAGCACGCCGCCCCTCCGCTAACGTCGCGAGAGTTTACGACACGAGCCTTCCCGCGGATGGGCGCCTACGCGAAGGGCTGCAGCTGCAGGGTGATGTCACGAGCCGATCAGACTTGTCTCAAGCCTTCGGTGGCTTTACTCGCTTGCTCCTGCCTTGGCGCATCGCGGGGAACGCGCTCGACGCGCATGTATGCGGCGGACAATGTCGCCATGGCCGTCACAACGGAGGTACGTGCTTCAGCAGCAATGGACTCACCTCTTGATGCGTCGAGTAGACCACCCATACGGCGTCGGCACAGGGGCGTGAACCCGGCCAGTTGGAGCGTGTATTGTAGGCATCTGGCATGTTGGATATCTGGAAGATGTGAACGGGTCTAAACACACTTCTGCTTTCGACCACCGAGTTCTTATGTGCAACTCACCAGACCTGAGTCCACAGATTCCCTCAGAATTGCCGCCACGGGCACAGCGAGGTGAGACATCTGCAATGGGATGACGTCGTCAGCGACCTCGCGCCGTCGCGCTACCGGGCGCAAGCTGCGACGATGATAGGGCACGCACCCTTACGACGCGGGACTGGCTCGCGTAGAATGCCTCTTCGAGGAAAAAATCGTCGTCGATGGGTGAAACGGAGAACAGGCCATGGCCTGCATCAGAGCCATCGTTATATGCGCTGTGGGGAAGCGCACTAGTGTTGAGGCCTGAATGGGTGCAATGCGGACGTCCGCGCGGCGGCGGTGTCCCTAGGTAGGGTTGGTCGGCGGAAGCGACGTGCCGGGCGCTTTTACGCGGCAGGAAAGAGGCGCGTGTCGCGCTCGACACAACACGTGTTGTGGTGGAGTCGCAAAGCTCTATGGCCGAATTATGGGGTGATACGTCGGCGTTGGGATCGACTGGCGGCCCCAGAATAATGTCGGGAAGCAACGACAGTGGCATCGTTCTCTGAGCAGCGAACGTGAAGGAATGTGACGATTCCGAAGAGATGGTGGGGTTTAAAGGTGTGTGGCGAACGCGGTATTAGTCTGGTGCGAAGCGAAGATATTATAACGCAGGTTGAACGCGTGTCGTTGTATAATGGAAGTCAAGGAAGGTCTCTGATATTCGATGTAAGTATTTGTCGTGCTCCTCGCCCACACCAGATGAATGATGGCGGATCGTCGATAGGGCAATCCAGGACGCACAACAGGATGGGCGGCCCCCTTATATGTCGTCCCTCCGTACGAGGCACACGACTTGCTGCACCTGCCACCCGGCATTCGTCCCCTCGAGACGGCCAATTTGTCACATTTCAGGCCGTCAGACGCCCCGTCCGTGTTCAACCGTAGACCGCCTCCCGCTCCGTGCATTCCCAGGCCGCGCGAACCGCAGCATTCCACGGACCATTGTGCTCGAACGGCGTGTCCATTAGGCTGGTATCGCGCGCGGACCCTTATTTGCGGTCATTTGCCTTGACAACGATACGTAACGGGCGCGCCGGCCCACGCGCCTTTTCAAGCATGGTCGGCGTTGCGCCCTTCACGCGCGTCGCAGGAAGACCTCACACCGCAGACCTCAGGGTTGCGGGATGACGCTGTGGATCGCCGCTCCCGTCGTGCGCGGCCGTCCGCCCGCTTCCAAGTGCGTCCCGCACCCAGCTTGCCGCGCCCGCCATGTCGGAGTTCTGCGCGTCGTGACAGCTGTCGGACAGGCGTACGCCACAGCGTGCGCGCCCGACGACACGCACACATGCACACACACGGACTCGACAGCGTGAGTGCGACCGGAATATTGTGGCGCACGATGCCACTTTATCGTCTCCTGAAGAAATTACCCAGCGTGGACGCCGTCGCGAGCGGTCATCGTGTAGCTCCGGCAAGGCGCCCTCCGCATCAAGACAGCCCAAGCTAGGCGCCGCCACGTGGTGGTTGCCTCCGATGGCGGACGTCGTTCTCAGATCCACGCAACATCCGTTCCTTCTCAGCTGGTCTACCGCACTTCACGAAGAAGGGTGGGCTTCGATGCCCGGCGTTGCAAGTCGCTGCCCCACCTGGCACCGCGGATTTAATTGCACAGCATAAGGGTCTCAGTGGGGAGCCATTTATCAGCCGAAACAGAAAGTACTGTACGCTGGGGTTCCAGGAATCATCCGCTCGGCGCTAGCTATGTTAACGTTATAACCTTTGCCATCGCAGGTCATTTTCTGAAGCTGTTCCGCTAGGACCTTCCGTGCTAACCAGTACGTACTCGAATGTTTTGCACCGTCAAATTTTTGCACGATGCGTCATAGCAATTCAAATATCCAATGATATCAGGTTAATTTTTTTCCTCTTTTTGGAGTATACCATCCCGCACGGACAACTTTTGTTACGCTCGTCAACTACCTTTTCATATGTGCTCATCGATTTCGCCTGCGTTACAGTACATTGAATCCCGAGAGCCCGGCATCTCTCACGATGCGCGCCCCGCGTCTACCGACGCCATCGTCGGCGGCCGCGAGCCCTTTGACAAAATCGCCGCACGCAATTTGCTTCACACGTCCGGAATGTCGATGACATACGCGTTTCATCCATGCGCAGCGTCATTCACCGAGGCGAGACACGCCCGCCCACAGCGTCCGTGGACGTTCTCGTCGCCTTCCGGGTGCCTCGTCCTGGTCGATCCTCACGGATCCTCCGATCGCGCTGGCTCCGAGCGATCGTCTCCCGCCCCAGTGGCATTTCTACGAGTTGAAAAAAGAAATGTACCCTCTGGTAGTAAATTTAGCCAAACATACGCGGAAACTGGGTCCTTTGCATCGAGACTTGTTCGCGCCGTGCGTGACTGACCGACTATGTGACCGTCCCCCGTTGCCGTGCTGCCTGTGGACACACCGAGTCCCGCCTGGCCCACCGACTGCGCAGACTTTTGTGTCATGCAGACGTGAACTGAGTCAACGCCGGTGCATGATCGAAGAAGCAGCCGTCGGCAGAAGGATGCATTTTTATCCTCGCGTTCTCTGGGTTATCTCTCGCTCGCTGAGCTCTGCCGCTGACCTGCCGCTGCGCCTTGCCGGCCAGGGCAGGCAGGCCATTAAAGCCACAAGGCCTGCGCGCCTCACCGCGTGAATTGTGCAGCAGACAGAGATCGCTTGGACAAAGGCAAGATAAGGCATGCAGACGCAAATGAGTGTGCAGGAGACAGAATACCAGCTCGCTTCGGTAAGACAGGCTCAAGTCAGTCCTACCGCATGCCGCCGTGTTCCCGGGAAAAGTCTGAGAGAGAGGAAGAGGAAAGACGACAAAAAACAACGCGGCTGATTGGGTTAGATTAGGCGTACGCGAGGCGCGCCATCGATTTGCGCACGAAGGCCGGACACATAGGCGTATCAGAGCATTGTCGCACCTGCTCGAAACGCCATGGCTGCGAACCTCGGAGTACGAGAGTGTGTGCATGGCGCGACCACCGGTGAAGAGGGTGTGCCAGCTCTGAGACGTTTTTTTTGTTTGTTTTGTTTTGCAAATGACGGGGGAGGACTAGGCTGGGAGGAAGCAGATAACGCAGGCGCAAAGGCCCGCAGTACCTCGGCCGTGCCGAACGGCAGCGCACTAATTGCTGCCCCGTCGTCGGGGCCACGTCGGCCGCTGTCATGGCGGACACGCGAGGCCAACTCGCCCCGAAAGCGGGCTGGAGGCAGCGGGCGACGGCCAATTGGGGCAAGCGGGTGCCCAAATGGGGATCTCGCGGGAGTCCCGCGCGCGCGCAAAGACCCAGCGCTTAGAGCTTGGGTGCAGGGTGTCCTGCGGGGCGAACCGGGCGGTGCAGCTGGGACGTGGCAGAAAAATACAGGCTGAGCAGTTAGGCATGCATGCTGTCACAAAACACGTGCAGAACATGAGGCCATGGGGATTTGGATATCCGGGTCTAGGCGCTGCGGGCGGGCTGCGAGCGCGACGGAGGTGGTGTTGACGTGGCAAGGGACGGCGTGCACGATGCTTGGAAACGACAAATCGTCGTCGAGACACAGCTATGCCTGCGGTCCCGAGATTCTAGGAGATTTCGTGCTAAGGCCCTCGTTCGGGATTCAAGACATACGCCGGCTGCGACGGCATGGTGAAGTTCCATGCTTGAACGCCAAGTTGGTGCAGGCACACACGTAGATGTGAAACCGAGCGGTGTCTTAGACACGCTGAGCAACGCTTCAGGTTATATTTACTCGTACATTCAAGTTCTTCAGGGATGTCTCTCATTTCTTCTTCGAGGCGCTCAGATCTTCCGACTTGATCCAGCGCGCCGGTACACCTTTGGAGACCAGCAAGTCTGTGACGGCTTTGATCTGCTTGCCCTGAACCATGACCTCCACGTCCGTCGTCTTCCCCGGCAGCGGCTCGACTGCAGAATCCCATCAGCTCGCACACACACCCACAAACACATTGCCACCGCTCACCTGCAGTTGAGCTGGCACAGGCCTTCCTGAGCTCCTGTGCGAGGTCGTCCGCGGCGAGGCCGTACGTCTCGAAGCCCGTGATGAGCGTGCACGCCTTGCGGCCCTGCCTGATCTTGACGACGACGCTTATCGGCCTCGCCGCGCCCTTCCTGTGCCCGCGCACGCGTCAGCCCTCGCATGCACATGCGCCCCCGCAACAAAGACTGACCTGGTGACGGGCTCGCCGCCCTCGGTGCGGATCTCGTGCCAGACCTGCATGTGCTCGCGGATCTGGCGCAGTGCGTCCTCGCGCTTCATGAACTCAGCCTGCTCCTCGCCCTTGACGTGCACCGCCTGTGCGAGCGCGTCGTCCTGCCCGACGTTGATGTACTGCTGGACCTGCGCGTTCACGAGGCCCTTCACCACGACGTACGCGTTGAAGACCTCTTTGATGTCCGCGACGGAGTACAGGTGCGACGTGCTGCACCCGCGTCAGCACATGGCGCGGCGAACGAGGAGAGACAGACGCACTCTTTCTCGGCGGCGACGAACCAGCCCACCGTGGGTCCGTGCGGCTTCCACAGCTCCGCGATGCGTAGCTCGCTGCGCCGTTTCTCCTCGGCCTCCTGCTCCTTCCTCTGGCGCTCCTCGGCCTTCCCTCTCTTCTCTTCGACGCTCTGCACAGTCTTGTGCGATCTGTGACCTGCCACGGCTGGATGCGCCGGGTACACCGCTAGGATTTTAGAAGTACGTGAGTTCAGTTTCAGGAGGTCGATGAGAACGTACCCGTTATGACCACGTCACCTTTTGTCTCCTTGAGCTTAATCAGGCCTTCCTTCGCGCACGCCTTCAGGAATACCTTCACTGTCTTATGAGTCGACTGCTTAATGTCCATTACGCCAATATCTGAACATGCTGTGGTGAGACGGACTCGCATTGTCTATGTTGAAACACACACCTACAGGTACTCCTGCACCTAGCGGCTGAACTGGGCGCGCGGGCAGAACATGGTTGGACCAGAGCGTCGACGCTGTTATCGGGAATGTGGAGGGTGGTAGAGACGAGAGCGTGGTTTGAAGGGCTTGCAGCAGTGCGCTCCGCAGACACGAGGAGACGTCTATTCGTTCAATATCAGTTCCACACCAGTGACAGCCCGAAGCGTAATGTACCTTCCGGAGACAGAACAGCGGCGGCAGGTTCCGCCGACTCAAGAGTTTGCTCTGCAGCAATGTCTTGCTGTCCACCAGTGGATTGTGGAGTGTCCTCCAGCTGAAGCTTTGCAGTTTCATCGACGAGGTCATCGCCCTCTGCATCGACTCCTTCCTGCTGTACAATGGGCCCCTCCTCGGTTTCAGGCCTCGGAACCTCTCTCGGCTCGGGGACATCCATCTTACTGCTGACGCCCATACTCCAGAGACAGTCCTTCCACGTGTGGAGAACATACACCGCCTTCCCCTTCCTGTCCTTCTCGTCTGCCTCGCGCAGTGTATCAGACGTGACGGCCATCCGCCCGACCGCGAGTGGCGGACCACGGCGGTCACGGTGATATTGCGTCACAGCGGCGAGCTGGTCGACAGCCAAAGGGACAGAGTGCTGGACGACTGGCTTGGATACGAGAAGGGGTATAAGAGAATGAGTGCATGGGGGACAGAGGGGGACAGACCTCCGGGGATCATCAGGTCGGCGCCGCCGGTGAGCTTCGGCACCACCGCTGCTGGCGTGGAGAGGAAGGGTAGCAGGTCTGGCTTTTTCCATAGGGTGTAGACTGATACCCAAGTCAACGCATGCTACGTTTAAGGACTGCACAGAGCCTGTACCTGTTGGTATTAATGCTCCATCGGTGCCTTTTCCTAACGAGAACCATAGCGGATCACCTTCCTGGGAGAGGTACACCACCTAAGCCCAGGCTGGTCAGTTGTACTTCGTAGTGACGCGAAAAGTGGCAATATTTACGCCAGGCTCATTCAGATGGGTGCTAATCTTCTGTGATTGCAGGCCTTCAGGGACGAGCAACTCGCCCTCTTCTAGTTGCAGCCCGAAGTCGGCGACGACGCGTTGCTTCAGCTTGCGCCGATCAGAGCCGCGCAGAGATGCTACAGTCGGTCAGCATACTCTGTAAGGGTCTCGTATGTCAAGCTCACCAATCGTTTTTGCGTCTGCGAGTGGCTTCTTGAACATTCTGGGGCCGTGTCGACGCGACGGGGTACAAGAAGAATGTTTAGTGAGATTCGCGTCGGAGGGTGCGCAGGCTATCGGCTGAGTAGTTTAGTCTCGAAGTCGGGTCCTCGGAGGCCGAGCGTCGTCGCAGTGGGCGTCGCGGGAGACTTGTAAGCGACTGATGATGACGCTGAGAAAGGCTTTCCTTCCTTGTGTCCCACGCCACCAGAGAATATAGAGGGCTTTCTTAACCTCTGGTGTTCAGCAGCCTGCACAAATTGCTCTGGAGAGATCAGAAGCCTGGTACAGGAGGTGCTAAGGGTGGTCCAAGCACTGGGTTCGGTTCGATAACGACTCTGAATTTCCGCGTCACACGCAGATATATGAAACGTGAGTACGCGTGCTCCACTCCCGCATTCCATTCTCTGTCTCAACGAATCTGAAACAGCGCGTCCCTAAGCTCGCTAAAGACCGTCAGGAGTACATATAAATGTGATGTTTCCGGCGATACTTTCATACTTCGTCTCTCTTAACAACTCGGGCTTTCGAGCGCTTTCATCCGATTCCCTGCGATATTGGCTGAGAGGTACGGCGGATTCTCTATGTTCGACGGCGCGGACTACAAAGTGCTCGCGTGCACCACGAGTTTCGTGAGTACTTCACGTCCCTTTGAGCGCCATCGTGCTCATGAATGAGGCGTGTCCAGGCGTGCTATCTCATTTACAAGCAGTTCGAACCTAACCACCCTTCGATTCATGCCGTTCTGCTGTTGGGTATGCCCGTCCTTCTGGCTCGGCAGCTGCCAGTTCTTCAGCAAATCGGTGCTGTAGCGTCCCATTGGGGCCTCATCCTTGCACTCACGGCACTCTACCGCCGTTCACCCTTCCATCCCCTGGCGAAATTCCCCGGTCCTACACTTGGGAAACTCAGCAAAATTTACGTGGCCTATCTCACTGCGCGCGGAGATCTCTATCGCGTCATCGAGAGCTGGCACGAGCAGTATGGTGATGTGATCCGCATCGGTTCGTGCATGTTTGGTTGGGGTTTGATTCAATTGTGGAGCTCATTCTGCCTTGCCGCAGGTCCCAATGAACTTACTTTCTGTCGTGCTGATGCTCTCTAGCCTATTTATGGCGCGAAAACTATGCCCAAGGGCCCATGTACGCTGAACCTGCCAGCACATCTTGTCATACTTGCTAAGCGAACCTTGATTAGACTATGACACCCGGTTGAACCCTGAAGGAGACTTCCAATTGGATGGTATCCGCGACTTCTCCGTTCACGCCGCGCGCCGAAAGCCTTGGGCGAGGGCCATGAGCAGCGCAGCCCTGAAAGGCTACGAACCGATTCTGCAAATGAAAACACTAGAACTTATGGAGGAGCTGTCGAAAAGACACAGAGAGAAGATTGACATTTCTCACTGGACGAACCTCTTCAGGTGCATCAGCAGTTCACTGGGACAGCTCCCCTTCCGCTGAAACCTGCGACCGACAGCTTCGATGTCTTGGGTCATGTGGCGTTTGATCGTGAACTCGGTTTGGTGAAATCTGGTGAGGACTCTGATGGTCTGATCCATATAGTGGAGGGAGGAGTATAGTGAGCGTTTTACACTTACTCTCTTGCATGAACCTGACACAGGAATACAGTGCCGGCGCCCTCATTTCCCATGTGCTCTGGATGGTGCCGTTCTTCAAATACATTCCCGCGAAAGGCCTGAGGGCCGTGCAGCTCCTAGCAGCTTCGTATGTGCAAGAGAGAACAAGCAAAGGCTCGAAATCGAAAGACTTGTCCCGCTTCTTTGTACGTCACCCCATCCTTCTAGCCGTCATTAATCTCACTGTCCCTCAGACAGAGGACGAAGGCGCAGCCCAAAGCGGCGCTACGATGGGCGAGATCACCGCGGACGGCATGCTCGCGATTATTGCAGGATCGGACACAACATCGACGATGCTGACCAACCTTTGGTACTTCATGCTGCGTCACCCAGAGTATGCTGAGCGGCTTCGCAAGGAGATCGACTTAACGTTCCCGCCAGGGGAGGATCCGTTGGATTTCTCGCGCCATGCGGACATGCCCTACCTAAATGCTTGCATGTGAGTGATGCCCCAGACGGTTCCGAATCACGCAATCTCACAGGGTTACAAATAGCAACGAGACGCTTCGTGTGCTGCCTCCGGCCCCTGGTGGTCTCCAGCGCACCGTAAAGCGCGGATCTGGTGGTGCAACGATATGCTCTTAGTACGTAGACTTCTCTCGTTGCGGCACATACAGCAGCTTAATTTCCTGCCATCCAGCTTTGTGCCCGAATGCACCCAAGTCTCTGTGCCCATATTCTCCGTGCACCGCGACTCGCGCGAATTCTCGCCACTGCCCGACGACTTCTGGCCGGACCGCTGGCTCACCCAGGACTCGTACGTTCTACCTAACGGAGACGTCATCGGCAAGGAGCAAGTGATCACCAACCGCGGCGCGTTCATCCCATTCTCTTTCGGCCCACAGAACTGTGCGGGCAGAGCCCTCGCTATGGTCGAGATGCGTGCGGTGGCATGCGTCATGATGCACAAGTTCGAGCTGCGCAAACCGAAGGAGTACGATCTGAATCAGTGGGAGAAGGATATGTGGGATGCATTAATCATGCTCAGGGGGAAGCTGCCTGTAATTCTCGAACAGAGACAGGGGCACTAGGAGGTCTGGCTTTCTGGCTCGATCCGATAGATCAGAGGCTGCTTTGTAAGTTCTATCGTGAAGAGGTAAAGGAACTGTTCCAAACCATAAAGAAAGAAAGAAAACAAAGGAGTGACGATACCTAGGAGGGTAATCTTAGAGAAATCAAGGAGAGCGTACGGTAGTAGTCGCTGTTCGCGATGTACATTTACAAGTCGTATTTGTCGGTTTGGGTGAGGATTCGTTGCGAACGTCTCTCACAACTGGTGAGCGCTTATGCAGCGTTGAAGAGATTTGAAGGATGCTACACAACGCATGAGTAACTGCAGCTCTTAGCTGTCGATAAAGATACAGCCTGACTGGGCTTGGATGCGTCTCTCGGAGTCGTACAATAGCGGCGGGTCCTTATTGTGGTTGCTGCGCCTGTGCGATCACTCTTCGTGCTAATTGCATCCGAAATATCCTGCTTAAACGACGACTCTTTCCGATTTGCTGTTCGGTGTGCGTCTTCAGCCGCATTTGGTTATATTACGCGTCAAATCCCGCCCTACTCTGTCCTCAACGCCACAACGCCCTTGCCATAGTAGGTAAACATTCGTCTCGGGCTAATCTAAGATTTACTCGTGCTGCGGAGAGCTGCCCTAGTGCGACAGTCAATATCTCTATAAGAGAGACAGCAAAGAACGGTGCCAAGCATGGCTGTATCACATCATCTCACCAAGTTGACAAGCAGGCTAGCTAGCAGAGCGAGCGCAGCCTTTGCTGCCTCTCGGCAGACCCAAATATTAATCAGCTCCAATTTCAAATTTAGGGCATTTCGCTGTAGCATGGATGTGAATCTGATACAGTCACTGCGAGTCATGAAGAAGATTTTGATCTTGGACGCAGCGCTGCGTTTGCACGAGTCAGCACATAGCTTCATGGCGAGCGGGCAGCAAACACAAACAGGACAGATAAGGGCAAAAATAGATTGAATGGCAGCTACAGTATGGCCTCGATAAATGAAGAATAAGCTAGTGAAGTTGCCTGTATCCAGAGAGGTTAGTAAGGAGTTCCTGACAGGCTGCATCGCACTGTCTGTATGATCGCTGTGTCGATGGGATACCGGCTAAACAGGGCGTTCTGCATCAGGGCACTTTGCTTGACTTTATTGGAGGCAACGGCTAGCGCAGCCTGCGATGCTTCTTGCCAAAGTGTCTTGGCAACGAGCGGGCCCAGAGTCATCCCTTCTGCCATCAACCTTTGGTCAGTGAACCACTGAACGACTTGGCATGCCCAGTGTTCGGGTGACCAGTGGGATGCAAGGCTGGGATGCGCTGGAGATTCGGATCAGCATGCAACAGTATATTTGACGGGAAGAGGGGGCGTACCTAGTATAGCGTGTTGTTCCGCTATCGGAGAGTCAAAGTACGAGCCTCAGCCCGTTGCCCCCGAGCAGATTCTGGCTCCAGTGACATCTCTTCCATATTCCTGGACTAGCACCTGGAGTAATGGAGTACAGCGTCACGTTGGGATTGTTACCGAGCTCAAGATCTGTGCACGCAAATAGTGCCCATACGAAAGAGTTCATAGCGGGTGACCGGCCTTTTGCGGCGTATACAGCGAGGTGCAACCACCTGCTCATGTATTTATCCGTACTCCTAGCTGCACTCTGTAACAAGGCGATGAGCACGAGTTTGGACATTAACAAAGGGCATAAGCCTACCGGATTGCTAATATTGTGCAAGCTACTTTGATTTTCGGGTGGAGTATCATGATCCCAGTGCGTGCGTCGCACACGATTGCTGTGTGCGCCTAAGCGGCTGCTACCAAGCTGCGATGGGCGGCGCGGACCGTCCACTGGTTGCGCTGCTGGTTGTGGCACATAGGAGGGAGGAGGAATAAAGGGGGCGTACATTGGTTGGCTGGATGGTGAGCCCAGCCGAGAGGCGTGGTATATAGAAGAATTGTGAGCGAAACGTTGGCCGGGATAGAGGTACGAAATTCCGGACATCGTGAGGCAGAAGGTAGGAGATGCAGGAGCAGGAGGTTCTGCCTCCCATTTATATAGGATTGCAAGTAATTATGCCACAATAATCAGGCTCTGACTAAGCGAGGACTCATGCGTGAGTCAGGCCAAAGGGCGAACCACTGGAAAGAGACAGAGCAGCCCTAGAGCGGCCCCTCGAGTGACGCGACAAGCAGATATGTACAAGGCTGCAGGATGGTGCGGATGAAAGCACGGGCATCAGGGCAGCTTGTCTTTCATATGTGCGAGCGTTCTCGGAAGAACGCGGCCGACAAGGCTCAACGACAGGGAGCGCAACAGAGGGCCACGTCTGCTTCACGAAGGAGCTCCTGGCGTACTTTCACTGCCGTATGAGACTCTCTGTGAAGGGATGCAACACAAAGCGAGTGCAAAGATCGCAGACGTAGTTGCAGGGGCTGATTTGCGAGCTCTGTCTACTACTGAAATACCTTCAGCTGTTATGCAGAAGACAAAAAGAGCACTCCGTACCAGGCAGGCCATTGAAAAGCACCATATCTTACAACATTAATCTCTGAGAGTGTAGAGTGAGAAGTCCGCTAACGGGGAGGACGCAGTTCGAGTTGAAGCTTGTCTCAAGGGCGCTTAATACAATTAGGCCTGTTCGCGGCGAAGTTCAGGCTTTACACGAACCTCCACCGCAGATGGCCTCCACATCCCGCTTACGAGCCATTTTGCTATCAAATCTCAACAATCCTGGCTCGCAGGATGACCACCAACAATTCTTTCAGACTCTTATGTCCCACCGGGGACATCTCGTGAACCTGTATGACGTTGGCCCATGCAGCTCGCAAGAACAACGCGAGGTCGAGGCGGGTACGTGCACCAGCGTGTTTCCACTGAAATTTCAACCCATTTACGCGTAATAGGTCGTGTAACTGTGAACGGCAGGTCTATTGCCGTCAACTCCGACTTTGCTCGCCAGGTAGTCTTCATTTCGCAACAGCTGGACGTCTCGGAACGCTATGTCGCCGGTCTTCTGCAAGAAACAATGGCGGGCAACCCCAACGTCACACAAGAACGACTCATAGAGGCCACTCTTCTCGAGTTTCATCTCAGGAGACGACACTTAGCAGACTGTCTGCGCTACATCTTCGAGGCTGCTGAAGTGGCACAAGACCCAAGTTCGCCGGAACTGTTTAGGCAACTGGAGTTGTTCACAAAGCAGAATTTGCTGGAATCAAGCAAAGGATTTCCGCAGAAGCTTTTTAAGGAGGTTGAGAGGCTGGGGGAGACGATTGCGAAGGTGCATGCAGCGCGGCTGAACGCGAAGAGCAATACCGCTGCGCCGTTGGGCCAAAGTGCGTCCTCTAGACCTTCATCTAAGCTTAGCACTGACAATTTGCAGCTGGACAACTTGGATATGATCTCCTCACTGCAAGATATGAGTCGCTCAAGTATGAACGTCGGACATTAGCGATTACCTTGTTCTTGGTCGCTCGTATGGGATGCATCCAACCGCAAGAAGTCCTTCTCATGATCGACTGGCTCGAGAAAAATCCCCACCATGCTATGGTGTACTATATCCTACCGACGCTTCTTGCTTGCTTCGACCTCGTTGACCCCTCGTCTACTGGTGGCCAGGCACGCCAAAAACTCACTCAAGACGCGAATTTGCTCGCCACTATGAAGCGGAAGCTGGCCGGTCAGGGAGAATGGAAAGAGCATGGGCTACAAGCGACACTACTCATGAAGTGGACTCTATTCTCGGCCGAAACAAGAAATCGCGACCCTTCGCTGGAGGACAAGGAAGGTTTCAAAACAGAAGAGCTCGAGACACAAGTCTGGAACGCGGTACAAGGCGACAGCTTCGTGTATCTTGCGAGAATAGTCGCTATGCTGCAACGAAAGCAAGGCGATGCCCCACCAACATCATTCGCTGGCGCTGCTCTCTCCATGCCTGAACCCGAAGCCATGGCGGAGCTGCCCACAGACGACTTCAAGCCCGTCATTCTCGAGTCCTTCGAGTTCCTCATCCGAGCACTCATTACCCACGCGTCTTCCGAGCTGCGAAAGATCAAGCAAAGACAAGAAGACATTTTGCTCGCGAACCAGCGAACGGACCGCACGCGCATGTTCCGCTCTACCATGGGCCAGACTCGCCACTCAGGGCCCCCGCCAGGGGCTGAGGGATCGCACGCCGCACCACCACGGAACGACATCGCCATGCTCTACTCGTTAATCGGGCTCTTGTACTCTGCGCTACCTGCAGAACGTGCGTTGCAGTTCTGGGGAGGCGGGCTCGCCGAGGGTCAGCGCGTGGTCTACCTGAATCACGTCGAGAGCGCGGTCGGAAAGTTGCCTTCGTTCCTCCAGTGGGCGGTATGGTCCACCCAGATCAAGGATGTTGACATGCTCATGGCGCTTTACGACATGTTAACCGGTTTGTCGAAGGGCCAACATTGTAGCGAGCTTGCGTACAACTTCTTGGTCCGCGGAGGCTCAGAAGTGAGCTCATCACTACCGTCCTCGTCAGGGCCGGCAGTGTCATGGAGTGCTATCTTTGGTCTACTGGAACAGTGGGCTATCGCTGGCGCTACGCCCCGTCCTGCTCAGCCTTCAGGGGGTGCGAATACACAGATCCAACCAGTGCAACTACACCGTCAACCTCATCAGCTGATCTTGACTCAACAAGATGTCCTCCTTGCGCAGTCATTCCTGCGGTTGCTCTCGAACGTTGTCACCTGGTCGGTAGCTGTCCGTGTCACCATCAGTGGGCATGCACGCTTCAGGGCTATTCCTACTCTGGTGTCGCTGATCCCCCTGAGCATCCCCCTCGAACTCAAGGGTGCGCTTCTCGATACTCTATCGTCTTTCTGCGCACCTGGCGGCGGCCTCCCCGGGGTAGAGGTTTGTCGATCGGTTTGGACACTCATGGAACGCCTTGAAGTAATTAATGTTCGCGTCCCGCCTGGTACAACTGGTGCCACCTTGTCGTCCGTCAAGGGTATCGAGATGGAACTCGAAGAGGTCGAGTCTGTCCACAAGCTCTACCCGGAGACAATCCCCTTCTTGAAGTTGCTCTCTACGCTCATTCATACGCCGAAGAGCATACCAGCACGGGAACGCCTTGCGGAGTCCGAGCCACTGAACACCATTCCAGACTCGCTCGGGCAGCCATACCGGGCGCCAGGCATTGCACCATACGTTGCGTTCGTAATTGATAACGTCTTCTCACGGATATCACAACGCGAGTACCTGCGTCCGACGGACCGGTGGCGTATGAATGACCTGTGTTTGTGCTTCGTGGAACGCTGCCTTGCGAGCTTCGACCTCGAATCCCTTGTTTCTGGTCCCGACGATATCAGCACCAAGGGCGATCTCCTACTCCAGCTTGCGACCCATCCGGGACACGACGTCATGAAGCGCATATTGACGCATTCCCAGCTGCACAACAGCATCTTCTCGTATATCATCGACGGTCTCGACGGTTTCGACAACGGACTCTCGGAAGAGGAGCCATTCTTCCGCCACACCATCACTCGTACTCTGCGCATTGTACATCGCGTGCTTGAGATTCAAGATATTTTCCTGGACGTCTTCGTTCCGCTGCTCTCCAGTGCGGAAGATATCAGTCTCATCGGACCTGTCCACCCTGTCTCGTACTACATCAGGCTAGACCAGGCTCTGATGTTTACCCCAGAGCACGTCCCTGCGGTTGCAGCGTATCTCTCGTACCCCTCATACCCGGAGATGTCTTTGTTGGCTATCAAGATTCTTGCCGCGCTGTCGACACCATCGACAGTATCGCAACTAGCTGTTATTATCGACCGCAGTAGCGACTCCCTCCGCATCTTGGACGGCTTCCGGAACATCCTGGACACCGACTCGCCGCTTGATGTGGACGAAGCTGAAGCAATCGCTGACGAGAAGACAGGCGCTGGTGCGCTTGACCTGTGTGACCTCGAAGACTCTCTTGATACGGCTCTCAGGCAGACATTGCGGCTTGCCGTACTCGAGTTTTTTATCCAGAATACGAAGTCGGACCGGCCATATCCCAACGTCGCGCACTTCCTCCTGTTCGGCAAGGCCACTCCTGAAGATCAGATCCAAGACCCGAATGCTCTCGGTTCACGTCGCGTTAGCATCCATTCGTTGCTGGAGATCGTGAACAGTGACGTCCCTCGTCTGAAGAGCAAGGGCAAAGGTTCGCGCGTCGGCCGTATCGCTAGCCAAGCGTTAATGACGACTCTCCCTGCATTCTCGGAACGGTGTTATCTCGTCTTGTACCAGTTATGCAAACACCCGAGAACATCCGAGTTCACTATGCGGTACCTGCGGTCTCGCGAGGATTTCTTCGCGCGACACCTGGCTGCTCTGCCCTTCAGGGTTCCTGTCAAGCTTCAGGAGCCATACATCGAGATGCAGTACAACGATGGCTCTAGGGTTGTAACCACGGTACCTGCGCTATGCGCATTCCTCCGTGTCCGTTCTATCATCTTTGATTTGGTCGCCCTGGAACTACACGTCTTAACAAATAAGGGCCACTTAAAAGCGTCTATGGAGCTTCTCGAGTTACTCTACGGAAGCGAGGAAGACCTGGCCGGCATCGAGGCGACGAACTGGGAAGAAGATATTTTCAGACCATTCCACGAGATTGGTCAGTCGCACATACCGGTCATCGAGTTCCTGCAGTCATTGGACTTCGACTGGTCCGATAGCCTGGCCGCGGATCAGGTCAACCTGGAGTTTTTCGGATACCTCAATCTCGGCGCATGTCTCAGAGTTGATGCATCAGGCTGCGAGATCGTGGACCGGGACGCGCTCGTGTCTCTACTCACTACAGCAAGGCGCACCTTGCACGCACAAGGACGAGTGCTGACTCAGACCCACCTACAGCAAATCGATGACGAGATGACTTACGTTCTCGAGAGTTGTGCGACTGAAAACCATCGCCGAAAAGTTCTGCACTCAACGGCTGGCTGTTATGAGTCATGGCGACGGCTGCTCGACATGACCTTGACCAAATGCTTCGATCGCATCCCTCAAGATCGCCGTGAAGGCCTGCTGTTCGATTTGCTCCATGTTCTCCCCACCATCCTCCGCTCGCCGAATATATCTGAGGCCACCACTGGAGTCCTCGCGGAAGCAATCTTGTCAACAATTACGAAGCTACGGGAAGACAAGCTTTTGCAGTCGCTCGTTCGCACAGGCGAGCCTTCTAACAGCGGTACTTTACCGGCGGAGCGTCTCTTCTCGTTGCTGCGCAGCCTCCTCGATTGCATTGTTGAAACCAATAGGCATGAGTTGGTCCGGGGAAACCTCTATGCGGCTGTCGTGAACTACATGCATCTAATCGCAGATACAAGGCCCGGCGGAGGTACTGTGCTTTCGTCAAGTCTGTCGAAAACGCAGCCCGCGTGGATGGACGATCCGTTGGGCGGCGTTGGGCACCACGCAGATTCCTGGATGCAGCCTGAAAGCGCATCATCTCTGGTCAATGGCAGCCTCAGCATTTTCAAGCCTCTCATGGAGAACCTCGTTTCCCTCGTCTCGCGAGATGCTATTGATGGTACCGATGTCTGGAAGACGGTTGCCTTCACACTTCTGGACTCGTTGGTCCGCCTGTCACAGGCCGAGCGCCAGCCAGCCGTTATCACCGCTATGTCTCGATCGGGTTTCACTCGTGGCTTCATTTCCGGCGTCAAAGGGAGCGACTTGCAACTGCAGGCTGTATTGAAGCCTGACCCAGGTGCGTGTTTTCCCGTCTGGGACTGTTCCTTGTCTGACTCTTGCTGTAGATGAACTTAACTCCCTCTATGTCTACGAGGCGCGAATGTCACTGTTGATCCGGATGGCTCAGACTCGGGCCGGTGCAGAACGCTTACTAGAAAATCGTTTGGTCCTTGTGTTGGCAGACTGTGACTTCGTGGATTCAAGACCGGAGACGGATCAAGCCTTCCTTGGTGAGCAAAACTTGGGCCCTCCGCATCACATTTGTCCCTAACAGTCATACTGTAGACCGGGATAGTTTCCTGCCGTCAGCCATTCAGCGATACCACCAGTTACTCGTTCCTGCCTTGCAAGTTGTCACGAGCGTACTTGCAACGCTAGGGCCAAAGCACTCGACCGCAGTCGGTCAAGGCATCGAGTTCCTGCGGGCACATCGCGACACTGCGATCCTGCTGCTCAAGAGCGAGGCTTACGAGCTTTCACTAACGACTGTTGAGGAGATGCGTCTGCTTGTAGCGCTATGCACCAGCGTGCTGTCAGCTGTGCCAAAAACAGACGTTGTGTCGACGAGTGGATACGGAGGACTGCATGCTGCGATCACGGGCCTCGCTGCGCGAACGCTCGGCAACTGTAGATTGACGGAAGCCATTAGACCCACAACAGAGGAGGAGGCGATTGAGGCATCGCTTCGTGCACCTGGTTAGTAAGCTCGTGCTAGGCACCAAGATAAACTTAACGACATTCCATCCCAGCATACGGACAGAGTAAGTTCCGCCTGAAGGTTCACACTCAAGAAATGTTCCTCCGCAAAGCTCTCGCATCGTATCTCGGTACCGCGAGCGATTTCACAGGTGTGCCGCTTGTTATAGCCTTATCGGCTTCCAGTTCACTGATGTGATCTCAGAGCATGACTTCACGCCGGTGTTATCGCCCATAATCAGTGCGTCACGGCAAGATGAATCGTCGACCCGCTTTATGGCAACGGTGCCTTCGCTCGGAGATGCCATTGAGGCTCTGAACTATGTGCAAGACGACCTCTCGCATGCGCTGAAGCAATTCTCGGACTGTTCGGCAGAACTTGCTTCGAACGATCATGCGCTTGCCAATGTGCCAGAGGTATGCCCCTGCTTCCGCTGTCTTGGATATAATGGTTCACAAAGTCTATAGATGCTCGATATACCAGATACACTCGATTATGACAGCCTAAGCACCGCGCAGCGACGAGCGTTAGTCGAGAACGAGCTTTGCAAATGGCAGAACGAGGCGCGGTCGCGTGCACAGTCTCTCTTCCGTAAGTAGAAATGATCTGCGAATTCATTCTCGCTACTAACACTTTCATAGAATCTATGGAAATGTTGCTGCTCCTCATCTGGCGGCACCTCGCGGTCTACTCGTCTGAAGGCTCTGCAGGGGTATCAGGCATGCAGAATTTCGGCGCGTCAATGCGTGTAGCGTCCTCCTTCGAGCCCGACACATTCCGTCAAGACGCCTCGCGTCGGCTTGCCCCAATGGTGCACCGGCTGACCGTCTTGGCGGAGGAGACACTCAACTTTGGCTGGGCGCAGTACCAGCGATATATTGACATTATGGCGCAGCGGCTGAAAGATACTGCGGGGCTGCATGACTCGCCTGAGCAGACCGATGAAGAGAGCATGGAGCGGTAGGGTGTTGACGGCATGTATGAGTGGTGCTTTTGGTGCTAAAATTCTTTCTGAACTCAGCCTCAGTGCTGATGTGGGCGTTGGTATGCGCGCAACAGGCAATGCATGTAAATCATTTAATTTTGATACGGACACCGTCACACTCTTAGTTACAATATACACCTCGGTCATGAACGCGGCGTGCATGCACGGCAAAGGAGGAGAGCGCCTCTCTGTGGACGGTCTGTAACTTGCCTTGCATTCCGCAGATGAGAGCTCCGACTTCTATAGCCTGACTTCCAGCTCTACTGGCAGTCATTGAGGGAAATGAACGCCTGGATGTCGACGCCAAGTCATTGATGGGCAGCTCGAAGGAGCGCGCCTCAGCGAGGTTGCAGTCATGCATCCAATGGTTGAGGTTTGGCGTGCGATAGATTGAAGAGACCGAGCCGTTGCGCAGCGACAGGCCTACCAATGCCTGTCGTGCAACGGGGTGGCGGCGGGGGTTCCCGGGTCAAAGCGTCCGCTCGATTCAGAGATCAGGCGCATCATTTGATGCGTAGGAGCCGGAAACAAAACTTCGCATCGGTCTCCGCCGTGATACAAGCGCTTATAAATTGGCTGCGCATAGTTGGTTTCCCGGCTATCCCGGCAGTCCTGCCCTGACGTCACCCTTTGTGGCCGGGCGGCGGTCGGTATTTCAGCGCCCATCCCTTCGCCATTTCTTTGGTCAAATTTGGTGGACACGGCTGGGGGGGGAGAACCTCGAGTGAACCAGACGACCTGCTGACGCTCCTGATCCAGGCAAACATGTCAACAGACATCCTTGAGGACCAGCAACTGACAACGAGGTCGTCGCACGTGAATATCTCACTCACTTTCTGCGTTTTCAGAAGAAGACTGACCCGTGTCTCTTGCAGAGGTCCTGACATCCGTTATCGCTGACCACGAGACGATAATTTAGGCGCTATTCTTGTTCACCTAGCGGCCCGGTATGCAGCGCAAGCTGCGCGTGGAGCTGCTGCAGGTGGCCACAGACAGCCCGACGATGGATGAGTTGAATGCGCTGCCGTACCTGGACACGGTCGTGCGCGAAACGATGCGGCGCCACCCACCGGTGCCAGCAATGGCGCACCAGGCGTTCGTGGACGACGCCATCCCTGTAGACACACCATACAAGGACAGATACGGTCGGGTGCGTGATCACATCGAGATCAAGAAGGATGACCTCGTCGTCTTGCCAATCATATCTCTGAACCGGCGCAAGGAGATCTGGGGCGAGGATGCACATGAGTTCAAGTGTGTTCCCTTTTTTCATGTGTTCGCTGAGCCGCGTGCTGACAGCTGGGCAGGCCTGAGTGCTGGGAACACATCCCCAAGGTGGCGGCAAGTGTGCCTGGTGTGTGGGGCAACCTGCTCACGTTCATGGGCGGGCCGCGGGCATGCACTGGCTACCGGTTTGCTCTCGTCGAGTGGGTCTCACTTGTGATCCCTGCTTATCCCGCTCTCGTGCTCATACCTCGTCCAGGACCAAAGCGTTGCTGTTTGTGCTTGTCCACGCTTTCGAGTTCAAGCTCGCCATCCCGGCTGAGAATATTTAGAAGGAGACCGGCAGCATCACGATGCTTCCAGTCATCGCTGGACTCGATGGTAAGACCAAAGCATCGCTCCCGCTGATTATTTGGCCGTACAGAGCGTAGTGCACACAGTTTGGGATGCGGAAGACAAGTTATCTGGCGTGGCTAGTGGGATTAATTGTATACCGGGATTCATTGAGACATCGACATCTAGAATGTGACACAGGAACTTTTTTTGAATAGAAACATTATTTTGACACGGATGAAGGGCAACGAGCAGGACGGGAGAATAACTGGGAAAGTAAGTAGAACGATGCCGGTGTCGCTCTCCCCAAAAGTTCTCAATTCGGGTGCACTGGAGCGTGAAAATAAATCTAGGAAGACTGATGCTTTTCGAAGAGTGCAGCCGTTGTGGAGACATATCAAAGGAGAGACTAAGGTCATCGTGCTCCTACATTAGGGCAGAGCTTCAAGATTTAATCCTGGTCGTTCGTAGAGGTAACAGGAAAGGCGACTCAAGTGGAGCACAAATTGTACTCCAGAGGAATATCTTAACGGAAAGTAAGCATAAGAAGAGCTGATACAAGGCGAAGATGAACTCTTGGCGGACATGAGGAAGAGCCAAGCAACAGCCTATGAAGCTTGAAGCTTGAAGCTTTGAAGGTCCGTGGTGGATAAAAATAAAAATCTCGCTTCTGCAGTGCCGGGGCTGCAGTGCCTGAGAGACAATGTTCTGGATTATTCACTGCTGGACTCTGTAGAATATGCTCAAACTCTGTCTTGATAATTATGCACTTTGTAATCTCTCTCCGCTGCGATATGCGCCAGGCAATGTACCAAACAGGGACCAATCAGGAGGAGATGGTCGGTGGAGGGAGGGGTCATGTCACACCTTGGGCTTAAGCCTACCCGCTAGCAGTAGGCGAGACTCAGACTAGGCGGTTTAACGTTGTGCTTGGATGCCAACTATGTATCACTCGACATCATGGCAATAATATACATAGCCAGACTGCATTGTTTGGCGGGTGTTTCTCGAGTTGCAGAGACAAGAGGAACGGTCGGAGCCTTGGAACGATAGCACGATGTGAGGCAGCAGAAGATTGTCTAGAAACTAAGCATATCCTAGGTTGAGCCTTGTGAAGTTGTGGCGTTTTAACCATTGGCTGGCGCTTGTAGTGCGAGTGCAACTCTGGTCGTCTATGAAGAATATGAAGGTCCGCGGTGGACAAAAATAAAAATCTCATTTTTGCGGTGTCGAATCTTGTTTTGACTGCAGGCGGCAATTCATTTCACTGTACCATACTGAATTTATCTGTGTGTTAGTGAACCTAAGTGCACCTGTGTGCACTGTTGCACATGATACCGCAAGTACATGCACATTTATTCACTTTTGTGTGCCTCTACAGGCTCGACTTGGGTTTATGGGAGTCTTATTTGGCATCTATGTGCAAGAGCATCTATCGCAGATTTTCTGCATTGAGCCACAGTGATTGCTCAAATGAGCAAATCTGTGATAAGCGCTGAGCAAGATCGAGTCTCAGACCATGCAGGACCAAGTTTTGATGCCGACAAAATGCGATTTGATTCCGTGTAGGTGCACTTTTGTGCACATACTTGCAGCATCATGTACAACAGTGCGCGTAGGTGCGCTTAGGTTCACTAACACACAGATAAACTCAGTATGGTGCAGTGAAATGAATTGCTGCCCGCAGTAAAAATAAGATTGCACACGACTTGCTCGCCAATGCCTCACCCTGCGAAGCTCAAGAACTGGTTGTACAGCGCCTTGCACAGCCTGTCCTGGAATCCAAAAAAAAAATGGTCAGAAAAACGGTCAGAAACAACGCAGAGAGAAGAAATGCGACGTGCGGGTGCACCAAGTTCTCGGAGGGAACCACCTGCATGAAGTTGTCCGGCTGCACGTTCCTGTCGTACGCAAGCGCATTCAACGCGTTTGATGGGACATACAGGATCCAGTTCGTCGCGGGTGGCGTTGTCAGGTCCTGCACGAAGTTGACGATGGCCGTCTAGAAGGTCAACGAGAGTGTCTTCTCGTTTGGTATGGCACTCGATGCGTTGAATGTGCCGAAGAGCTCGGGCACTGCAAGCCGCGGTTTTTTCTGTGAGTGATGGAAAATGCGCAGCAAGAAAAGTGGGGAGACGCACGCTCGGAGCCGTGTCATATCCCGAGGCCGGGGATGGGCTCGAGGTCAGCAAAGACGGCACCTGGACAGCGCAGGCATCAGGCGAAGCTGTCTGTATCCAAACCACTACCACACACCATAGGTGTAGCGGAACACGTTCTTCTCGCCCTGGTCAATGAAGGCCTTCGCCCACAGAGATGCACGGCTACAGGCCTGTTAACTGTGAGCATCCCAGCCACAAGATTAATTCTTGAGTGACACACCACCTGTACTGCCAATCACAAATAAAGTCCGCCATGATGATGGTGTTGTTCTGGCCAGGGTACAGTGTGCAGACCTGGTCGTCCGTAACGTTGTCCGCGAACTGCTTCAGGTACAACACGAGCACGGCCCGGAGGGTGGTGAAGCTGAGTGCCCAGATAGTCCCGTCGCCCTCCAGGTTGCCGAGCAGAATGGGCTTGATCGCGGACTCATTGTTCTGGATGCGGTCCAGTGCCTGGACATAGTACGTCACGCTTGGCAACAAGTCAGCAAACAGGGAGCGGGCACCGTGCCAGGGTGAGAGACGTACTTGTCTACAATTGTGTCGAATGTGAAGGTGTTGGGGTCGGCCATGGTGAGATTCGCGATTGTCGCTGCGAGTACCCCACAGAGACAGTCAAGCCAAGCGGGGCCAGGGGTTTGGGTGCAGTTCACAGCCTGGGTGACCGCATCAAAATGGTGTGTGGTTCGTCACGGAAAAGGTGTGGGTTACTGCTCCAGAAAGAATGATGCTGGCACGGAAGGGTGCGTTCGTGGAGTTGTGCTGGAGGAACGCACCGGAAACAGATTGTGCACCCGCAAATTGACCCTTCAGAAGTGACTAAGTGTCTTTGTTCGATGATCCTACAGGAATAGAAATGTACCATGATGGTTACCTTCTGTAGATCTCCACCAAACTGAGCGATATTGTTCTGCACCCACTGGAATGCAAGCTCCTGGTCCAGGAACCCAAGGTTAGTTTCTTGTGGTGTGAGATCTTCAGCCATTGGAAATCCAAAGACGTTGAGACGGTAAGCCAAGCTGATGACAACAACATCCTGATTCTTTGCGAAATCAGAGCCATCGTATGTAGGCAATGCAGTTGTTCCAAACGCAAGTGACCTGAATTTATCAGCTGAGAAAGACTTTCATTGTAACACTGTGTCAGCTCACCCACCAAAAATCCAGACCAGAACGGGCTTCAATGTTCCATTGTTCTTGGTAGGTGTTCACACATTCCTGAAATGCAGGTACAATTTCAGTTGGCAGTGTCTTGGAGAGCACGGATAGGACTGCTCACAGGAAAAGGCAGTCCTCAGAGGCACTCGTTGGCCCCCCAATATTGAAAAAGTTCTCTTCAACCTGTGACACAAATTGTTGTATGCAGGATGGAGCGAAAGCAGTCACATTTTGAACGTCCGTTGAAACAAATGGCTGTGGTGGCGCCCAATGCAGGTCGCCAACTGGAGCTTGGGCAAAACGCTGCAATACCCTGGAATCAGCAGTGGCCACTAACACAGCAGAGAACTGAAAGCACACACGACGCCTTTGAATGCGGTGACTAGCGATGCGTGTTGTGGGCAATTCAAATCATGCAACATGGGATATCCGCGAGAACCCACCTCCATCGGTTTGGGCTCCAATTAGCTGGCCGGACGTGGTATTGACAGCTGAGCTATTGCGCCAGCACTGAGGCAGGCGAGAAGGATTGGGGTGAGCATAATGCCCGACACGTCGCAGACTAGAGGGAAATAACGGTAGTGGACCTACAAAACAAGACATGTGGCCACCTGTTAAAGTGATGTCGCTTCCAGACATCATGGGACTGCAATGAGGCGTAGGTGAGTGAACTGGCAGCGACTCCTCAGCGCAGGCAGCCCTGCATCATGATGAGCATGCGCTGAGACGTGGCGTGCTGTGTCCATAGAGGTGGTGACGCGACAGCAGACCACAGTTGACAGTCGGCCACCGCATGGCATCAGCAGCTCATTCAAAGCAATCCACGTAGATATCTAAACCATACAATTTTCATGGTGATTTGCGCTGCATGGATAATTTTGGCCATGACCTCATGCATCACTGCGGCAATATTTTGCTCGGAGCAAGCTTGTTGGATGAACTGCTCAGTTCCTGAGCAGGCTGCAGTTGAGGTGAAAGCGGGCTGTGAGCCAGTTACTGCAAAAGTTAGAGGAGAAATAGACTGAACCTGTCGCAGACATTGACACAGCCGCAAAATACCAAGCTGAGTCTGCATTTGTCTGGGATCGTCCACCCCAATTCCCTCAGAAAAAACTGCCGAGCGGAGAGCACATGACTCGGTGGGAGCGCCCGATCAATATGCCAAATTGCCAAGTGACTGCCGCAACATCTCTCTCATGCAAGACACAGTTGGGCACTCAAGTACGCCGAACAGCTGATGAACAACTCTCACTGACTGTCCTCATGTAAGAATCACGCATCAGATCCAGTCCACCCCGGAGCACATAGCACATCTTCCATCTCACCTTCCGCGCGTCATGGTACAGCGTACTTGCATGTCAAACAACCCGTTGGACAGATGTGGTTGCACTTCGGTACTGTAACAGGTTGCCTGTCACTCTCACAGCAGTGTGTTGGCCCCCTCTGGCTTTCAACAGGCTGATGCAATCTGCAATGGTCGTGGGATTGGAGCACACAGGCCGACATGCTAACACACCGAGTCTGCGCCTCGCAGCGACTACCTAGACTGCTTGAATCTATCTGCTACTGTTCAGAAATCAGAAATCACTTCCAAACGTCTCATGAATGCAAGATGGCAAGTTTCCGTCATGTAGCATTGGCCCAGCAATCTCTGATGTCAGGGGTCGACATTTCCAGCTTTGCAGGAGCACAGTGCCTGTCCGGCACCAGCAACAGCACCTGGCAACAGAAACGGTTGTAATCAAATGCATCTCGTCTAGGGGCTTGCACTTCTCACTTCAATATGAGGTACGATGAGACATGTGCCTCAAGACCTCACACTGTAGGTCTCTTTTCCACACCCACATCTCTGATCACTCGCCACTCTGTCTCAGCTCATGAATGTCTCTGACCATCCCGTGCCATCTGCCTCTGCAAGTGATCACATGTCTGGCGACGGAAGAGTCAAGTTGACAAGCACCGGCCCAACCTCAGCGAGGCGCGGCATTCGGTTCTGGCTGATCATCCTTGCCGTCTGCATGTTTGTCTTTCTCTCTGCACTGGAGTTTGTGTGTCCACCCTTTGCATATTCGATTGGAATTGTTGACATCCAGCACAGAGCGCAGTCGCCACTGCGCTGCCTACCATCACACATGACCTCAATGGCGGCAAATTTGTGTGGATCGCGTCTGCGTATGGCCTTGCGTCGACGGTGTTCCTTCCTGCCTCTGGTGGCATGGCAGACGTATGCACACCACTTTGTTTGGCTAGGCAGGATCTAACAGAGTTCCCTGTATAGATCTGGAGCTGCAAGCCCTTTATGTTGCTTTGGCTGGGAATGTTCGGCCTTGAGAGCACTCTGTGCAGTGAGGCTCAGAACATGAACTGGCTCATCGCCGCACGCAGTACGTACCAGTGCTTTTACAATGTAAACCTGGACTATTGTCTGACGTCTGTCTGTCGCAGCAGTCCAAGGAGTGGGTGGCGGCGGCATCTTATCGGTGTCGAGCATCATCATTTTGGACTTGGTTCCACTGAGAGAGCGTGCAACGTACAATGGCTTGATTGGCATGTGAGAGACTGCATTGCTTTCCATGAGTTGCAGCATTGTCGGCTCACGGTTTCTGACGATTGTAGGACATGGGGAGTGGCAGCTGCGATAGGACCGATCATAGGCGGAGCACTGGCACAACACTCCGCATGGCGCTGGTTGTTCTGTATGTTGTTCTAGCATTGTTCCAGCATACTGCCCACTGACTCCGGTCTCCAACAGACTTGAACTTGCCTATCACCGGCGTTGCCACACTGCTCATAGCCGCCTTCCTCCGAGTTTGGACACCAGGCGGCTTGTTCTCGGAGAAGCTATCTCGCATGGATTGGATGTGTGTCTTGTCCTTTTTTCGTATATGCAGACGTTGTGCTCACTGCAACCAGAGGAAATGTGCTCATCATTGGGAGTTCCAGTTTGATTGTGATTAGCCTGACATGGGGCCGTGTCAAGTTTAGCTGGAGCTCGGCATAAGTCCTATCGACGCTAATCATAGGATTCGTTGGGCTCGTCATGTTCATGCTTTATGAGGCTACCCTCACAAAAAATCCTATCGTGAGCTTCTCCCGTACGACAGTCTGTTCGCCCTCTCAACTACATTTTGCACTCCTTGCCAGATTACTTTCGCTCTGGTGTCCAACAGGACCAGCATGAGCGGGTGAGACTTACCTTGATTTTTACAAATAATGCTTAATTTTAGAAAAGCTACCTGCAGACCTTCCTTCTGCCTGTGGTCTCGTATAACATTCTTTGTGAGGACTATGATGATATATTGGAAGCTTTCAACACTGACGCTCTTTCTAGATTTTGGCCCAGTGTACTTCCAAGCGTGCTTTGGCTCCTCCGCCATCTGCTCTGGCGTGCTGTCTCTACCGCTTGTCACCACTTTGGAACCATGCCTGATGCTCACCGGGATCTCAATCACCGCGACAAAACAGTACCGGCCACAGCTGTGGCTCGGCTGGGCACTGTACCTTGCGGGCATGGGCGGGATGTTGACGCTGGCAGTGGACACACCGTTTGCACACATAGCAGGTTTCCTCGTCCTGCAAGGCGTGGGCAGCAGCATGATCTACGCGACAACATACTTTCCCATCCTCGCGCTGCTGCCAATCATGGAGAACGCACATGCGCTTGTGTTCTTCGCGTTCTGTAGGTCCTTTGCGCCAGTGGGTACACTTTGCATGCTTTCTATTCATAGGTTGTGTTGACAATGAGTGTTTTGTTGCTCAAGGTCTGAAGCGTGACCATCGGGACGGCGGTGCTGCAAACACAGCTCTCGCAGTGGCTCCCGATATGCTTCGTTGGTGAGTTCCCTGGAGGTGTGTCGATCGCATACTCGGTCATCCCCGTCATTGGCACTCTCCCCGAGCTGCTCCGTATCGAGGTGCGCATCACGTTTGCAGACAGTCTCGACGTGCTGTGGCATGTGTGCATAGGAATTACTGGCGCAGGCCTGCTCGTGTCGCTGTTGATGGGATTCAATACTTTGTAGCATTTACCTGAGGCCATCAGAAAAACCTCCGTTGGAGGTGCCTTGGATTAGACGACATGCCTTAGTTTGCCTCAGGTGTTGTTGGGACCTGTCTTTGAGGTGTTGACCAACAACTTCAAGGTGCTCAGGAAATGTCGGTCCAGACCCACTGGCAAGATGCACAAGCGACATCAAGATGTTTGAACATTTTCTTGATGACCTCATATGCACCATAATGCTCTGGCCATCATTATCTGCTGGGAACAGATGCCGTAACTCAACTGAGGAGCAAACTTAAGGATCTGCATGTATCTGTATGTGCTCATCTTTGTGGAAATCTTCGTAGACGTGTTAGTGATAGACAGATCATCTCCGCCCTTCGCAGCTCCCGCAATTCTTGCCGGCAGCTCACGAGGTGCGCTCGTCGGCCGGCAGTGATGTCTCTCTTGGCGCGGCCTCTAGGTTCAAGGGCGTCGTTGTCGTGGGGGATCTATTCAGATGCAACCATGCTACTACGCCTGGGCCCCTAAATGGGGACGTTTTTCCACAGCCATTCAACATGAGACAGATGCCTATCACAGGTTGAGACACATAGATTTGCATAAGTTTACGTATGGAAGTATTGTGGCCGCAGAGACTGATTACATTCCTGGTGCCAACTGCATAACAATCAGGTTTACCCCCTGGTTCAGATTTTTATTTTATCAGTACCGGCAGCCAGCTCTCTGACAGGCTGTCCCTTCCTATTGTGGAAGAAGACAATATCCCGTATGTTTGTATCAGTAGCAAACTGCACAGATGGCTCATAACCCATCGGATAATCAGATAGATCTTTACCTGTGTTCTCCACAAATTGGCAATTATTGTAGGTGTCCCAGAGTGCCTTGAAAACCGGCTTTGTCAAAGAATAGTACTGGTCCCCAAGAACAGCTTTCAGGTGTACAGTAGCCTCTTCAAGATGATCTATAATGTCTTCAATACATGTGTCATCACAAATAAAGAGGGAAGTGAGAACGTACAAAAGGGCATCTTGGGGAAGAAATAGTGGGCAACATGATAATAAGAGGCGCCATGCAGAAAAAACTTGCCCATCCATCTCAGGAAGTCGCGGTTGATGGTCGAAGCAGCACCCTGAGTGTACATCCACGCGCTGGCACGGTAGTGAGGCAGGGCAGTATCGGTATGCTGTAGATATGTCACCATGCCGACCCAGTGGTTGACGAACAGCCATGGGATGCCGTAGTACATGGCCACCGCAGCTGTTCCCCATGTCCTGCATGCGAAGTACACCAGGAGGATCATCGACAGTGTGCCAATGTTCGACAGGATGACCGCCCTTCTCTGGCTATCCAGGAACATTACAGCGTATGCTGAGGAAGAGTAAGTCAAAATGCGTGGGGTTATCAGCTCAGTCAAAAACATACGGTTATAATGCGTCGATCCCTTCGGATACGATCTTTTCCCAGAGGCATTGAACACTGAGAGCGAAAGTTAGCGTCACAGCAGAGGCACATTGCCCAACAACGTACAGAAATAGGCAGGGAACCCAAGAAACTGCTGGCGCATAAGCATTAGGAATGCATACAATGGCGTGTCACCTAGATAGTCCTCGTAATCGAGTGTGCCTTCCTTGTCCTCGGGGACATTCAGCTCTGATCTGGTCCAGGGAACATAGACCATGTCTCGCTCCATTGACCCATGGTACACATGGTGCTGGTGGTGTGTGATCCTCCAGCTGAAGAACAGGGTCCAGAGGGCAGTGTCCACGATTTAGCTTGCGGGTCAGCAAAGGGCATCAAACACAGAACGTTGAAGTACGAACGAATCCTATGATGTTGCACACCCACTTCTTCTCAGAGAAAGCCCCGTGAACACACTGATGCGCTTTGGTGAGCCATCTAGCAGCGTATGTCCCTGAGCTGAAAGCATACCTCGTGGCCGATGGCCCACATCCCGGTGAGAACCAAGCTTTGGAACCACCAGCTGCAGGTGATATAGCATCAGCATCAACTGCGCTAGAGGCAGAAGCAAAGCTCTTACTAAGTCAACCATGCAAAGCACCTGCCTACCATCAAGGCTAGTGTACTGACACCGCCGAGTGGTCGGGTAAGGTCGTCAATATGGCGTGCACCATACCACAGTGCAACAGCCATGGTAAAGTCTCTGATAACATATAAAACCCCTCGAAGGGTGTGACGCTTGAACAGCCTCTTAGGGATGGCACTGCGGATTTCATCCATAGATCTGTTGTAAATTGGGTCATTCAGCTCGAGAGTGCACAGTCAAACGAGAAGAGACTTACAGCTCCGGAGGGACAAAGGGCTCCATTTTAGGCTCTGATTCAGTGAAAGAACCTTCTGTCATGTTTTTAGCGACTTTCTAGATCAGGATTATGATTGGTCACTTTGGTGTTGTCTGTGAGGTTGGGCGACCTTGCTCGACTGGGACTGTTAACACGGCTATATAAGCGAACAGCAACAAGTTATGTTTGAAATATTCTATTTAAAACGCACCTTCACGTAACATGTAGCGTTTAAATCAAAGTCTACGTCGCTGCTGAATCATGCAGCGGCACGGTGGAGCACCAGACGGTGCTCACGCACATGGTCATCGCGCGATCAGCATAGCATGCCCAGAGGAATCAAGAATCTGTCTTCAAATTTGTTGGTAGTAACTATATTTCAATAAGCAAGTGCACCTAACGTGCCAAAATGATTTGAGCATACAGCTTTCACAAAGGACTTGAGAGTCGACGGAGACTGCTAGTCACCTCGAAATGCAGCACCTATCACAAATTGTAGCGTGGTGCGGGCTTATGCAAGCATAGTCACAACTTTTTGCTCAACGTTCATGCACTCGTGCCCGGCAAGGTTGTCATTATTATGGATGATACTTACTCTTTCCATAGAATACAAGGCATCTCATTATTCGCACATCATGTTCTCTTGGATATGCCGTACATTTTCTAAAATGCAAACTTGAAAATGACAAAACAGCAAATGCAGACGTGAGAGGTTTGTATTTGCACGAAAAAATTATTATCAGCGCGTACTTCTTCTGTTGAGATATCAGAGCTGGGATTTCACAATTCTGAGTCCTACCCCTTCACACTTTATGAACAGCGTCCCCCATCCCTCTGGTGGAGTGGCTCGATCGATCTGTGGCTACAAATATGCATGATGCACATGCAGAACCCCCAACAGTCTTATATGAACTGTCAACTCTGTGCAATACATGGACATGAGGTATCTCTGTTTATCTCTCGGTAGGCTTGCGTGCTGACATTTGCTGAAATCATACTCTACAACTGAAGGCCACTCACATCATGCGAGGTGATATGCAGATGCCAAGCACGCTGCATGATGCACAGCACACATATCTCAGCAGTTGTTAATGACACATCTTTCGCAGGCTATCCTAGAGTGCTTCTGCCTGTTTGATGCATTGTCTGCTAGTGATCCTCCTGTTCAGGCACTTGAACTTGATGGATAAACTGTGAGATTTGCAGACTTGCAGTAGAATCACTGAAGCTGCGACCCCGGAGACCCGCCAACTATCAGAGCCCTTCCTAATCACCAGTAACCTGTTCAATGCTGGAAACTTTATCGTATGTCTACGTCGCTGCTCTTCATGCTACAAGGACTTGATAAATTGGTGTTTTGAACTTGGAAGAAGCTGCGAGCGCGTGATGTGAAGAGTTCAGTGGGAACTAGGTAGGCACAGAGCTTGTCTATCCGCTTCCTTGGCGCTTACCCCTATAAGCCAGAGGATACCTTCAGCACTGAATGTGCAGAAAGGCATGTCTAACTGGCACCGAAGGAGATGTGGCACGGAGGCAAAAGCTGTGGGCCCACGCCCATCATCCTTGTGCATTTTAGTTTGAATCAGCACTGCCTGGTTCCCATAGTGAGTGAGACATGTCAATGTAAGCACCCCATTTGTGCGCACTGGCAGGTTCTAGGCTCTCGTGCATCTGCTGGTGAAAGCATAGGAGCTCTATGCAGATTGCCGGGGGGAAGGACAAGACGCGCTGCGGGCTGGGGATGTCCGATCAAGAAGGCGTCATTCACTGGATCCCATTAAATCTGTGTTGATTCGGCATCTCTCCCTCGCAGTCCGCAACACTTAAACTTCGCAAGAGTACTCACGACGCATGTCGGACAATCCATGAATATTGCTGATGCTATCGATAAACATCGCTCGGGACAAGATGCAGACTGTCCTTCTGTGAGCTCATCAGGCCTTCAGCCGTAATAGTCTACTATCCCATCATGTATAGCCCGGACCCTCGAGGCAGTGTTTCTTCCATGTCAACCTTCAGCGTGCGCTGTGGCCTGGCATATGCTGATAAATTCTGCAGATACGCATAACGATGGCCAGAGCATGAATAGATGTGGATACAATCTGGTGGTGTAATTAGTGGTCTGTTGTTCCCACCGTGGCATACTTCCCCATTCTGGTCTTCAGCCAGTAGATGAAAGGCGTAGAGTTTACAAGATTAGATCATCCAGGCACGGATGGTTTATTAACATGTCAACCTGCGCATTTGCGGCTCTCCGTGCCTCTAACCTATCTGGTCCGTGTAATCTGCTTCCTGACCGCTCTCAGCATTATGAATCAGAAGTTGATGGTGCACTCTCCAGAATCCGTTCCAGGGGGCTTTTGTCCATTTGCTATGCTGCTCTATGAGGGGTCTCTGTAATTGAATACTTGAGCTTGCCGGAATGGCTATGGAATGCGGGAAGCTTCAAGTTTCTGAAGTCGCCGTCCGATTGAAGGCCTGCTCCGTCAGAGGCCCTCTTTGATCATCGATATACTGGTGCCACCATGTGGCTGCATCACCATTTTTCACGCCACAAGGACCGAGAGCGGGATGTCAACATCCAGAAAGCGGGGTCTCAAGTCTCTGGAAATGATGCAAGCATCTAATGTGAAGGCGCCTGTGGGAACCATGTCGAGATGCAGCTGGCTTTCCCATTCGTCTCCTTGACCTATCTTTGACCAGACCAGTTCTTGTTCAGAAAGTATTTCCACTACTGCAGGGCTGCATGGATTGAACATAGGGCGTGTGGCTCACTTGTATAAGCGCCTTGATCATGTGCATGACTAACAATCATGTAAATGTGATTTGCAATTGCTCCTTTACATGTCTTCAATGGGTCCAGCGGTGACATGCAGAGCGCATTGAAGACACCTTGGTACAGACATCAGGCATCTTGTCGGAACAAGTGAAGCTGCCATTTGCTGCACCTGGGACAAATACCGACCATCTTCCTCATACAGGTATGGCACGATGCAGGCTTCTTCCTGTACAAGAACACTGCGTACCATGGGGCCCCCCAATGCTTGATGCCTATTAAGTTTTGCTACTGTCATGTACTCCTCCATTCTGCCTGGTGTAAGCTATGGCATCGTTTACATCTCTTTATCCTCTTGTCCCCATTTCATCTTAGTTGTACTATGGCTTTCTGCGCAAGAACAATGGTTTTCCTCCGCATTCACGCGCCTTCATCGACAGTGTCTCTGGTCAACATGTTACTCGTGACATCACCTGGGCCCAGAGCCTATTGCTGGCCCGTGGCTTGAGGGCTGCTGACAGCGCAGGCCTTCTACCATTGCACAAGGGTTCAACAGTGCTGATTGTGTGCCCCAACTCCACTTTGTACCCAGTAGTCACAATGGCTCTGGTGAGTACTCACGGCTGCGACGTTTGTATAACCTGCGCAACTTGAAGTGCTCACCACCGACTGTCCGCAGCTGGCATTTGTGGGGCACATGCAAGCCCCATGTACGTTGAACATGAACTGGCCCATACATTCACCATCAGCAATTTGTCACACATTCTCGTTCACCCTGCCGTGCTGCTAGTTGTGATAGCCGCCATGACCAGCATAGAATTCTTGTGTGCAGACATTGAGAAGAGAGTTCTTCTACTGGCCAGACAACTAGATCTATCTGCTTTCATCATTCTACAAGGGGCTTGGGTCACTTTGGACGACCTGCTGAATGTGCTTCCGGATACATCCAGCTCAAGTATTCCAGAAGACTTCAACAGCAGCGATGCGCATCAAACGGCAGTTATATTCTTCAGCTCCGGTGCATCAGATCGCCACTTGTACAACTTGTTGAAATGTGACAAACCTCCTAAATAGAAACCACTGGTTGAAGTAAGGCTGTAGACTTAACTCACCACAATGTCACTGGGATGTTAACCCAAATTGACAAAGCATGGCCACACTACCAACCCGAGCACAATGTTGTCCTTGGTGTAGTCCCCTTCTTCCATGTATTTGGCGGTGTCATCGTCTGCTTTTCTCCTTCCTCAAGGGAATCCCCATTGTGTCCCTGCTTCGCTACAACCTGGCACTGTTTCTCGCAACCATCAACAGATTCCAGGTGATGGTCAGTGTGCCTTCTCTGCCAGACTGAGGACCATATTGATGTGGCAGCAGACTGGCCTCCTGGTGCCGCCCATCTTCAACTTCCTTGCCAAGCACCCGCTTGTCAACGATTTCCGCATGGCGTTGCTGCAGTACATCATCATTGGCGCAGCGCGGATCTCACCAGCAATGATTGGGCTGTGTACAGAGCACTTTGCACTGCGCGGCATCATGCTGAAGGTCAGCCAGGCATACGGGATGAGCGAGATCAGTATGTCCCCCGCCGTGCTGAATTCACGATACATGTGCTAACGATTCCTAATTGCGGCTAGGCGGGTGTGTCTCCTTTGTTCCTCTGGAGTGCCTGAAGGACGGCCTGGCAGTGCCGGAGGATTTCTAGTAGATGAGCAAGGGACACAGACCATACAAGTAGTGCTGTATATTAGCAGATATAATAATAACGCTGACTTGGATTGGTGTGTGTAGCCAATGATGATGGTAAGAATAAAGTTCCACCGAAGCCTAAGAAACCGCTAGAGGCCGCATGGTGCAATTCATAGGTAAGAAGGCCGAGTTCAAGCCGATACTCTTATACTGGTAGATATATATAGTGTTGTACAGTGGTTATGAGTGCTGCAGGCTGCATCAGCAAACGGTCTGGTACTGGAAATGCTGAGAGCCCTGACAAAGCTCGTCAGACCTGCTCAGGATGTTCAGCATTTCTCAGCTGCCCAGACGTCGAGTGCTAAGGTTCGAGCCTAGCCCGAAGCAAAATAAAAATATGAACAAAATAGAAAATTATACTAGAATATATTCATGAGTACAACGATCTTTTCTGTACACTCTAATACGATGGCGAGCCTAGATGGTGGGGTCAGTGGACATACCTTCCACTAATCCTTTGCCACTTGTATAACCTGTAACCAAGACCGTATGGTGCCATGGATTCATTCCGTCGCCACCAAATCGCGCTGCAGTGGTATGCTTTGTTTGGCGATTGAGAGGCGGAGGCCATTTGGTGGGCCAAAAGAATGGTGCTATGGACATAGCAGGCTGGCGAGGCTGACCTGATGGTACTGAGCACTACTGATGGCACTGAAACAATGTGCAGGCCAGTATCTGAGGAACACGATTGTGTGAGCTGACTCTAGACGCACTAAGCAGGATGAGATGGGATGGAATGAAATGGGATGAAATGGTTTTGAGCCAGCACATGGTGGCTGTGGCTTTCCCGCAAACAACAACCCCATGCCCCACAAGATACAAGTAATATGCTCAGAGTCATGTCATGTCACGGCAGCTATGCAAAATTTAATGCTCATCTTGTGAGTCACATCAGGAGTGTCTGCGCTGCGCTTGTGAAAGCAGACACACACTAACGTGCTGGTTGAGCACCTGGTGGCCAACTCCCTGGTAAAGTGCCCGGAGTTGTCTCCAGTGTAAAGTGTGCTAGAATACAGGTCACATACTGGGACCTGTATCAGAAATCCCTAGTGAGCCAAGCAAATATCTTCTCAAACTAATTGGTGTATTTCAGCATGTGGTTGTAGGGCCCATGGCAATTATTAGCAAGTGAGCTGAGGGGTTACATGATTTCTCCCATAGCTAATTGCATGAAGGCTTGAATGTTATTGGAGTTAACAGTCGAGGTCCTTGAAATCACTGTTGTTGCCATGAGCCCTTCGTGCAACTTGGGTGCTTGTGCCCGCAGCCTGTCATGGTCTATAGGCACATGCCGGCATTATGAAACCTCTTCAAGGCACTGTTCTGTGATATTGGTCAATTTCCCTCCCCATTGCATACTAGACACTGCGTTGCGCAAACTGTCACCTCTACCTCACAGGCATTGTGAGCAGTTCCTATTTGTCTCGTACAAATAGACTTACTTGTTTTGGAAGCGGGCGGGACTCAAGGGCGTGATGGCAGGTTAGGAGCAGATCTACACTGAGTGTCAAATGTAAATGAACACCCACTCGACACTCTCGTTCTCCGTGACCCCTGAGTTTTAAATGCCAGAAATATTTGTGCAAGATGTATCATACATAAGAACGCTAAATATAAAATTTTGAAAGCTTTAAGCAGATTGCAAGAATGTTATGAAAGGATGACATCTCAACTCACACTCAAGCTGGCACTTTTGACAGAAGTTTGGCCATGCTCTGCCAAAATACCGTGGCCTATGCACCCAAATTTTTTGTAGGATGCTTCGCCCCTTGCTCCTAGTAACCAGGGCTATTCATAAGGGGATGCTCCCCAGAGCTTTCCAGCTAATAATGGATCTTGGCAGTATTCTTCCTCTCACATTGCCTTCCACTACTGACTCTTGGCTAGAGACTGAAGGTCCCTCTTTTCCACTCAGTAAGTCAAACAACCTTGAAATTGTTTAGCAGAGTTGTGATCAGAACCTCAGGAGAAAGAAAGCAAAGCATACACACCTTCCTTGGTGGACTGCTTGCATGTTCTCTCTAAAGTGTGCTCCAGAACATTCTTCTACACAGAGTTGAGCACAACTTAGAGAACTATGCTACTTCTTAGGATAATATACAAGAGATTGACAAAGGTTTGAAATACAATTGTGGAGATTTACAATGCCAGGATGCAATATACTTGACTGGTGCTCTCTGGTTTGTCAGTTCCACAGGTAATTGCCTTCTCTCAACCAAATACATGCTTTCCAATGAGCTGTATTGGATGGTAACTCCATTCTATGCTATTCCAAGTCATATCATGGCCATCTGAGTGGCAGGGAATGCACATGGACTTCTGGGAGAATATGTAACACCTCCACTCCTCAAATTTCCAGAGCATGATTGCTTCCATGTAAAATACCTGAAAGGGTCTCAAAAATTTTCTTGAGCAAGTCAGACTCCAAATATAGCTGCAAGAGAGCCGAATAGTTTGTGGTACAGATCTTACATCTAAACCTGCATTATGTATGCAAAAGTTGCTCTAGAAACTGGCTGTAGTGCACAATTTTTGCTAATCATTATATTACAATTCTCTGTGAATATTCAAGCCAAAACCTTGTAGAATGTATACAAGTAAAAGCTTAAGAGTAGCTTGGAGACTCATGCTGCAATAGTAGCTGGATCTTGGGCGGCGTGGGTGTTCATTTACTTTTGACGCTCAGTGTATTTCTGATTCATGGCTAATCTACGCTATCAGCAGGAAAGCCACAGCCACCGTGTGCCTGGCTACCATAGGCTACCATCCATTCACTTTAGAATTAAGCACGCCTCGATCTGACAAACCTTTGTCAGGGTGTCTCAGGGCCCATGCAGTTTTGCTGATGACTGGCTGATCTGAGCTGCTTGAAGGAGCTGTGCTTGCTCTATTTTGAGCGTAACCGTTTAACTGGGACAAGCCTTGATATATAAGCTTAATGTACGTAGGCTTTATCGGATGGTCAGCGCAATAAACAAGCCTCTGTGGAGGTTCACCACTCACTCTTGAGGATATCAGCTCACTTCCCAACTCCCATCGGATCTTCGCCATTTTCTTCTGCCTTCGATCAAACTGTGCATGAAAGGTACTACGCTATGCCCACCGACAATCCACTGGAGAGCAGCATTTTGAGCATAAAATTAAACACACAAATGGAGTCCACCATTGCCAATGTAGAGAAGCTGGAGAACGGAGCCTCAGTCCACTTGTCAGGAGTGAGGTCGAAAGGAATACGATTCTGGCTTATAATCCTGGCCATCTGTGTCTCTCTCTTCGCGTCTGCCCTTGAACTTGTGAGTGGCAAATAAAATTCTCTCCAGGACCGTAGCTGACACCCTGTCATACACCTTAACATAGTCTGCCATATCCACAGCACTGCCAACCATCATGCATGACCTGAATGGCACGGATTTTGTCTGAGTTGCATCGGCCTATGCTCTGGCCTGGACCGCGCTGCTGCACGCAATGGGTAGCATGGCACAGGTACGTCAATGTGTGCTTGCAAGCCATCTTGTCTGATGGTCCTCAGGTATTTAGATGGTGACCTTGCATGCTGTTGTTGCTGGCCTTGTTCACCCTTGGTAGTGCCCTGTGCAAGGCTGCCAAGACAATGAACTGGCTGATTGTGGCTCGTGGTGAGTTGAGCACCAGCAGTCGATCCAATTGCATCCTCAAAGGTTATGTTACTTGTAGCTATTCAGAGCACAGGCGGCAGCAGCATCATCACGATTACTGTGCTAGTCATTGCCGACCTCGTACCACTATCCAAGCGCAGATTATACAATGCGTTTGGCGGCCTGTAAGTCTGGCGCACTATGCACTGAACGCAGTGGTTTTATTTCATTTTATCATGGCCCTTCAGAACATGGGCGGTTGCTCCAGGGATGGGTCCAGTAGTGGGCGGCGCATTCGCTAACAATAGACAGTAGAGATGGCTGTTCTGTATGTTGCTGATCTGTGTCATGCCTACAGGCTCTATTCTAACCCTAATATCGCAGACCTCAATCTCCCATTGACGGCGGTGGCAGGAGCGCTTGTCATACTGTTTCTCAATGTCAAGACACCACAAAGTTCATTTCGTGAAAAGGTGGCTTGAATGGACTGGATGTAAGTCTTCTTGTCCTCTGCAAAGTGCAAAACAACTCAATGTTACCTTGTGGTAACGTGCTCGTCATGAGTAGCTCCATTGCTGTGGTCCTCGCTCTTACGTGGGGTGGCGTGCAATATCCCTGGAGCTCTGCACAGATATTGGCACCACTCATCATAGGTCTTCCTGGTCTGTTGTTGTTTCTGCTGTACAAAGCAAAGGTTGCGAAGCATCCTATGGTATGTACCGAATTGTTGCGTGCATGACTTTGTCTTAGTGCTATGTAGATTCCCATCTCACTTCTGTCCAATCGTATGAGCTTCAGTGGGTAAGTTGACAACCTTGTGCTAATGCACATGGACTGACAGTTGGCACAGCTATGCACAGACATTCATATTTTCCATAATGGTCATTTCAATAATCTGTAAGTCAGGCATTTTCACTTTAAGTTAAAAGACTCTATTCCAACTTCTATTACCTGCAGAACGGAAACTTCATGCCAGTGCTCTTCCAGGCTAGCTGGGGTGCATCACCTATTCGCTCCAGAATCCTATTATTTGGGTTTGCCCTGGCCATTGGTCTGTTTGTCGTTCTCTGCACGGTGAGCATAACAGCGACGAAGACGTACCAAGCACAGCTCTGGATCGGATGGGCGGCCTGCCTCGCTGACCTTGGGATCCTGGCAATGCTGGACGAATGCACCGACATTGCACGCGCAACTGGCGGGCTTCTTGTCTTCGGTCTCAGCAGCAGCCTAATTTATGCGGCAACCTACTTTTCTGTGTTGGCCCCACTCCCTACTATGAAGAACACCCACGCGATGGCTTTCTTCCAGTTCCTCCAGTTATTCGCCACTGTAAGTGGTCCAGCGTCGCATTTCAGTCAGTTATGAGACTGAGTTTCTTGGGTATATGCAGGTCTGGGGAGCAACTATCAGCACAGCTGTTCTGCAGACACAGCTCAAGAAGCAGCTGCCTGCAGAGTTCGTTAATGAACTCCCTGGTGGCATTGCAATCGTGTACTCTGCCATCACTGTCATACTGAGTCTGCCTGAGCCACTGCACACGCAAGTGCGTGCTGCATTCGCGGACAGCATCTGCATACTCTGGCAGGTTTTCGTCAGCATTGGTGCTATTGGTACCCTGGTGTCACTTCTGATGAAGGGACTGCTGCTGCACACGGAGGTTGACAAACAGTGGGGGATGGAGCAAAAAGAGGGCAAGGGGACAATTGGCGAGGGACAGGCTCAGGTTGTGGCTCTCGAGATTGAGCCGGACCTCAATTACTCAGTAAATCAGGTGGACTAGCTCTTGGTGGCCCACCACTCATATTCTTCAGCTTATCCTCATGACATCGTGCTCACTTTAATATTAACATCCTTTAAACCCGCTGCTGCCAGCTGCATGCTCTTTGTCCATGGATGTTGCCAGGCCAATATGAACCGCGTTATTTATTTATTTATTTTGCTTCGCCTTTTTATACATAGGTGAGCTCGTGAGTCTGCGACAGGCTCATTCCAGAGGACAGCATCCAGTGCGTGGCCTGCTGTGCCATACTGCGACATGCACTTTTGTGTAAACATTGCTGAGTGGCACAGATAGGGCCGCAATTTTCTCTTGCGTTTCGGCAGCTCACAGTGGACGTAGATATTTGGTCGTCGCATCACAATGCTGGGCTCGCTGGCTGTTTTTGCTCTATAAGGTGCTCTTTGTGGCACAGCAAAGATGATGAATTGGCTTATTGTCGCGAGGAGTATGTCTCTCAGAGTGTGCTTGATAGGAAGAATACTGAGCACTGTTGCTCCTATTCAGCTGTACTAGGTGCGGGAGGCGGAGCTATCATGTCTATCACTGGCATCATCATCTCCGACCCTGTACCCCATGTGAGAATGTGCCATCTATGACGCAATCATCAGAATGTGGGTGCATTACTAGCGAGCTTGTCAGCTCCGCTTTGGTTGATTCTGGTAGGATTTGGGGCTTAGCGTTAGCGTTAGGCCCACTTGTCAGCAGTGCCCTTGCCAACGGCGGACAATGGAGGTGGCTTTTCTGTGAGTGTCCTCATAATGATGAATATGTCACTGTCTCTAATTGCATACAGCATTAGACCTCAATCTTCCGATATCCGGCGTAGCGGCAGCATTGGTGTTTGTTTTTCTCTGTTTGAAGACACCTGAGAGCACATTTCGCGAGAAGATCGCACAGATGGATTGGGTGTCAGTGTTATCTTATCCTTGAGTGATGCGCTGACTTGTAGCTATTCAGTGGCAATTTGGGTATTATTGCCAGCTCCACAGAGACGGTCCTTGGTATTACATGGGGCGGTGTCCAGTCTGCATGGACATCTGTACAAGTCCTTGTTCCGCTCATTCTCAGCCTCATTGGAATTGTTGCATTTCTTTATATATCTACGAGGCTTTTATCCCAACACATCCAATTATGGCAGCCCATTTGCACAAAAATTAGCATGGCATACAAATTCAAGCCCTGCCATCAAAAACATAAGTAATGTCGGTAAGCACGTTCAACTCCGCTGTCAAACAATAACTAATCGCTGTTAAACAAAGTTGTGCCAGCAAAGAAAGACTTGCTCGCCAGCAAACAAAGGTGTTAATTTGCACAGGTAGTCATTTTGCTATGAAAGCAGATGCAAGATGTTAAGTATCAGGGATTGGGTACACACAGAAGACTGTCAGATCATGCCCTAAATATGGGCATAAGCCGTTGCTAGCAAAGTTCGAGCACACGGTATAGAATTAACGCAGTAAGGGCCGCGAAGCTTGATATCATCGCCCAGAGTTAGCCACACGAGTTTACATTGCACCCAGCTGCCTATTATGAGCAATACACAACTACTTCTGAAGTCGAGGAGGCCGACATGTGTCATACTTACCCAAGTTAGTAGGGGAACCATAATGGCAAGAGCATGTCTTGGGTCCTGAAACAGTGCTTTGACTGCAGTGGGACATGTTCAGTGCTATTCATATCATACGCAATCTAGCACGTTAGGCCTGCTCGCATTGCATAAGCTGCATCATCAGGACACAGCGGCAGCGATCTTACCATGACAAGCTTACTGATGGAGTATGTGGGGCGTTCGAGAAGTGTGGTATTGCGGTACAATACACTTATACACTGCCAGTGCCATCAGCTGACATGGCCACTGAACAGATAGGGCCTTGAATGTACAAAGACAGCCCAACACAGGCTGCCAGTGTGCATCCAAAGCACTAAGTGTCTTGCGCGACCTTTGACCTCTGTATGTCATTATAGAGAGCTTGCAAGTGACTCAAACGAAGCAGACGCCTTCATCTCTGTTTTTGTTGATAGAGCCTAGAGACCGCCTTGGAGGCAGCATGCAGCATAGGTATCTCAGTTGCAGTCGAGACTGGAGGCCTCTGACTCTTGCAGAGATGTGAAGTTGACAGATTGACCAAAACTAGGTAAGTATCAGAGACTCGGATCTCTGGTTACTACATGACCTTCAGCCCCTTTCACTGTCTCTTGCTTTCCCCGCAGACACTCTGCGCATGGATTCTTTCCTCTACTGTATTTATAGTTTCCTTATATGTGTTGCTTCTCGCACTTATCGCATCAGGCCATGAAACAAAATTTCACACTCCAGCCCACCTTCTCGAGCCAGGGCTCAGCCTCTGTCTCTTGCTAAAGGGCGCGCTCTTGCATAGTCCATACTGACTATATGCAGGCATCAAGTCTCCTTTCTTCACTCCAACAATTAGCCTCATGCCAGCTCCTTCATAGTTTAAGTATTGCTTGCTGCAAACTGGCTTCCAGTGCAGTGATTTTTATGGTCAGTCGGTCGGCTCTGGTAAGCTCCTGCTCATGCAACCTGCCTGCAGCTATGCATAGTAGACTCACCAGCTAGATATGGCCTCTAACTTTTTAGTATCATTGACCACATCTTATTGCCAGTTCATGTGTCTCATGCAGCTAAATTTCCAGTAAGTATGGACTGTGAGGGGAATTTCCTGTGTGTGTATGTGTTTGCCAGTGAGCATGAGTCTCTTTGCCAGCAAGACTTCGTTTGACAGCGTCCAGTTATTATTTGACAGTGGAGTTGAACATGTTTACCGGCATTACTTATGTTTTTGACAGTGGGATTTGAATTTGTATGCCGCGCTAATTTATATGGTGGCCTGTTTGCACAAAAATTAGCGCGGCATACAAATTCAAATTCTGCTGTCAAAAACATAAGTAATGCCAGTAAACATGTTCAACTCTGCCGTCAAATAATAACTGACCGCCGTTAAACAAAGTCTTGCTGGCAAAGAAAGACTTGCTCGCTGGTAAATGATGTTAATTTGCACAGGTAGTCACTTTGCTATTGAAGCAGATGCAAGGTGCTAAATATTAGGGATTGGGTATGCACAGAAGACTGTCAGATCATGCCCTAAACATGGGCATAGGCTGCTGCCAGTATTAGTGAGGTTTGAGCACATGATATAGAACAAACGCAGTAAGAGCAGCAAAGCTTAATCACCCAGAGTTAGCCACATGAGTTTACATTGCACTTAGCTGTCTAATATGAGCAACACATGACTACTTTGGAGTCAAGAAGGTCAGCAGGTGTCATACTTAGTACTTACCCAAATGAGTAGGGGAACCATGATGGCAAGAGCATGTCCCAGGTCCTGAAACAGTGCTTTGAGTACGATGGGACATGCTCAGTGCTATTCATATTATACGCAATCTAGTACGTCAGGCCCGCTCGCACTGCGTAGACTGCATCATCATGACACAGGAGCAGCAATCTTACTATGACAAGCTTACTGATGGGGTATGCAGGACGTTTGAGAAGTGTGATATTGTGGTACAATACACTTGTGCACTGCTGGTGTCATTGGCCAACATGGTCACTGAACAAATAGAGCCTTGAATGTACAAAGGCAGCCCAACACAGGCCGCCAGTGTGCACCCAAGGCACTAAATGTCTTGTGCGACTTTCGACCTCTGTATGTCATCATAGAGAGCTTGCAAGTGACCTGCATTTTGAGCAAAGCAGATGTGTTCATCGCTGTCTTCATCAATAAAGCCTGGAGACCATCTAGGTTTGTCTTCGTGTTGCGTCATTTTTGACCTCCGGCAAGAGCATGCGAATAAACTGAATGAACATTAATCACAAGAACAAAGGAGCGATAAAGATGACCAATTATATTGTAAGTAAATGCGAGATAAGGAATGTGGAGGTGGATGAAGGCTGAAGGCTTCCCGATGTGACTGTGCACAGAGCTACTGAGCCCAAGGATGAGCCGCAACAGGTGGGTGGGTCAAGTGAGGTGGGCGGGTCAAGTGAGGTGCAATGCATTCAGTAACAGTTCTCATAGATATTGGTAAAATAGACATGACACAAAGCCATAGAGTATAAAAGATCTGGCATCTGGCCAGATTTACATATGTTACATGAACTGTGCATCAACTATTTTCACAGCTTGTAACAAAAGCTATTGTCTATTCAGATCAAATTATATTGATCTGGCCTGATTAGAGCTATATTTCAATTAAAGCCACAATTCCATATTGGTGCAGCATGCTTTGGCCTGGTCTTCTTGCTTGCACTTTGTGATTGCTAGCTATATATACAATTGGAAATGCTTACTTGAATTGCTAGTTCTAAGCTTTTGTTGCCAGTTTCTAGCTATCAAACCAACTTACTAGAAGCTCACATCTGACATTATTGTTGCAGCTAGCAGTAGCAGCAGTTACAGCTTTTTAACTGATGTTGCAGCAGTAGTACTTTGCATGGATGTGAACATTTGGCCCTTTATGCATGTTGCTCTTGTAATTAACTATATTAGTAACCAAAATATATTGGCCTTATATATGCAAAAATCAAATCAAACAGTATTAGCAATAACAGCTATGTGTCAATCAAAAGTAGATGCTAGCTGGAGATTAACATGTATATCAATCAATTATAAATACCAATTGAAGCTGTACACTAATTAGAAATAATCAGCCAGAGATGTTATATTAACCAAAATCTTATATTGGCTTAAGATATATACTGGACAGGGATATATGCTGTCTATGCTAGCCAAAACTATATACATGCTACTCAAAAATATATGCTAGTAAAAGACATGTGCTGGCCAGAGGTATATACTGATCAGAGATGTATCACTGGCCAAAAACACATGCTGGCCAGAAATACATGCTGGCCAAAAATACACACTGGCCAGAACATGTGCTGGCCAGGAATACATGCTTGCCAGAACATGTGCTGGCCAGAAATACATGCCAGCCAGAAATACATGCCGGCCAGAAATACATGCCAGCCAGAACATGTGCTGGCCAGGAATACATGCCAGCCGAAACATGTGCTGGCCAGAATATGTGCTGGCCAGGATATATGCTGGCCAGGAACATGTGCTGGCCAGTGATACATGTCAGCCAGAAATATGTGCTGGCCAGAAACATGCTGATAAAAGACACTGGCCAGATATATTGGCTGAAAGTATGCAAGCTAAAACAAAGCTATGTATAGTGTAGCATATAAACCACTGACACCACCTAGTTATGTTTACAGGCTATAAAGCTGCTATATCCACTATATTGGTGGGTGATATAGAAGAAATACTGATATGCAGCTGTAGAGGCTTGATTTAGAAAGTGTGTATAGCAGGTTCATTTTCATTTAAGCTAGTGAATTTTACAAAGAATTCTTTTATTTTATTTCTGGCCAGCTATAGCTAATCTAAGTTAACTGGAAGTTTGTCATGCAGCATGCTTCACAACTCATGTAACCATTGTAACTGAACTGTGTGTGAGGTAGGCGGGTGGGAGAAAGGAGCACAATGTGATACCAGCCCCAACAACACAGGTAGCTACAGACACAGGCAGACCCATGAAATTGCCAAACTAAGAGAAGAGAGGACACAGAAAAAATAAAGGAAAGTAAAGCCAAGACCTAATAGGAAACTTGTGTGTTAAGAGAGAAAGTTTGAATATAATCCTGATGCTGGCAGTCCAGGATGGACTCCGCAACACTGATGATAAGCTAGCAAATGACCCTACGCAGTGGGCAATATACTCTCATTTGTGAGCCCTTCTACTCGCACGGTCACCTGCACCGAGTATCCCAGCGGGCAATGGCGAAGTGCTTCGATAGGTGATGCGCTGAAACGGATACGGTGCTCGAGGCGACGCAACCATAGCAGTTGAACCCGTGCATACAGAGCCAGAAGCTTGACTCTGGTGGCCTAGAGGTGGGGTACGGTGCCGAGGAGTGTACTATCTGGCTGCACAACTACTGCAGCAAATACAGCATGGTGTGGCTGCAAGCTACGAACATGGCAAAGTTGAACAACAAGGAGGATGGCTCCTGTCAGGTTTTCCAGGATAACGGTATCACCGCTACCCAAGTGGATTGAGCAGCTGCATATCGTGAGGTATGTGCAGCAGTCACCCTCAGTACGGATAGAGAAAGGCACAACTTGCAGGTGTTAAGCACCAGTGTGTTCGAGTTAAGAGATGAACTCGATGGAATAGTCAGCTTCCAAAGACACAGAGGAAGTTTCTGATGCTGATGAAGAAGAGATGGGCGCAGCAGCCTGGTCTTGCTGGCATGCACATTCTTCCAATAAGATTGTGGGATGGAGGGCTCGGATTGGCAATGGGGGTGGAGTTATGAGAGAGCACGCAGGTGGAGCGTCACCGATCAAATTGAGGTCCAGCTCATATTCCACATCTCCCTCTACAATCCTGCTGTCCTCTTCCACATCTGCATTCTCATCATCGCCCTCCTCTACAATCCTGCTGTCCTCTTCCACATCTGCATCCTCACTGCCTTCCTCCTCTTGAGCACTCAAAGGCACCGTCTACCAGGGTCCATGACTGACTACGTATTCTTCTGCCAAGTTGTATGTGATGCTGGGAATCACAGTGTGCATGAGAGGATTATACTGGAAATCATGGAGGACGTGTGAAGCTGGAGATTGGAAGGGCACAACTACATGTTTGACGTGAGTGGAAACAAGTGTTTGCATGGAAGGAGGAGAGTGTAACGTCCACTCTTCAGCAGCAACAGCCATGGTGACGACGAAGGCACTGTGAAGGACAATTTTGAGGGGTGTATATATAATGGTGAATTATTCAGGCACGTGCATCTCGCTTCCAACGTGAGAAGTAATACACAAGGAAATTGACAAAGTTAGTAAGCGCAAACAGCATATTAGAAAGCAGAATATGAGACGCTGAGCAGAAGTATAATGCAAAATAAAGGTTTCCCAAATATGTGTACATAGCCAGAGGCCAGTATGAGGCAAGAGAGAAGTGGGTGGGACAAAAAGGACACAAACTGGCCTAGTTCAGGCTGCGTATGTTGAGGCCGTGCAAGTTGCTGGTACAAGCGCAAGCGCTTCTTGCAACTCGTTGGCCAGCTCCTAGACCATACTCCAGGGTTAGGACTCCTAACCCTAGACTGGTGATCTAGGTTTGTCTTCGTGTTGCGTCATTTTTGACCTCTGGCAAGAGCACATGAATAAACTGAATAAACATTAATCATGAGAACAAAGGAGTGATAAAGATGACCAATTATATTGTAAGTGAATGCAAGATAAAGAATATGGAGGTGGGTGGAGGCTGAAGGCTTCCCGATGTGACTGTGCACAGAGCTACTGAGCCTGAGGATGAGCCGCGATACCCAAACCTTTAGGAGTTAAATGGTGCATCAGCTCAGCCTACACCCCAGCATAAGGAGAGAGACTACATACCAATTTGCTCAATTCAACGCACTGAAGGGAGCTCAGTATGCACTACCAGCTGCTGCCAGACTGCTGGATTGGCCTGCATGTATGGTGCCATGATCTCTGCATGCTGACACAGATAAAGACAAAATGCATCACTTAGCCACCTGCCCTTCACTTTGACAACCTCAAAGGGCAGGCTCTGCAGAAGATACTCCAAGGTACCACCAATGCGAAAGCAGTGATTCGAGTAGTTGTCCGTGATCCCAGCGCCTTTTGATGCTGCTTGGAACCGTCGTATGAAGGCATCTTCAGTGAGCAGACGACAATTAATGCACCCCGATCTGTTGAGCACCTCATATGTGAACGGGTGTTCATTTGGCTGCGGGCAGTTCACTGCTTCGTGATTGGCCAGGGCATCATCAGGATCAGTATCATCCAGTTGTTTGCCCCAATACACGTCCTTGCCATTGGGGGCTGATTTCGTGCGCGGCAAATGTATGATAGTCACAGAGTTGCTGTCTTGGTCAGTGACGCCCCGTCTGACATTAGATATGGTCACATAAAGCTGCGGATTAAATGCTGATAACTTGGTCACTGTGAACTCACCTGATCGTGCAATGCCATGCAGCAATGCGGTCGCACAAGCATATACTGCTGCATCAAGTGAGACAGATAGGTCAAGATGTGTTCGCACACGAGAGAGGATGGCAATAGTGAGGGGTGGTCGCTTCGCCCGGGTGATGCGTAGCGAAGGTGGCTGTTCCACGTCCAAACGGAACAGCATTGCAGCAGCACCGCGTACCATGAGCTGTTGTTGCGTGCTGTCCAAGTGCCATGGTAGCCAGTATAGATGGTGCCAGGCTTGAATTCCGGCCAAGTAGTTTGTGAGCGCACTGATGGAGTACGAGCCTGGGAGTTTGGCCAGGAAAACACAAAGAAGCTCGCTGGATGCAGGTGCTCGGCTCGGTTCTGGAATTGATCGGGCATTGCAGATGGCATGAAAGAGTAACAAACCAGCCCCATACATTTCGAGTGTACTGGGAGCCCATGCTACTGACATTACAGCAGCAACACGAACAAAGTCGTCCTCTATAATGAATGGAGAGGCTTCTACATCGAGAGAGGAAGTTGGCCGCTATAACTTTAGGTGGTCACCCGCAGCGCAGGGAGGTCATAGAGCCGAAGGTAGAAGGGCCAGACGTTGTCAAGAAGCTACTGTGAATCCTGAAGACTGCACAGCCTGAGCGTCAGATAGAGGCTCCATGCCGGAGGGTGTTTGCGAGGAGCTGGTGCTCATATTGTTGTTTGTTGTGCAGCTCTGCAGCTGCATGAGCGACTGGATTGTCATCTGATGGTGGTTTTGAGTAGGCTGCTGGCCAGAGTGCATGCGAGCTGTCTGAGATGGAGGAGACATTGTCCATGAGCTCAGCAAGTGCGACAGGAAGAGGGATGTGCGGGAGGAGTCGGTCGAGGGATGGGTATACTTCACAAGAGGGTCCGTTGGCAGGATTGCTTGAGCTTGCAATATAGCGGGTGCATACAGTGGTGTTGTAGATGGCCAGGGTGCAGTGAATGCGTCGAAAAACATCGTTGACTGGCCAGCTTCTGCTGCACCCGCTCCACCAGCCTTCGACAACTCCCTTGTTGTCTCCGTAGACCAAGAATGCGTTGTCTGACTCACCAAGGCAGATGACCATATGGACGAGCAACTCGAATCCAACTGCCTCTGCCCACCCGATGTCTCGCCCACCACTCTGCCATCCTCACTGCAGCTTCCAAGCTCTCCAACGATCTCTGACCACCACTCCAATTCCAACTTCTGAGCTTGCATCTGAGTATGCGTGCAGATCGCGCAGAGTGAGAGGGCCTGGTATTGAGCGTGGCATCAACAGTTTGCTAAGTAAACGATCCCACCATGCGATATTGTCCGGGGTGCCTACCGGAGGAGTTTGTTTGAGCCAGTGATTGGCTCGAAATGTTCCCAAAGTGACCTCAAGGTTTGTGAGATATGCGCAACCTTCGGGATAACAAGTGATGCGTGGAGGAGCTTTCCGTATAACTGTTCAACTTTGTCCAGCTTGTGAGTGCGCGTGCCTGCCTGCCAACCATGAACAGCTGCCAGGTATTTTGAGCGCTTTGACTGTGGCAAGGTGACGGTCTTTGACTTTAAGTCCCAGAGCAGCCCTGTGAAGACAAAGGAAAAGGACCATGGTGTTGTCTTGTCCACCTGCCATGGAATTCCAAGGTCATCGCACAGCGCATTGATGTTGGCTGCACAATAAGAGAATGTTGCATCCTCTGCACTTCGCAGTGACTGCCGCAATAAGTCCTGAATGGGAAATATCATGTCCTCATCAAATTCTTCCATGCGACCATCTGGTAGCACATTCCCACCATACCGATAGTGTTCTCCGCTAATATGCATGCCTCCATTTGTGACAATGCACTTGCGACATGCTTTATGATGCTCATTGTAAGACTCAAGGTTCTTAAGCGGCACTCACAGAAATGGCACATCATCAACCCAATGAGACAGTGGTCCCATGCCGGCTGTGCGGATGATGTCGAGACCTGCGTCAAGAGTGTGCTCAAAGGTGCCAGGGAAGCTCGCTCCTTCAAGGCTGGCCTGAGTGTCCACAGCAAAAGCATCAGGTTCTGGGAGGCACACAACTGTGCCTGGCCATTGAGACTCATGCAATAGAATGGTGCAGTATGCCTCCGCAACATCATGCACGCACCCTTGGAATCCAGGCGGAAGGTACCAGACCAGTAGACAGAAGGCAGTGAAGGTGCCCCAGGTGCACGGAAATTTATTAGAGTCGATATGCGCATTAATAGAGCTGTATTCTGCAGAGGGAGTGTGGGGATGGGAATAGTTCTGTACAATACGAAAGGTGCCAGGCTTGTTCGCTTTGGAAATAATCAAGATCAGAGAGCTCTAAAAGTGACCTATCTCCAGCTCCAGTGCAGCCTGGGTGAATGGGCCAATGTATCTGCTGAGGCGAAACTCTTTGTCCAAAACTGTTCGAAAGGCGTCAGTGAACTCAGCCAGGGATGGGTGGTTGTTCAGAGCGTGTGTTTGAGTGATGCAAAGAATGCCGAGGTGGAAGCCCTGCTGCAATCTGAGCACCACCGATGGGTACTTTTCCTCCAACCAGTGCCGGCGCAGCCAGAATGCCCAATGAGCAGCCTTAAGTGGTGTTTGCGCTTAGTGCTTTCTGCACCAGATGACAGGTGTGAGCACCGTGGTCTGAACTTCCACACCCGGAGCATATGTGGATGTGAGCTGAGCTACTGGAGGTGCATCGAGCTTGGCGCTGCCAGTCGATGCAGAGCTCGGCTCCTTTGTTGTTAATGATGTGCATCAACTGTGGGTCGCGGCAGCATCGTGGGAGGCACCCATCCCAGGTGATATTGGTGTTGCAGCGATGAAGGTTGTGGCAATGACGTCCGAGGCAGACTGCACATACTGGGCGGTCAAGGAAGGCATCTGTGAACTGGTGGAGTGAGCCCGTGGTTTGCTGTTGGTATTGGCCAGAAGGCTGCATGGGCACTGCGGAACATTGGATACGAGAGCCGGGCAGTCTGGCTACAGGGCTGCCTGAAGCAGAGGTGAGGGCATTGAGAGCACGCCAGATGCCCTGTGTGCTGAAGCAAGCCGGAGTTGTGCAACAATCTGGTAGATATCATCCGAGGTGAACGCAAAGATGCATGCAGGTAACAGGTTGACAAACAGACGCAAATGACGCAATGGTGACACAATGGACGAGAAGGATGTGAGAGAAAGGCAATGCACAGTTCCAAAGAGAAATGGCAAGCAGAGTGTGCATGTGAGAGATTGAACGCAGCACGAAAGCACACAGAGCACATACCTGGCTTGAAACTCAGCTTGTGCTGCAGCGTCAGCTGTCCGTGCAGCAGCTTCAGTTGTGCGGGCATCACACTCAACAGTCTTGAGATGGGTATCGAGCAGATTGTTGCTGATTACGGACACATCGAGAACCAGGAGGTCACCTGCCAGTCAGTCAAAGTAGTCGGCAGATATGGTGGCCATGTAGTGAATGACTGCACAGTCGCCATCGGGACCATCCGACTGCCAGATAAAATGGTGCTGCAGGGCTAGGAATGCCTTTGCCCACATGTTGACATGGTCCTGGGGGTAACTGACAGTCCGCATGCTATCAATGAATTCACCCACCACAAAAGACCAGTTGTCCCACATGAGAGATTCATCAGCAATTGTGTATCTTGGCAGACGTGACAAGGCCACAGTGCGCAGATTGCCATCCACGCCATGGCGTAGCAAGATAGTGACATCCTTCCGAACCAAGGAGGACAGGGACGACGCCCGTGCCATGCCTGCTCTTGTCTAGCACCATAGAGCTGGCTTTTTCTTGTCCTCCAGGGCCCAAAGTGCAACCAGAGCTACTCGGCGTGAGAGGCGACATGAGTAGTGGCGCATGCGGTCGATTGGCGAGAGCGTCAGAGACTTCCAAGAGACTGTGACATCTGCATGGGCAACTGGCCCATTAGGTGCCGGAACTACGGGAGCTGCTGGTGGCAGTGGAGGCAGAGGTCCTGGAGGAGGAGGGAGACCTCCACCTGGTAATTGCAGAGGAGGAGGCAGAGGCGGCGGAGGCGGCTGTGGTGTCACCAGTGACAAAAGGTAGGTCTGCAACCGGCCATCAATCTGCTCGTCTGAGTCATCAGCAAATTGAGCATGCAGGCCCATGTGCAACAAAACGCGAAGGTCAAGTTGTCCAACATGGCCAGGAGGCTGCTGTCCAGAGTCCATTATTGATTCACAGAAGAAAGACATGGCAACAAGTTGAAGAACTCCTGCTACACAAAATTCCAAGGTACAAAGGAATCAAATAGCCAATTATGGCTCACCAGACCGCAAAAAGGACACAAACTGGCCTAGTTGAGGCTGCGTGTGTTGAGGCCGTGCGAGTTGCTGGTATGAGCGCAAGCGCTTCTTGCAACTCGTTGGCCAGCTCCTAGACCGTACTCTAGGGTTAGGACTCCTAACCCTAGACTGGTGATCTTGGAGGCAGCATGCAGCATTAGACTGGAGGCCGCCTCTCTTGCAGAGATGTGAAGTTTGCAGATTGACCAGAACTAGGTAAGTATCAGAGACTCGGATCTCTGGTTACTACATGACCTTCAGCCCCTTTCACTGCCCCCTACCTTCCCCACAGACATTCTGCGCAGGAATTCTCTCCTTTACTGTACTTGTAGTTTCCTTATCTGTCTCGCTTCTCACACTTATCGCGTCAGGCCGTGAAACAAATTTTCATACTCCAGCCCATCTCAAGCCGGGGCTCAGTCCCTTTCTCTTGCGCAAGGGTGCACTCTTGCATAGTCTATACTAACTATATGCATGCACTGCTGAGTCTTCTTCCTTCACTCCAACAATCAACCTCATGCCAGTTCCTTCATGGTTTAAATATTGCTCACTGCACATTGGCTTCCAGTAGTGATTTTTATGGTCAGTCAGTCGGCCCTGGTAAGCTCCTGCTTGTGCAACCAGCCTGTAGCTATGCATAATAAACTCACTAGCTAGATATGGCCTCTAATTTTTTTAGTATCATTAGCTGTGTCTCATCGCCAGTTCATGTGTCTCATGCAGCTAAAATTCCAGTAAGTATGGGCTGTGAGGGGAATTGCCTGTGTGCATATGTGTTTGCCGGCGAGCGTGAGTCTCTTTGCCGGCGAGACTTCGTTTGACGGCAGTCAGTTATTATTTGACGGCGGAGTTGAACACGTTTACCGGCATTACTTATGTTTTTGACAGCGGGATTTGAATTTGCATGCCGCGCTAATTTTTGTGCAAACGGGCCGCCATATCCAATTGTGAATACTCTTCACACTTTCAGTTCATAAGTGGAACAGGCTGACTACTATCGCAGATTCCATTCTCGCTGCTCTCTAACCGCACCAGTTTCAGCGGGTGAACAGCGGTTTCGTCTCTGTCTGCTGCATGAGCTTACTCTCGTGCAGGTATACGCAGACGTTTTTGGTTCCTGTTGTCAATAGCGCTATTGTCTGTGCATAGTGATGTGCGGGCCCGGCTTGGGCTCAAAGCCCGGGCTTGGGCTTGTGGCGATGCCAAGCTGAGCCCTGAGCCCGAGCCGAGCCTGAGCCCGGCCCAAGCCGTGGGCTTAAGCCCGGGCTTGCAAGGCTTAGGACAAGTATTTATATGCTACGAACGTGAGCATATTTGTATGTGATAGGCTGCTATTGCATGTACCCACCGTACTTCAGCCTCCAGAGGGCATGCGACCGCGCTACAACCCATGTTATGACAAGGTTCGCGAAGGGGCGCCTATGGCGAACGCCAGGCGGTGGCGCACAATTGCGCCTAGTCACACTAGCAGGGACCGCCCAGTCCGGTAAGTCAACGTCCCGTCTCGTATGTGTATATAAAGTTGTTCTTACTATGTTTTGGGCCCAGGGAACGGCAACACATTTGGTGCACCCAAGCCTGGGCTTTCGGGCTGGGCTTGGGCTTGACTACGCTCCGAGCCCGGCCTTGAGTCCGCTGCCAGGCTTAGCTCAGGTCAGGCTTTTTGGGCCGGGCTTGGCGGGTTCGCGGGCTTTGAGGCCCGGCCCGCACATCACTATCTGTGCGTAAAAATTCATATGCGAATGCCTGCAGGAGCACTGAACTCTCGATCCAGGGTTCATGCCGGTATACTTCCAGGCCTGCCGGGACGCCTCACCCATCCGCTCCGCAGTCGATACTCTCGGCCTATGTCTGACTGTTAGGCCGGCCCTTATCATCAGCGGCATTGTCATCGCCGCAACCAAGACGTACCACGCGCAGCTCGTTGTCGGTTAGATCTTCTATGTGGTGGCAGTCGGCGCGCTCTCGACGCTCACCACTGACAGCTCGACGGCGCACGGCATCGGCTTCCTCATCATCATGGGCATCGGCAGCGGCATCTTCTACTCTGCGGCGTACTTCCCGGTGCTCGCACCGCTGCCCGCCTCGGAGAATTCCCACGCACTTGCGCTCTTCGCGTGCTTCCGCTCATTTGCAGGCGTAAAGCCTACATCCTTCTCTGCCTACACTCTGTTGTCTATATTCTCTGCAGGTCTGGGGCGTGACAATCGGTACCGCAGTGCTACAGACGCAGCTCACGCACCGCCTGCCTGCGGCCTTCCTCGCGCAGTTTCCGGGTGGTATCTCGCTCGCGTACGATGCGGTTGCCGCGATCCGCATGCTGGAAGAGCCGCTTAAGCAAGAGGTGCGTGTCGCGTTCGCGCAGAGCCTCCGCATCGTCTGGGAGGTCTCGATCGGCATCGTGGGCCTCGGCTTCCTCTCGACGCTCCTCATGAAGGGTCTCCCGCTGCACACGCAGATGGACGAGAAGTGGGCGCTAGAGGCCGCGAATGCCGCGCGGCCGGTCGGCGTCGAGCTTGAGCCGACCGAGAAGCCAAATGGAACGGTGCAGCAACAGGCGAACAGGTAGAGCTGGTACCTTACCGGTCTCTTCGTAAGCGTATAGACCGTGTATCACCCTTAGCATGGGTGGATAAAACATACATGACTTTCAATGAACACTTCAATGCAGTCCATGGAATAGTTGAGCCTAGCAGACGTCTCATGTACCCACTATCTCTGTCACTGACCACAGATGGCTCGACACAAGGATAATCATAACGATACACGCTTGATCTCAGAGGTGCGTGCTCAGGTGGAAGCGCAGGCGGAGCAACTTGCGTCAGGGCGAGCTCGCATGAAAGCGCCGGCGCCGGCGATACTATAACTGATTGGTTCGGCCGTAGAGCGGCTCACTTTGGTTGTTCGAACGTAAAGTCGTTGTCCCTTCCAAATATTCTCGCTACCCTTAAGACACCGCGCGACACTGTTCGAGGAGCCTCACGAGTCACAGGTATCCGTAAGTGTGACGTGGAGATCACGGTTCATGACGGTGTCACCTCAGTGACGTCATCTTCTGTTCTCTCACTTTCTGCAGCCGGTGCAAGCTCATTCATGTTTCGAGACTCAGTGTACGTACTAAAGCTACAGTTGAGATCGATAAATGAAAGCCTGGCAGTGGTATTTTGTTTGCAGACTTTATGTCATTTCGGCCCGATAACCTTTCATCATTTCACTGATTTCTGACGATGTCGTCTGTCAAAAACACACAAATCCGAGAAGGTAGCAGGACCTCTCGCACTCCGTGCGGCCTGCACATTACCATCGTCACGAACCAGCACGTTGAACGTCACATCATCCCGACAACACTGCTCTCGAATATTATAATCATCTCTTGCTGCACATCGATCGGCACGGCCAATTATACTTCCGTTGCTGTGCTCGCAAGCCCTTGCAGGCCCTCGCAGAATTGTCGTAAATCTTCCCGCAGCGTGATATGTCACGGGTTCTTGGAACAGATCAGCTGCGGATTGTGCAGTGTGCACTGTTCCTCACTGTTTCAGGTCTCAAGATTATTAGTGAGTCTATGTCTTAGGCCCATCAACATGCGTTACTTACCCTGCCAATTCGTTTCACCGCACCATATGTCTCATGCAGAGTTTGGACGCTTTCGGCGAGCTACACCCCGGAACGCATTGCGCGGTACTACGTTCTTGCGTCAAGTGAACTCCCTCGGCATCATCCTTCGGTCATTATAACACCGAGGCTACTCGAGACAGAAACCACCATAGCTGAAACGCGCGGTTTTATCACCTGCCTCGAGGTGATATAGGACTAATGATTTATTACCGTCGTATCCTGCTGCCTTCCACTTGCTCAACGTCCTGGAATCGAAAATACCTCCAGACATTCAGAAGACAAGCGTTGTACACAAGCAATGCCCGCCATCCAACCACCCGCAACAGTTCTTGTCACTGGCGTCTCCGGATTCAATGGCTCGTGGATCGCCCGCGCCGTCCTCGAGGCAGGGTACGTCGTCCGCGGCACAGTCAGGTCTGACCACAAGGGTCAGTACCTCGCCATGCTCTTCAAATCACACGGCAGTCGATTCTCGTACCGCGTCATCCCAGACGCGTCCAAGGTACGGCTTCCACCTGTTCCCTGGCTCAGACATCTGATCATATCTCCATACAGCCCGGTGCGTTCGACAATGCTCTCGACAGCTCCGTCAGCGCCGTTGTTCATGCGGTACGTCTGCGTCTCCCCTCCACATTTTATTTTTCATGCGCTGACACTCCCGCCACAGGCAGGCTTGGCGCAGTTCATGGGAGTGGAGTCTTCGGGTGCGTGTTCGCTCCTCCCTAGTTACCCGCGAAGGCTATTTACGACCCATTGTCGTCCAGAGCTTACTGGCAGCAATATCGACAGCGTCGTGCACTTTTTGCAGAGCATACTCGAGCATGGGTTTGTCCCCTTCGTCTTGCGCTATTCCCAACATGCTCATCGTATAGCAGCAAGAACGTGAAGCGCTTTGTGTACATGTCCTCGGCACAGGCACTGCTCGGCCATGCAGACCTCTTTCACGTATACTCAGAGGTTAGAAAGCTCTCACTCATAATTGCGTGACCGACATTCAACATCATGACAGGAAGAGTGGAATGACAAGGCGGTCGCTGAATTCAGTGAGAAAGGTAGCGCGACCGATGGCACCACATTATACCAAGCTAGCAAGGTTCTCGCTGAACGAGCGATTATTAACTTTGTCGAGGAACATCGGGACGAGATAGGCTGGGACGCGACCCGGATCCTCCCTTGCTGGACCTTCGGCGTAAGTTCCAGGCCTGCGCTCCGTATTCACACATACTGATATGTGAACGCGCAGCCTGTCATTCACGAGGTCCGTGCCCCGCGATAATGAGACAGGAAGCAGTGCTAACATTGATCGGCCGAACAGTGCAAGTCCCTCGAGGAGCTGAACTTCTCTTCGCAGCTGCTGTACCAGTACCTCACGGCACCGCGGGAGGCAAAAAAGGTGAACGACTACGCATCAGAGTACGTCGACGTGCGCGACGTCGCCGATGCCTTCGTAGCCGCGCTCCGTGTGGAGGGGGCCGGCGGCGAACGCTTCATCCTTGACGCAGGTGTGTCCTCCCCCCCTCCTTCTCCGTTTTCCTCGCTGATCTTGCCTCCAGGGGCATTCACATTCCAAAATCTCTGTGAGTCTCGTTAATACCTATATGTGCCATCTGTGCCATGCTGACATACATTGTATCGCAGACGACGCATTCAAGGAGCGAGCGCCCGGGCTCGAGGGCATCCAGCGCGGAAATGCAGACGCGCCCAAGTTCAGCTTCCCCGGCGGATTCTGTACATCGGCCAAGGCACAGAAGGTTCTTCAGCTGAAGCCTTTCAAGAGCCTCGGAGAGTGCGCAGTTGACATGTACAAGAGTATCCGCGAGCGTGGTCTCTGAATTGCAATTTCTACGCCAGGAATCAGCGCTCAATCCCCGCGACAATTTAGAGGTATGCTGAGTAAAGATTGACAAGAGACGGCTTCGCTCCGCTACGCGACAAATATTGTCCCGGTAGCTGTTCTCGTGGCAGCTGTTCTCGCGATCGAGGTTGGCGTCTTCGCGGCTGGTGTATGCTCACTCATATAGCATCCTCGTGACTCTTCCGAAAATATAGATTCACATATGTATTTGTTTACAAGAGGCCGCTCCGCGACTGCTGTCCTCGTGGATGTGGTTCTGCGGGCGGGAAATTTAAGCTCAAAATTCTCGATTTCGCTGCGATGAATAGATAGGGCTGAAGCATAGCCGCGCTGCGCGCGGCGTAAGCAAAGGAGAGCGGAAGCAGCGATTGGGCCCAATCAAGGAGAATGACGAAATAGGGGCCGTCGAAAGGTATATAAGGCGAGGGATGGGAGAGGGGGGCCCCTTCAGCGAGTAAAACAGGGATAAGAAAATCGTTTCTTACTTTGAGGGCATCTGCGTAATAGTAGTACAGTAATACAGTAATCGAGCCTTCTGGTTCTCGACCGCCTGTGGCGGCTCGGGCGCAGGCGGCTACTACACAGCTGCACGGATGAGACTGTGGGGCTCAAGATCTGGCGGATTTTATGATTCGGGGTATCGTGATCTTTGAGCGTTGGTTCTTGTCTGAGATTCGTCCGACCGAAATCATGATTCTGTCCAATGCGAAATACGCCCGATCCGAGATCTCCCCACTACAGTTTGGCGCCCACCGAGCCTCAGGCCTCGGAGCACACGTCCGTTCGAGTTGCATTCCGTACTTAGAAGTCCACAATGAACGGCAGGAGACTACATTAGAACATATGTATGATCTCAACTCGGGTAGTAAGCTGCAATAGATGCCGAAGTCACAGGCTACAGGGCGGAGAAAAGCTCATCGTCAAGCTCGCTGGTACCTTCGCCCCTCATAGACAGGGCCGGAACGCTATCGTCATCGTCCTCAAGGAAACCACCACCTAGATTACCTTTGGGGAAATCCCTCTTGTCCTGAGCTATCATATCTTCTCGCCACCTATCCGTCCAAGATGTCAGCAGTATATCAAAGTTATAACACCACGGGACACATACTTAACCCACCCGTCGTGAGAAGCGTTCGACACATTCGGGACATGGGCGGGCACAGGTTCAAATAGATCGCTTTCAACACGGCCGTCGAGCTCGCGTACTCGTCTCGTATGACGTGCGCTTGCTTCGTGGTGAAGAGCTTTCCGAAGTGACATGCCTAGTTCCCCGCAGACAGTGCAGTCGAAGCCATACCGACGACTGCTTCTGAAGACTGGGGTCTCGTTAGTTAGGTCCGGGTGACCGTGTGCAGGCTAGAGTCTCGCTGTACTTACATTATGGCTCAATAAAATCGTCTTCTGTGAGTACCACACTGGTCTCATCGGGCTCATGCTCAGGCTGTCGACGCTTCATGTTATCTCACGACGGCAGTCAGTGCTGCGAGCACAGAGACTCGTTTTCACGAGTCTTAGGCGCAGAATTTTTAGCACACGGACTCATGATTCATTAGTGCAGAGAATATTTGCAGATTCTCGAATGCGGAGTATCTTGAGACTTGTGTGACATGGTCAGACAAAAACCAATGCTCAATGATCAGATTCCCGAATGGCCGAAATCGCGCCCGCGTGATTTTCAATATCTCTCAGATACTGTCACCTCAGTCTCGTCCGTGCAGCTGTGTATGGCTCTGTTCCAAACTGCTGGTCTAAGGTAAGATGATATAAACACGATTACTTACCCAGCGGCAACGCGTCGCGCGCATAGTCCAACCACCATCTCTCTCTCACTCTGCGAGATTTCCAACCCACGAGGCCGGGAAAGAATGATGCAGGGAGCAATTTTAACCAGAAACTGAACTGTACTTGACTGTGTAAACGCCTGGACTCTAGCCTCCAAGCATTTTTGACTAGTCGGCAAGGTCGTCCCATCTCCAACGGGCCACGCCAGTAAGATGTTGCAGACAAATCGGAATGCTTCTAACTCTACTCCCAGGGCGTAAGTGCGCTATGCTCGGCTGTGTGAGAGTGTCTGCCCTGTCAAGGATCAGTACCACTCTCTATTTCGCTTCCATGCTGCGCGCGTTCCCATAGCCTCGACGAGTCTTCTTTTCGAGGTTCTCTGCTGTTCAGGGCGCACCACCACCACCACACGCCAGAATGCTCTTCGCTTTCACTGCAGCGTCGCTCGCAATCGGCGTAGCTGCTGTTGCCGCGCAAGGCGGAGGAAACGCGTCCTTTGTGGATCCGACGACTCAAGGCGGGAGCTTCTTCCTCATGGCAACTGATGGCCTTGGAGAACCACTCAATGTATGTGCTGCATTCACGACTTATATCTTGTGACGAAATGTCTTCGTGTTCTAGGTGGTAATCTCAGGCCTGAGCTCTCCAGAAGTCTTAACAGACACGGGGTTCCTTAACTACGCCCGTGCCGTAGGCTTGTAAGTGCTGCGGTTCTAGTGTCACTGTCGCTTTCTCACATAGCCGATGAAGTACCACAGAATGCTTTAGTCTCACTCTCGGAACTCTGTTCACGGCCAACCTCGGCGACGGTAACGGCCCCCAAAATCAAACTATGGAGCTTCGCGAGAGCTTTGGCAATGCCATGTTTGGAGCTTGCATCGAGATGTTTTTGGGAGGCAACCACCTACGGTATGTTCGGCGTTTCGCAGACGTACTCGTGTTTGAAACTGCGAGCTTTTTAGCATGTTCCGGCAGGATGGTCCGCAAGCCAATACGAGTGCCCTCTTCCTGGCGTAGGTAGCTGTGCAGTTGTTATGTCAGACATGTCGATACAATGTCAAATATAGGACTTCTGCCGAAGAAGGCCTATTCCAGAATCATACCATTTCCGCCGATGGCTATGATGTTGGCAGGTATGTGTAGTGCTCTTCCGGGTCAGGATCTTATATGCTGATTCCTGCGTAGGAATATTTTTGCTAACATGGCAGCTGGGATGACACAATTCAACGGGACATCGTACAATACTACCGTGCAGAACTTGACAGGCGTCTTGCCAGTCGGCAGCCAGGGTGTAAACCACGGTACGCACTGGTTTCTGGATTTATACAGCACGTTAATACTCTCGTTGGTCTGTGGCCGCAGGAATTGCTATCGATGGGAACGCATTCTTACTCACGGTTACCACGGTGTAGGCTACTGTATTCACACATGACGGAAGTCACCACGATAAATCCTAAATGAATTTCGGACGGTGACCGGCGGCTTCAATCCTCCCTGAGAAGCTTTAACTGAGACTTCGCCATGTCAATAGCGTCCTTGCCAAAGTAGATCCTGAGAGGAGACTGAGGCAGCTCTAATATTTCATAAATCTTGGTGATTGCCTTGTTCACGTCGCCTACTTCCATGCTTGGGTCGAGTGCAGCTTCAAAAGACTTCTTGACTTGAGCTGGAGGCGTCGATGGCTTTGAGTACGCGGGAGCGGCTTCGGCTCGGACAGGTCAGTCTCCGCTCTGAGAGTTCGGAAACCCCGTCTACAAGAGTGATATGTTTCCTGGTGAGCATACCATCGCGCGCGTGTCAAGAGATTGGCTACTTACCTTGATGTTCCACTCGGGATCGATCTCCTCCGAGATAGCCCGAGTGACAGCTTCGAGAGTGAGCCGCGTACATCAGCCTAAATCCGTAAGGTATGGTCTCATGGCGTACTGTGTTTAGTGGCACTATAGTAGCACTGCAGGGGGAAGGCTGGAGGCTGACAATCGAGCTGGTGGTGATTAGCCTGCCCCGACACCAGGCACGCTCTCTTGCCTAAAGAACCTCGCAGCCTCCCTCGTCATGTTTGTCGCACCGAAAAATGGCTACAGCTTTGTCTTGTCAAAGTAGCAGACGATCGCGCTAGACCTCATCAACTATCTCAATTGCGGAAGAACTCGCTGGTCAGATAGGATGCCCAGTTGAAGTCGCCATACATATTTACAGTGCTGATTCGCCTCTGGGTAGCACCGTACTCAAGATCAGAGACAACACCGACCCCCGGTACGACAACCTCAGAGACTTTGTCGCGAGCACGCCCGTTACAATCACCGTCACCTCGCTCTGGTCCAATTAATCTCATGCAGGTTACAGCTGGCCAGGTCGTGCCATCTGACTTGCTGCAGACGCATCGCGGTATCAGGGGCGTAGAGGTCTGAGGTCTGAAACAAACATACACCCACTATACTAGGTCGTGATAGTATCCCCCTCACTCTCTTCCTGTCTGCGGAGGATCCGCAAGGCAACCCGCTCACGAGATGCGTCGTGAGGCATGTGGTGCTGAATGTTGATACATGGAGGCGCGTGGACAAGGAATCAAGTGCCATCGGTGCCGCAACATGGTATCGACGCTCGCGCACGCCGTACAGGAGACGATACCGGAACGGGCGATGAGCTTCCGAGCAGTAGGGGCACGCTATGAAGAATATGACACCGTCATAGGCGATGAGTTTTCAGGGTAACGAGAGCGGAGTAAGGACGGACAAATTGCTGGTACGGTGTTATTTGAGCCTTGGCTTGAACGGATACTCGACCTGGCAAAACGTAGGTTTGAGATCCAGGCGACAGTAATACATGGCGCGGCGATAAGTTATAGTTGGAAATAAAAGGATACAGCACAGAATCCGAGGGAGGGTAAGGACAAGATTGGCTGTTTTCAAATGTCCGCGTCGGCTTGCTAACTAGACGGGAAGAAGGCTTCCCGCTCCGCGCAAAGCCATTTGCGACCCGAAACGAAGTGTCTGGATGCCGCCTGGAAAGTACGCAAGGACATAAGAGACAAGTGCGACAACCTGTGTGATAGTTAGGCATGCAAAGCATTGGTATAGCGTGAGGACGTACCTGAATGATTGCACATATAAGAGACCCAATGTACGAGTGAGCCTGGTAGCATACCGGATCTTATCAGCGGAACATCCGGAAGTATAAGCTGTCCGCTTACGCCGAGCGAAAAGTAAAGCGTCAATGCTAAGCTGCTGATGTAGGCAAATGAAAACGGTAGACGTTCTTTGGATACGAGGTGCTTCATGTGGTTTATTGGTCCAATGAGCACCGAGAATCTACAGATGGATGCGTGAGGCTACGGAGCTGAAGGTGTACGGCAACGGTTGCTCGTACCCAAACATCACAAGCAGACTTCCCAAACTGCGAGAAAAGATCAAGAGGATGGCAAAAATTGAAATGATCACGCATACCTGAATGATAGTGCAAATTTGGAGGGGCGTATCGCAAGCATAGGTAGTGTCAGGAAGGATACGAAGAAGCACACAGCAGCACCGAGCAAGCAGCCACCGAAGCCCAGCAACCTGTGAAATGCACCCTCTGCTTTGATATCGCAGACATTACATCGCTCAAGCTACGTACCTGTCCCATCTCGACAACGCAAAATACGCCTCTTCCTCATTCGACCTCTCGTTCGACCGTAGCGGGATGTAGCCTCCGCCTATCGCGTTGTAGAAGCGAGAGAATGGGTTTGCTGGAGGGTTGTTCTGTTGAGAGTCGTCATTGTTGCCGCGAGCCCAGCGGAACTGAGAGAGGTTTGCTCGGAAATTTTGTTCGGTGGATGGTGCTGGTGGCATTCTGTGAGCAAGCTGTGCGAGCCGAGCCTGCGAGCCTAGTCATCGGCGCTTCCGTCAAGTGCACGGATCATCGGTCCGAGCCGCCTTTCCTCAGTCCGGGTTTTCGAATCTGGCTCGGTCGACTTGTTTCTTTGCGGCAGGCAGCGCATGCTCAAAATTAGCCCTAACGAAGCTGGCCTCAAAAGCTTAGTAATTGGCAAGTTTACATCTCTTCTCTCATGGAGTGGCTGCAGCATAGTACTATCTAAAAGCCTTCCTTGTGCTACAGCGACTCCCGTAGGCACTAGAATTAAAGGCTGCACCTTCCTAGCTGTGGTACATTTAAAAATAAATAATAAAGAAATAAAAGAATATATGTAACACGATAACATGGCATTTATGAGCAAGGTCTAATGACACACGCCCTCATTCAGTACTCAGTGCTCAGATAGGGCCCCAGCAACCCGTTGTTGTAGCGCCTAGTGGCTCTGGCTCGGCGTTCCGCCCGGCATGGACTTAAGGTGGACATCTTGGATTAGGCGCGTGCTAATACGTAGATAGTGATTGGATGATCAGTATGTAGTGCTCTCACGCACAGACTTCTTTATGGCAGGCTTCCTCATTCTAGCGGACTTTCAATTCACTTCCTTTTTGTATTATAAGGACTCCTCCCCACATCCCCACTCTGCGTGCTCTTTCCCTTTGCACTCAGAGTAAGTCTCCTTTGTTGCCCTTGCAGTATGCCCATATGCTTACACCCTGTATAGCTAATTCCTCCATGTGTATTAGGTTAGATTTATACAGTGTGCTCTTTCCCTTCATACTCAGACTAATCTCCCTGTGTGTATTAGATCGTGCCTGCGTGCTCTCACCAGTTCACGCTCACGCAGCCCAGTCATCATACCATGATAATACCCATCACAATACCCAGATATGAATTACTTCTCAAATATTGCACCAGCTGGCTGGAATCTGGCCGTTTGCGCATTGTTGCCTGGCTGCACATTTATTTTGTACACAATCTGTATCGTGGCATTATACCAAATGAACACAGTGTACCACACTCATTTTGCCAGGGAAGGTGTCGGCAGATCGTGCACTCAGTTGCCTGTCATACTCTGGTACACTGTACATGACACCTTCTCTTTGATTAGATACATTAAGAAAAGAGCGGAGATATACGCCCAGAACCATGCTATACTTTCAGGGTCAGAATGGGCCTGATGTCTGGGAGTTAGAGAGAATTGTATAGGCGCGGAGTTGTACTGAAGAAACATGGCCAACAACAGCACCCACAGATTGAGCACAAGAGGATGCACCATCTCTGATCAAATGAGTGACATTCTATTGGATTCAGTAACAGATGTCAGGCTCCCAATCCAGAAAGCACAGAGACAGGATAAAATCCAGCTGGCTTGCCATTGGCATTTCGCGTGACTGCCACAGAAGGCTTGGTACAATGTATTAGCCTAGCTCCAACAGTTCTCCGCACTGTGCTTGATGCTAGTATCTCTTGTGTAATCAAAAATATCCAGAGCTTTAACAAAGCCCATAGGTGCCAAGCGTCAAGATGATGACACAAGCCTTGCTCAACAATGTATGTAGGACAATTAAACAGGTCCTACCCCAAAGAGTGAATGGTTGTTATTTGGAATGAGCCTGTTGCTGATCCATGAGCTCATCACATTGGCAAGGGAAAGCTATAAGTAGTGTATTCGTGTTAACTCAACAACATCCATGGCTAAAGAGCATGTAACTGACATCAGCGTGATTCGATGGACTTCCTTGAACGTGAAGAATTGAATAAGCAAGACACTTTAAAGTTAATATGAGAAATGTGGGTAACGATTCACCAGAAGAACTAGTTTCATTTATCTGATTTACTGAGAGAGGGTTGATTCAATCTCGAGAGCTGTAACCTGAGATTTCTCCTCGTCAGCCCACTCCTGACTTGTGTTCTCCTCAATACCCCACTTTTTGTCAACCTGCTTGTGAAGCAGCAGCCCCTTCATGAACAGTGATACCAAGGCACCAATGCCACCAATGCCGATGGAAACTTGCCATAGTATGCAGATACTGTCTGCGAATGCAGCACGCACTTGCGTGTGCAGCGGCTTGGACAGACCTGGGATAATAGGTATTGTGGAGTACACAATGGAGACGCCTTCAGGGAGTGAGCTCACAAACTCTGTCAGCAGCCACTTGGTTAGCTGTGTCTGCAACACAGCCATGCAAATAGTCACTCTCCAAACCTGCACATATTAGAGAGTATCAATATTTGCGACTGAATAAAATGCGGCACTGCACTGAAAAACTTATGGAGGTGAAAGACCTGCAGAACTGGAAGAATGCCAGGGCATGGGTGTTCACCAAGATAGAGAGCAGGGCTAGGACAGGAAAATACAATGCAGAGTATACCAGTCTGCTTTCCACTCTGAGAAGGAGCAGCCTGCCCGTCGCATGTGCAATGTCGGTGTGTTTGTCCAGAGTTGACAGAACACCGAGGCCAGCAAGGCAGGCCGCCCATCTGATCCAGAGTTGCACTCAGTACGTTTCCATCTGTGTTATGCTCACCCCGCAAATGATAAGGGCTGGGCTGACAACCAGGACGAGGCCAAACAGCAGGACTCTGAAGTGAATAGGTGAGGTGCCCCAACTGGCCTGGTAGAGCACTGGCATAAAGTCTGTATTCTATGAGGAATAGGAGTTCGCATGAAATCTCTGTGGGAAAATATAACTTACATAGTGTGGAGAAAGTCAGCAGAGGTGATATGAACGTCTGTATGTAGCTGCATCAATCATCAGTGTGTGTAGTAGTGCAAGTCCATCTATGTACCCACTGAAGCTTGTGCAGTTGGACAGAAGCAAGATGGGAACTTACAAAGCACTAGGGTGACATTATCCCACACAAAACAGATTGGGACATACCAGAGGATGCTTCACAACCTTCGCTTCGTACAGCAAGAACAACAACAGGCCGAGAAGCCCGATGACGAGTGGTACCAATATCTGTGCAGAGCTCCAGAGATGCTGCACACCACCCCATGTGAGAGCGAGGACCATGGCAGTGGAGCTACCGATGACGAGCACATTGCTGCTAGAGAATATTGAATATTTTGCACTTTGCAGGGATGGAAAACCTTACAGTGACGACCTAAAGTATTGCAACAGACTACAGAGGGGTGTTAAGATTCCTCAATATCTCTGTGAATATTACAGATGGCTGAACACATTGTATATGGTTTCTAAACTGGACAACTAGCTGTATTTTTTCAAGGTATTGCCTTGTAGCAGAAGGTGTATGCTGGAAGAGTATATCAAAAATAGCTGAAAATATGCATATTTATCACATAATTTGTAGTATAATACAGACTGTAGAGTAAAATCAACTCTGCACATATTAAAATGGAGCTAGTTGTATAATATGTGTACAAATATAATGATGTGATTAGGCATCTATCTGAATGAACTGTAGGGCATATCACATTGGCTTGTTTCTCTTATAGCAGTTTGCACATATCTAACTCCACAATATGGAGAGGAAAGTTTCCCAAAATCTGTTTACAGTATGCACTTTACTAGAAGAGATATATAGTAGCAAAATATAAGAACTTCAGCACCTGATTATGTTTGAAACATATGAGTATACACTGTTGCATGTTGCAATGAATGTAATATGCTCTACAGTTCATTCAAATGGATGCCTAATCACATCATTATATTTGTACACATATTATACAACTAGCTCCATTTTAATATGTGCAGAGTTAATTTTATTCTACAGTCTGTATTATACCACAAATTATGTGATAAATATGCATATTTTCAGCTATTTTTGATATACTCTTCCAGCATACACCTTCTGCTACAAGGCAATACCTTGAAAAAATACAGCTAGTTGTCCAGTTTAGAAACCATATACAATGTGTTCAGCCATCTGTAATATTCAGAGATATTGAGGAATCTTAACACCCCTCTGTAGTCTGTTGCAATACTTTAGGTTGTCACTGTACATCCAGTCCATTTGGGCCATCTTTTCGCGGAAAAAACCTTGTGGCATCTTGACATTAAGGAACAGGATGACAAGCGCTCCTGCCACTGCCGTCAATGGAAGATTGAGGTCTGCGAAATTCAGGTTAGAACAGAGCCTGTGGGCACAGCACAGACCGGCAACGTACAGAACAGCCATCTCCACTGTCTACCCTCAGCGAGTGCGCCGCCTACTATGGGACCCGTCTCTGCAGCGACCGCCTATGTCCTGTGTCACCAGAAACAAGCAACGTCAATCGCTGCGCTCAATGCACAGTGCTATGCATCTGACTTACATGCCGATAAATCCATTGTACACCGCGCCCTCGGCCAATGGAACCAGGTCGGAAATGACTATTGCAGAGATGGCGAGTATACTGCCGCCACCTGCACCCTGGAGCGCTACAGGTAGATGACAGAACCTTAGAGCACGCCATCGGACAGATGGACGGCGCCTAACTTACTGCGAGCTGCAATCAACCAGTTCATTGTCTTGGCAGACCCGCAAAGGGCGCTGCCAAGGGTGAACAAAGCCAGCGACAAGAGCATGCAAGGCTGCCGGCCAAATACCTGAAGACCATCAAACGAGACTGACTGAAAGCACACGTGGACGTACCTGGGACATGCCATCCGTCACGGACAGCAGAGTGGTCGCAGCCAGAGCGTAAGCTGATGCAACCCAGACGAAATCAGCGCCGTTCAAGTCATGCACGATGATTGGTAGTGCGGTGGACACAGTGGTCTGTGGTAGAGCGTTAGCTGAGGTCCTGAAGAAGGCTGCATCTGCCACTCACAAATTCGAGGGCAGACAGAAAGAGCGAAATGCAAATGGCCAAGAATATAAGCCAAAACCGTGTTCCCTTCGACCTCATTCCCGAATGGCTGTACTGGGACTCCCTTCTCCTGCTCCTCGGCATCGACAACGGCGGGCATTTGCGTGTCTGATTTCATGCTCGAAGTGCCACTGCCCTGTCAATTGTCGGTGGATATCGCCTAGCAACGGTGTACGGACAGCTCGATTGAGGGCAGGAGAGGGTGACAAGAGTCTGGTGAAAGCGTGGAAGTGAGCTGGAATCCTCGAGAACGAGTACAAAATCCTCACGGGGGCGTACCTATCGAGTATACCCTCCTGCAAAGTTCCCGCATATCAAGGTTCGTCTGCGGTCAGACAGGAACCAATTTTGTACACCAAACGAGATGGAGCAAGCAAGGCTCCCCGATCATGATGTCCCTAGGAGCCGATGCTTGTCGTGCCTGTCATTTATCGGCAATGAATGTTAACATCTCCCGTGGATAATGCCTTGGCCTCGAGGCAATGGCGGCTTTATGTTATTTGCGCCGCATCAAGGCCCCATGCACTCGAGGTGCCGTCTCCATGAAATACACTACAGCATACGCGCCGCTAAGCATAAAACCGCACGGTTAGCGAAGCATGAAACGAACAAATGAATGACATGTTATTCAACGGTGGAAGAAATGAGAGGTATCCACGCGATACGTCGCGTGCACCACCGCATCGAGGTAAACTAAGGACCTCGCCTGTTCGTAAAGCACAGTTACATAGTCAGGTCCACGAGATGTTGTCAGAGAATTCCCCAGGAACAGGCGCTTTTACGTAACTATTGTCACGTGATTTTTTCACAAGTTGCCCCGGCCCATACCGAAGTCAGAAATAAGATGGAGAAATTTCATGGCAGCTTGAGGTCGTATGACTTCTTCTTCAGTTACAGCCAGTTGCGAAACGATAGGCCACTTTGAAACCTTGGCTAGTACAGTGACTGATGCCCCGACCTAGATCTAGAGCAAGATACAGGGTGGCTACATGGCCACCTGACACCATCGGACGCTCATAGGCCTTGTGAGCACTGAGCGTGAATGACGATGAACCACTGAACGAGCCGCATCCAAAGCTCACAACCCCGATGCCTCTGCTTCCTTACACTGGTCAACCTTTGGCGACACATTCCTAAATAGCACAAAGTGCACCCGCAGTCAGTATTCAACACTTACGATGGTGCACGGCAAAGCGTCTGCTGCGTGATGCAAGGAGATCACCGAGTGGAACTGCAATTGCTGTAGCGGAAAAAGCCTGGGGTGGCCTATTGTTTCGCAACTGGCTGTATGGAATTTTTTTAAAAAAAAATCTAGCTAAGTTGTCTGGAGGCCAATAATGGAGAGACTAGGCACTGTTGGGAAAGAGGGATTGCGCCAAGTATAGGCATGGGCGCATCAATACGATCGTATACCACGTGGTTTTACGCCCTTGCCAAATTTTCTTTATGTTATTTTGTGGAATTATTATCTGGCTACATCTCTCGTAAGTATCCTTCTTGCGAACGCTGACAAATGATGCGAACGTGTGAACACACTCAATTGCGTGCCTTGAAAGCGGCGTTTTAGTTTCTGATAAGCTCTCGTAAATTGACGTTGAGATGCACTTAATCGGCGCGATGGCAGGCACGGGGGACGGACTCCTCATCATTCGCATTTCCAGCTTGACGAACCTCGTACTGATATGGCGGCCACCTTGGTATGCGACTCTTTCGTGTTCGACCCACGGCCCGATTATCAATTCCGCGTATGTCGGTCACATCTGTGCCGAACACCTTGTCGTCTCAACCTCCTCTCAGCTTGCCATCAAACGCTACCGGGACCTAAATAATAACCATACTGACGATGACGCTCTAACGCTTGTCTTTGCCCACTGTGTTGGAGGGCACAAAGAACAGTGGGAGCCAACCCTGGAGCACCTCTACGATTTCGTCAGCCGCGAGCCCAATCTGAAGATACGCGAAGCTTGGTGCATTGACGCGCCAGATCATGGAGATTCGAGCATATTCAACGATCATCTCCTGACCTCGGCGTTGGACTGGAGGCCAGAATCATCTCGTAAATATACTTTTTCTTCAAACGATATAGCCCTATTGTTGACACAGCCCAGTTGGTTGGGAAGACTATGCACGGAGCATACACGCCTTTTTATCCGGTCTAGGCAGTGGTATCGATGTCGACTTCCGCTCACGCAAACTCGTCGCCGTTGGTCATTCGCTCGGCGCGGTCGCATTGTCTGTGGTCTGAGTTCTGTCCTCAGCACGATGTCACTAACGGTCTTCGCAGCGTACTTTCGACCCCTTACCTCCCCAAAGTGAAATTCTTGTCTATGATCCTGATTGAGCCAATGATCATACGAAAACCAAAGCCCGGTGAATTCAAGATGGAGTACTCTGAGATAATTGCGAAACGAAGGGACATCTGGCCCAGCCGCGAAGAAGCCATGCGCTTCTTCACATCAGAGAAGCAGTGGCAAGGCTGGGACCCTCGTTCCTTCCAGATCTATGCTGTGCGCGCTTGCTCTTACTATTTTATACTGACGTTGAATCTTCTTCGATTATTAGGACCATGGTCTCAGAGATCTTCCCACAGAGACCTACCCTAATCTCACTCAGGGCGTAACATTGAAGTGCACAAAGCGGCAAGAAGCGGTACGATTCAGTTTTATTGCAAATGGCAGATTCGACTCAAATGGAATGCAGGCACTTTATCGTGACCGCTTATGCTCGCTGCGAGCTTTCCAATACTTGCATGTCCTCTGCCAACGCATTCCAGTTCACCTGATCCATGGAGAGCATGCGGACTTTATGTAAATGCGCCCGATCAATGACACCTTCGCTGTGCCTGCGTCTGATCCTCGCACTAGACCTCGTTATTTCCAAGAAGACATACTGAAAGTGGCTACGCGCGGACATCAAGCCACATCGAGCAAAGTCCCTGGTGGAGGACATATGGTGAGTTGCCGGCTCTTCATCCGATTAGTATCTCTCTCACTGAGATACTATCGTTGCTGATAGGTCGTACACACACATCCAGAAGGTACGGCAGAGGCAATTATGGCATCGCTAATGCACGGCACCACTCGAACGCTGTCTATAGAGACGGACAAACGGGCAAGGCTGTGAACCGCTGGACCATTTAAGCATGCTGCCTTGTGCAATGTACTGTCGTAAATCAGATATTCTTAAAGCTGTGTACCTCAAACATGCACATAGATGACAGTCTCCTGAGTTCGTGTTCTGTTGGAGGCGCCAGAACTCGGACCTCGCCTAATCCTGTACCACTTTTCCTAATCCCACCGTCCACTTCTTTATGCTTCGCACGAGTTGCAAGGGAACGGGAGAACGTTTGGAACCCATACTCCAGACTCTTGAGCCTCGCGGGCCCTCGCTCGAGCGACAGAATAACCGATGACTGCAGGCGAACATTGAGTTTTTTGGCCACGACCAGTCAAGGCCTACGCGAAGAGTGCGTGAGCTCGGACGCGACGCGCGAGCCGAGCAAGCTGCGAAGATGTGAGAATACGAAGCATCTAAAGCAAAATGAAGTCAGTAAAATAATATGTGACACCGCAGTCAGAACGAGAATAGAGTCAAGAGAGAGGATGTAGGATGCAGGGGCACAAATGCAATTTGGGAGGAGCGGGGAGTTATCGCATGTCTGATTGCTTTTTACTATCAGCAAGCGATGAGCCCAAGAAGGCCTATATACAACAGGCCTGGGAAAATCCACAAAATACCGAGAAAATAAATAAAAGCCTTTCGTCGAGCCACGTCAGAACTGAGGGAATATTTGTGAGGTCAAACCTTGCATCAGGTGCAGGCGACGCCATATTCCTTGGCGAATCGTGTAGCCGTCGTGCATGTGCGTGAGCATGAAGTGGGCTGCCGACTGACGACAATCGTGCCTGCACAGCCCTGTGTGAACTTTGGTCGCTGCGCGGAGCGGTGTTACTTGCGCGACTCGGAAATGTACGTATAGGGCGCGGCGGCCGCAGGGAGTGTCGGCCGTTATTCCAAAGCGCCAGCGACTGTCATTTAGGACGAACCCTTCGCAGACCCACAAGTTCACTCTATAAAAACGAACGAAGCAAGAGAAAAAATAGCAACCCGTATTGGCCTGTATTGGCCCGAATATAGCTACGGCTAGAGAGCACGCGACTAACAGTGTCATGAAAACCCTCAAGGTGATGGAGGTGCCTTGGATTAGATGGCATACTTTAGTCTGCCTTAGGCGTTGTTGGGAATGATTGGTACCTGTCTTGAAAATGCTGACCAACATTTTCAAGGCATCCGGGGCATATTGGTCCAAAACCAGGACGCAAAGCGACGTCAAGACGTTTGGGCACTTTTTGGATGACTCAACAGCAAAATTCAACGGACTTGGTCACTTTCATGGACGTGAAGATTCGAATAAGTATGATGTCATGAGGAATGTGAGCGGTGGTGCACCAAAAGAACTAGGTCGACCTATCTAATTTACTCAATGAGGGTAGACTCAGATTCGAGAGCCGCAACTTGAGCATTCTCCTCGTCAGCCCTCTCCTGGACTGCTTTTTCCTCCATACCCCACTTCTCGTCGACCTGCTTGTGAAGTGGCAGCGCCTTTATAAACAGTGATGCCAGGGCACCAATGGCACCGATGCCGACGAAAACTTGCCAGAGTATGCGGATGCTGTCCGCGAATGCGACGCGCACCTCAGTGTGCAACGGCTCTGGTAGGTTCGGGATGATAGGAATTGCGGAGTATGCAATGGAAACGCCATTAGGGAGCATGTTCACGAACTCTGTCGGCAGCCGCTTCTTCAGCTGTGTCTGCAGGACAGTCGTGCCGACAGTCGCCCCCCAGACCTTCACGGACACAGGAGCATCAGCGCTATGACTGGTTCGAACGTAGTGCTGGAGCACTTACGGATGCGAATGATCTGAGAAACTGGAAGAACGCCAGCGCTTGTGCGTTTGCTGTGATGGGAATTGGGGCAAGTACAGGGAAATATGCGGCAGCATACACTAAGCCAGTGCCGATTGAGATGAGGAATTGCCCGCCCGTTGCGCGCGCGATGTCGGTGCGTTCGTCCAGCGTTGCTAGGACCCCGGTGCCAGCGAGGTAGGCCGCCCATCCGATCCAGAGCTGCACTCGGTACGTCTTAGTCCGCGATATGCTCGCTCCGCAGAGGATGAGAGCCGGGCCGACAGCCAGAGCGAACCCGAGGAGCAGGACTCCGGAACGAATGGGTGAAGCACCCCAGCTGGCCTGGAAGAGCACTGGCAAGAAGTCTATGTTCCGCGAGGGATTCAATTTCGAGTAGGGTCTTGTTGGGAAAAACGCGGCTTACAAAGCAGCGAGAAGGTCAAAATGGGCGATATTAACGTCTGTACATAGCTAAGCCAACCATTAATTTGTGTGCAGCAGCACGGGTTGGGCGGAGGTCCGTCTACTTACCCACTGAAGCTTGTGCGGTTGGACAGAAGCGAGATGGGAACCTACAGAGCGCTAAGACTGAATTATTCCGCTTCCAGCAGCTCGAGACATACCAGAGGATGCTTCGCAACCTTTGCTTCGTACAGCAAGAACAATAACAGGCCGAGAAGCCCGATGATGAGCGGTACCAATATCTGCGCAGAGCCCCAAGGATGTTGCACACCACCCCACGTGAGAGCAATAACCACGGCAGTGGAGCTACCGATGATGAGCGCATTACCGCTAGAGAACATTGAATATTTTGCGCTTTGCAGGGACGGGAAACCTTACATCCAGTCCATTTGGGCCATCTTTTCGCGGAACGAACCTTGTGGTGTCTTGACATTAAGGAACAGGATGACAAGCGCTCCTGCCACCGCCGTCAATGGGAGATTGAGGTCTGCAAAATTGGAGTTAGAATTGAGCCTGCAGGCACAGCACCGATAAGCGACGTACAGAACAGCCACCTCCACTGTCCATTCTTAGCGAGCGCACCGCCCACTATGGGACCCATCCCTGCAGCGACCCCCCATGTCCTGCGTAGCCAAAAATGAACGTGAAAAACAATGTTCAATGCATAGCACACCATACTTACATGCCAGAAAATCCATTGTACACCGCGCGCTCGGCCAATGGAACTAGATCGGAGAGGACTATTGTGGTAATTGCGATGATGCTGCCTCCGCCTGCACCCTGGACCGCTACAGGTAGGTGACATATATCAGAGCATACCATCGAACTAATGATTGGGGCCTAACTTACTGCGAGCTGCAATCAGCCAGTTCATAGTCTTGGCGGCCCCGCACAGGGCGCTGCCGAGGGCGAACAAGGCCAGCGACAACAGCATGCAAGGTCGCCGGCCAAATACCTGAGAACAGTCAGAAGAGATAACCTGCAAGCGTATGTGGACGTACTTGGGCCATACCACCGGTCGCGGGCAGCAGCGCAGTCGAAGCTAGAGCGTAGGCCGACGCAACCCAAACGAAATCCGTGCCGTCCAAGTCATGCGCAATGGTTGGCAATGCTGTGGATACGGAGGTCTGTGGCGAAGCGTCAGCTGAGGTTCTGGAGAGGGCTGCATCTGTGACTCACGAATTCGAGGGCAGACAAGAAGACAGAGACGCAGATGGCCAGGAATATAAGCCAGAACCGTGTGCTCTTCGATCTCATTCCCGACGGCTGGACTGAGGCTCCCTCTTCGTACCCCACGACATTTGTAGCGGCGGACACTTGTGTGTTTGATTTCAAGCTTAAAGTGCCACTCTCCTGCCGATTGTCGGTGGACATCGTCCAGTAACGTTTGACGAACAGCTCGATCGAGGGCGGAGACGATGGCAAGGATCTAGTGGAAGCGGGGATGTAAGCTAATTTCGAGTATCCCCTTCGACAAAGCTCACGTTGGTTCCTGATCATGATGTTTCTACAGGGCTGTGAATAGTGCAATCTCCCCCTACAGTACGAGTTTAAATGGGAGCAGCGTCACGCGTCACCAACCCCCCACAATTTGCAATTTTGAGGTCTAGTCATGCAGCTCTGAACCCGATCTAGGCCAAAATCGAGCCAAATTTGACAAAAATTTCTGAAACTGTCCAAATCTACCCGTTTCAGTAATCTGGCGCCCGCTGTTGCTGGCTTGGATGTCACGCCCTGAGGTTGGTCAAACTCGTACGGTATGCAATGTCTCACCAGTGAAATCGCGCAAGCCCTGAGACCACCCATGGCGATACTTCCGTCAGGTCGTGTCAGATCTTCATCAGGGCATCCAGACATACTATGATGGTACCCTGCTTTATAAAATTTGGGAAAATTTGCATCCTGTAGCTTACCACACTCATGCTTCGCGGGCGGTTTTGCATGAGTCGATGTGTACACACCTTAGCTATATATTCGTTTTTTTATAATATTTTATTGAGGTCTTGCAAGAGCAGCGGATCCTTTCTGGTGCACAAAGTAGGCCCTGCACCACTTTTTATAAATTTCGTCACAAGTGTCACACCAGATGCCGTCGAGCCGTGTCTCTGCCGAGAAGCCGAGCCGTCTCTCCAGAGTAAACCTCAGTTGTTTGAGATCAGGCGGAGCGACAATTTCATCACGCCTTGCTCGTTCATTGTAACGCTCCACTAATGTTCCTTCCCTGTACATGTACATAGCACCTTGTAAACCAAATATGATGACCAGCCATGTCTGGTGTAAGTACAAAAGTCTATGGATGCAGTCGCCAGAATATTTGGTGAGCGAGATCTGGTTGGATCTAGCCATCAGTAGCATTTTTCGGCCAGTTTTGGACCACTTCCGAGCATCCACAAAAACATCATATCGTCCCTTGCTGCACACCCGCCATGATATGGGTGTCATATTATAGTATGAATACAAGTCTACCATGAAAAATATTCACAGCACCTCCGGGGGCATATTGCAGCAGCAAGATCGATTTTATAAAGCAAGGAGCCTTTATAAACCAGGGGGCCATCATAGTACTCCTCTTACTCAAAAAGGTCTGTCCGGTCGCGCCGGTGTAAACGGTAATCGGTCCAGTAGTTTGTCTAGTTGCGGCTCAGTCGCCTGATGACAGGCGAAAGGGGTCGACCGACCGCCGAGACGGGCGTTGAGAACTCCCCGGGCGCTGTTGCTGTTGCTGCCCTCACCACAATGACAACTTGAAGACGAAGAAGCCGGTGTGAAGTGAACTCTGACTCCAGGCTGTGTTGTGTCTTCCCTGAAACTCTTTATGCCAGCCCAACACAAGAGATACACGACACGTTGATGACTGTTCGAGTGCTCTGCCAATTGAAGAGCATAGTTGAGGCATCACCGACACCCTGCTGTGAGGTGCACTGAACCGCGGATATTTCGTTTCGCGGCTCGTAGGCCATTGATACTATTGTACTTTTATGGAGCGTCTAGGTGGCAAGCAATGTGACCAGCTGCAAGCAAATCAGAGAGGGCAGGCCTGACAGGCCTGAAGACTAGGAGAGGCCTGAAGGGCAAGACTCCGGAGCTGATTAGGGGAGCATTCTATCTAGCTGGCGAGTAGTACGCAGATATAAGGTTCGAGTCGTTGCCCGCAAAGTGAGACGGGAGCTCGTGGTGGCATGCATAAAAGTGTTGGCGGGAGTGGTATCGCAGAAATAACTATCTGCCCGTAGCTGCGCCCGCTGTCAGTATGACTACAGTACACGGAGTGCGCCCACTCACCCGCCTAAAACTCGTGCGATTAGAAGTAGGAAAAATGGAAGTATCTGGAGGAATGAGACTATGTTCGAGTCCTAGGGATGCTGCACGACATCCCACATGAGAACCGGTGGCAGCAGCTCCAGACGGGATCAGTTGATCACAGGGCTCTTCCTACCATAAAATAAATAATGGGAGTCGTGCTCTTTGCGAGGAACGTGGAGCTATTTAGAGATACTGCCAAGGGTCTGACAAGCGTCTGGCAGGAGCATACCAGAACTTGAAAGCGCTCGCGCAGCATTGATCCTCTGGCTACATCCCGTGAGAAAAGGTGTGATCAGTTATCGTTCACAGGGCACATCGTTTCAGCACAAGGTTGGACCAACGTACTAGCCGAGCTTCAGCCTCAAGCTTTCATATTTTCATATTTCAAGCTCGAGTCCAATACGCGCAGGAAGCTGCACAGGCGTGGGAAATTGGTCACGTGTATTTTGATTGATTAGATAAGAGTTATCTAGGGAGACTACACAGCTGCACGGATGAGACTGGTGACAGTATCTGGGAGATATTGAACATCACCCGGGCGCGATTTCGGTCATTCGAGAATCTGATCGTTGAGCGTTGGTTTTTGTCTGACCATGTCATACAAGTCTCAAGATACTCCGCATCCAAGAATCTGACCATATTCTCAAAACCCAAGAATCGTGAGTCCGCCCGTCAGAAATTCTGCGCCCAAGACTTGTGCAAATGAGTTTTTGTGCTCGCAGCACTGAACTATGGGGAACTAGGCATGTCACTTCAGAGGCTCTTCACCACGACGCGAGCACACGCGTACGCGAGCTTGACAGCCGTGTCGATTTCAACCTGCGTCCATGCCCGCCAGTATCCTGAGTGTATCGAACGCGTCTTCATGTCGAAACCGCGCAAATCCACCCTTGCCTCCTTCATCGCCCCCCGAGTATGATCGGCCCACCAATCATATTTCGGTTCTGCCTCTACGCAACACCTTTGGCACATCATCCACCTTATTAAGCTTGCCGAATGCATCATGCCCATGTCAACCGCTCCGCCCGCATATACTGGCCGGTCTTGCTGAACTGCCCGGGGCTGATCAGGCTGCGGCTGACGAACAACTAGAGATGAATCCTCTAGGGTCTATTCATGACCCTCAGCTACCTAGCAATCCGCTCGACCAGGTATTTGGCAACTAAGCTGGGCTGACTGGGGCAGCCAAGTCCACATCCTTCTGAGTGATCACTACCCGCGCAAGCAGAGATGCTCCTTGCACCCCCGGCGCCCTCAGATAGCTCTAGTACCAAAGCAGAACCTGATTTGGAGATGCAGTGGTCTCCTTGAGGATGACCACGATACTGGCAGCATACCGGTCTTGTGGGGGCAAAGGTACCAGTGAGCTTGATGATGGACCGTTCTCCATCCCGCAGCCTGCTGCTCCAGCATCCGCCATGGCTCAATATCCTGCAGCCTAGGTTATACATATGTTCTATTGTAGTCTCCCGTCATTCAATGTGCACTTTTATGTATCGAACACGAACGAACGTGGACTCTGAGGCTCTGTGGGCGCCATTCTGTTGCGGGGAGATCTCGGATCGGGGCGGATTTTGCATTGCACAAAATCATGATTTCGGTCGTACGAATCTCAGACAAAAACCAAGCCTCAAAGATCACGATAGTCCGGATCCCAAAATTTGCCAGATCTTGAGCTCCACAGTCTCATCCGTGTAGCTTTGTAGTAGATGCGACCTCTCAAATGACATGTCAGCAACTAGCAGCGTGCGGCAGCCGGCCAACCTGCCGGCCCCATGTTTTTTATGACAAACGGCTGACATGGTCTGCTTTTATGCCTACTTCTTGTACGGTCACCTCAGGTCTGCAACTTCCTTGGGCTACTCCATCAAATTCTCAAAAGTTACAGGGACCATACGACGGAGGCCATGTCACCTCCTGCGATAAGACGCGTTTAAGACGAACATATAGTTTGCGCGAAGAATAGTAACTCTTTCCACGCTACACTGAGGCTCAGGAGTACTTCTCTCGAACTTCGAAGCATGGCATGTGATCGCCTAGTCTTCATACAACATGTACAAAATTTATCGCCGTGAGTACCTCATGTGCATGGCTGGTATGCGAGAATTCAACCTTGCGCGTGGGCTGACATTATTTTTGGCAGGGACTGTCGAATTGTCGTGCCATCTGAACCCGAGCAGTACTGAAACATAGCCCAGTTGAAGGCACACTCGGCATCGGACACAGGGAGATCCTCACTATTGTATGTCTGCACCGATGCTGTGTGACTCCTTTGTGTTAGACCCTCGGCCTAACTACCCGTTCCGCGTAAGCGACATCCGTGACGGAAGCTCATCGCCCTAACCTCCTGCCCTTAGTTGGCCGTCAAATGTTACCGGCATCCTGACCACCACTGTACTGACGACGATGCTCTGACGTTGGTCCTCACTCACTGCGTTGACGGACACAAAGAACAGTGGGAGCCGACCCTGGAGTACCTCTACGCTGCAGCTGCCAGGAGCCCGACTTGAAGATACGCGAAGCCTGGTGCATCGACGCCTCAGGCCACGGAGACTCGAGCATCCTCAATGAGCACCTGATAACCGCAGCGTTGGAATGGAGGCCAGAGTCATCTTGTGGGTATTTTGGTGCGCCTTGAGTCGCTGAGCGCCGTTGACGCAATGTAGTCAGCTGGGAAGACTATGCGCGGAGCATACACGCCTTTTTGGCCGGACTGGGAAGTGGCGTCGACGTTGATTTTCGTTCGCGTCGCCTGGTTGCCGTTGGACATTCGCTCGGAGCAGTTTCATTGTTCGTGGCTCCTTCTGTCAGTACACGAGTCACTGCCACTAACTGCCTGCATCCTTCATAGCGTCCTGTCCACTACTTACCATCCTGAAGTAGAGTTCTCGTCTATGATCCTAATAGAGCCAATGATCATACGCAAGCCGAAACCCGGAGAGTGCAAGATGGAGTTCTCGGACATGATTGCAAAGCGGAGGGACAGCTGGCCCTGCCGTGAAGACGCCTTGCGCCTTTTCTCGTCAGGGAAGCAATGGCGGGGCTGGGACCCTCGTGTCCTGCAAGTCTACGTCGTGCGTATCGACCCCACCTGTTGAATTGTACTGTCTGATCTGCTCTCGCAATTAGGACCATGGCCTCAGGGATCTTCCCACAGAAACCTATCCTGATCGCGATGACGGTGTAACACTGAAATGTACTAGGCAGCATGAAGCGGTGAGGCTTATTTTAGCCGTACGTGGCGAGTTTGGCTGAGCTGATATTCAGGCATTGTGGCGTGACCGCCTGTGCTCTTTGCGGGCCTTCGACTATTTGCACGTGCTTTGCCAACGAGTCCCGGTCCACTTCATCCATGGAGAGTCACTACGCGGACTTGATGTGAGTGCGCTGTTCTCGCTCTGGTCTCGTTCCCATTCAATACCCGCACTAGCCCTCACTATTACAAGGAGGACCTGCTGAAGGTGGCTACGCGCGGACTTCAAGTCTCGTCGCGCCAGGTGTCCGGTGCAGGACACATGGTGCGTCTTGGTTTACTTCATAGCAGCAGCACCTGGCTGACTAAACTGGCTTTCAGACCATGCACACGCATCCGAGAGGTACGGCCGAGGCGATCGTGGCGTCACTTGTCCACGACACCGTCCGACTGCGGCTTGCAGTAAAGACAGGCGTGATTGCCAAGCTCTGAACCCCCTTTGAGGTGAACTATATATACGTACTACCTCTTACAATATACCGTGATGACTGCAATTCAGTGGATTGTAACTCTCTTTGTCTGAAGAGGTGCTCTTGTGCGCACCGCACTGCAAAGCACCGAGTTCAATGATGCGTTCCGCCGGAACCTGATCTTCGCTAATTCCTGCGTACTCCCTAAAGAATAACTTGAAAACATTTTCTTCTATCAGATTCGGCCCAGTTCTATCTGTTCTGCGTTGCAATACTACGCGTTATGGAGCCCGCGCGTTTTCGTTGAAGTTTCAGACAGTACTGGTTCCGTGTTTCCCACCCGGAGCAGCAGAGCCTGTGTCATCGAGAGAAGACGTCCGCACAGGACAGACGCATCAGAATACCCGCATGGAACCTCCTTGGTCAAGCTGACACTTGAATTTGGCGGAAAAACTCGAGTTTCATTGAGAGCATGGTACAAATACGTTCTACAGTCGATTCCCGGTGTATACTGCTAAAAGCGAGCAATAGTAATGTTACACTTGGATGATGATCGCGTGCCAAAAATCTGTGTCAAGCTTGCGTCTAGAGGCCAGCCTCGTCGAACGTACGTGCGCCGCCGCCGTTCTTGTTCTCGCCTGCTGCGCTCTGCGTAGCAGCGGCCATGATGCCTGACTCAGGGAGCTCCTCGGACTGGGTCGTGGACGCAGCATCCCCCGTGATCTAGAGCATGGATGAGTGAACGAAAGGCGTTTTGTAAGTGATGCGACAACGTACGGGCTCGTTCGCGCTACTGTTGATGGCGCTCTGGACGCGCGCGGCAAGGGAATCAGCGGGTGGGCGGTAATCGAGGGTCTTCTGCTCCTCGGACTGCAAAGTATGCGCCTCGTCGGTAGTGATGGTCTCGAGATTAACCTCGGACGTCGGGGATTGGCTCGCAAGGCGCTGATACCTGGAAGGCGCGCCGTTAGACGAGTCAACAACTGGCAGAGGCTCGGGCCCATCTACGCACTCGATCTTCTTGGCGTCCTCGAGGGCTGCCTTCGCAAGTATCGTGGAATCGAGACCTGCACTCGCGTTGGGATGCTTGGCGGCCGCCGCCTGCGCAGCCGCGGCAAGAGAGCCCTGGGGCGGGCGGTATCCGAGCGCCTTGTGCTCCTCGGACATGAGCTTGCGCGCTTCCGCTGTGGAGAGGTTGTGAGCCGCGCCTAGCCGATGGAGGCTATTGCAGGAGACCGACCTTCGCCGATGAAGTTCAGGTCGATGTGTGCGGCAGCACTTGAAGGCTCGAGGAGGGCTGCGTCTTCGAGTGCAGCGCGCTGGAGGTGCTGTGTCGTGGGCTGAGTCTGCGCAACGATCTGCGGGTGCTTCGACGCGGCGGATTGGACCTGTGCGGCGACAGAGCCAGGTGGTGGGAGGTGTCCCAGGGACTTGTGTTCCTCCGGCATGAGCTTCCGAGCTTGAACTAAACGATAGCATGAGCACGAAGATTGCGATGAACGGAACTCGACGCACCTTGGCTGATAGCATTCAGGTCTACTCCGTCCTGTACCCTCTCTTTCTTAATCCTTTGAGCATCTGCAAGAGCCGCTAGCCGTAGCCGTTCTTCATTGATTTGTGTGGCGGTCTGGGGGTGTTTGGCAGCTTCCGCCTGCGCTTCCGCGGCGAGCGAGCCCGGCGGCGGACGGTAACCAAGGGCCTTGTGTTCAACAGACATGAGCTTTCTGGCGTCAGCTGCACAGCTTTCTCTCAGCTCGTGCGGGCACGCTAGGTGTGAAGCAATTTGTACCTTCACTGATGCTCTTCAGGTCGATGCGAGGAACGAAATGCGCAGCGTCACGATGAGCAGAGTCAATGATTGAAGGAGCGCTGGTCGACATGTGCAACATCTTGAGCGAAATGTGGGTATGACCAAGAGTTCGTGAAGGTGCAGGGCGTCGGGCGTCGGAGGCTGGGGGAGAGCAACGGGATGAGTTACGGGGTTGACGTGGCGGATGTCTGGGGTGTTATATATACCTTGGAAATATGTCCGCACCCTCTTCGCGCATTCGCACCCCAAGCGCCATTTTTCGCGCTTGAGGCTGTAAACTGTGGAGACGGGTCGCTTGAGAGGAGCCAATGCCTGCGTTCTTGGTGGAGTCCTCAGATAGGAATCACACCTTGTCCCGGCAGACCCCGGCGCCACCATGGCAACCAGACGCCCGAACTGTTCGTCTTCCGCAGCCAACACCGCCTCAAGGTTTGTCCAGCCACCTTCGTGCTCGCTCTTCTGCCCATCGCTCACTCATTCCTAGCGTAATCTGCGACTTTGAGATTTGTTTTGGATAGAAAGGCTTGCGTGCTGCACCTGCCTGTGCGTGGAGCCGCGTACGTAAAACGCGGTGATATATCATTCCATCAACGGCTTCAGCGCACTAATGTCTGAAGAAGGTTTGGCCTCGAAACAAGGGTGCATCTTGTTTATCAGGCGCCATCTATTCACGCTACTCACCCGCTTGAGATGTGTTAGATCGCCATAGCTTCCTAGAGGCTCGGCTCCACCCAAGTCTATCTCGAGCCTATCGGATCGGAGTCTTCCGAAAGAAGTCTTCTCACACTCGGAGATAGATACCTTCTAAACCACGTCCACCTTCTCAAATGCCGGTCTGTCTTGCTTTCTACAATTATAGAACTTATTCATCGTCCGCAGATAATAAATATTTGCCTAGTTATAACATTGATCCATATCACCAGTCCTAGATTCCTATTGTCGCGGAATCAATCTTGCCTGCGACGTCTTTGCTCTTTGCAAACAGTATGAAGGCCGTAGGTCACAGATCGCAGAACTAGGCTCGGTGCTATAGTTCTCGGATACGATTAGTAAGCTGTGCCCACCTTAACCGAAGTTTAGCATACTAGGACCTGCATGTTCCCTCGGCCCTCCCAAGTTGCACTGGTTGTTGCAAGTTTTATACCCTGCATATTCTCGACACTCATGAAGTAGCTTGGCCCTGCAATCCGCCACAGAGCTGCTCTACTCGCCGTTTACACGAGTAGTAACGAAGCACGTCTCAGATTTCAGCCCTCGTGCGCAACGCCATCGCCTGATCTCTACAGGTGATGTTTCTGCAGATAGAGTAGCACGAAAGCTGCTCGGATATGCAGGATGGTGACTACTTTTTTTCTGTGTGCAGTCAGCGTCTGACCTTGGCTGAACGCAGTGATGATATACACGCCAGGCAGATCTTGTGATGGCAGGACATAGGGATCATAGTATGTCATCAACTGAGCTCATGCCATTCTACCATCCCGCTCTTTACAATAGCCTCTTCACGCCTTCTCTATAGCCACGGTGCTCCATATATGAAAAGGTGCGCTTTCAATTAGAGACCGGAGCAGCTGAGCTAACCCGCCTGCGCAAGGAATGTGCGATGCTGTAATGCTCGTGAGCCAAACGAGCATCTGAGACATGGAGCCAACGGAGATCTAATATAACTGGGGCTGCTTCTAAAGCAAGCGTCTGCGACTGTGACCTACACACATATTTGTGGCGCATTCGAAATGTACGTCCAGCGCAGACGCGCAAACATATATATATATATGAAGCTCTGGTCGCTCACACCCGGACCAAACACTGATTCTCTCCCGGCCAGGGTTTGTCTAGCCGCGTCTACAAATGACGCAGGCAAACAGCATCATATTTACTATCTTTCAAAAGGCTATCTCTTTGATTCCCAATGGGTCATTTCAACCCGTTACCTCGGAGGTGGGCCCTCGCTTTATCGGTTATTTTAGTGCATTACCTGAACACGGGTAGCTTCTGCTCCAACCCTTACTGCGTGGCATGTGCTGGCGATTCGTCTCGAGATTATACGAGAAAGCCGCAGTCGTAGCCAAGCGAGCATCAGTCACCAAGACACTAGCCTAGAAAACAGCCGCAACGAGAACAGCCCTGCCGAGAACAGCTGCCGGGAAAATATTCATCGCTCAGCGGCCTCTTGTGTACCTTTTAGATGTGTACCAAACGTCACCTGTAGTTGTATAGGATAGCTGACAGCTTTTTCTTCATCTATGCATGCAGCGCTAAAAGAACTATGCTAAGTACGCTTCCTTCATGTCTGGGAGATGGAAAAAAACTTCTAACGTCATACGCGACTCGGACAGTTTAGATGCACCATGTGCGGGAATAGCAGAACAAACTCCAGGCGCCGTCTCTCCTCTCTTCATGTTCTTACACTTTTTCTAGGTCTATTCTAGTGTCAGCGATGATAAAATTTATCAATTGTCGACAACTGTGGCACTTATACATGGTATGTGATATTTCCGACGTCACTGGACAAATCGTACAAATGCAATCCAAAAATTCTACATATATAATCGGCACAACCAAAGGCAGCTCCTTACTGGCTAATTTCAACAGCTGAACATTCAAATGAGGCACATTAGGATGCAGCCCAAGCCAATCCGTACCGAGCATGTAGTGGCATGATATGCGCAATTGTCAGCCAGACCTATTAGTGCATCAGTTATAGCTTTAAACGTCGGTGGTCACATTGCTCACGTTGAATAGAATGTAAGAAGAACGGTCATGCGCCTCTGTCCTGTAGAGGTAGAGATGTAGGCCAAGAATGATGCCCAATACCATATACATTGCGCCGAAATAGGGACCTATTTTCCAGAAGTAACTCAGGAAGAGCGACCACATAGTGATGGCGATGAGTGTGAACTGTCTGGAAAACTCTGGAGCGTAGATCGGGAAGGTGACGCGGCCAAGTCGCTTATCCCCTTCCACATCTGCAAAATCCTGCACTTGAACAGTGGTGAAGATGAGGATGCCGCTGATGCATACGGCGGTCGTCGATATATTATCCATATCGTGGGCCGCTCCTGGGTATTTGTGTGTCAGCATGGGGTAACGACCGGAAAGTATGTGGAAATATACCCATGAGCTTTGTCGCCCCAATCTCGAACGTAGTATATCCTCCGATGTTGCAGAAGTTTTTCCCGATGGGATGGCCAGCAAGGCCAAGCTCATCGTACAGGAAAGTTGTGAAAAAAAGTCCTAGGCTTGTGAGAGCGAGGTCTCCGCCGTATATCGCTGACCACCACACGCAAAGGCCGGCGGAGATCCATCGCAAGGTAATTGCTTGCGACTGCGTGATGCGGCCAGATGGAAGGGGACGCCAGGGCTTGTTAACAGCGTCCTCTTCAGCGCCTCGCGCTTGGTTGGAGACGTTGCACATGAACTGGTGAGACCAGATCCAAGTAATGCCAGACAGGAAATGAGGCACTGAATAAAGTGGGGCTGTTGCGCAGGCGAAGACGGACTGCAAATAGATGCCGGTTAAATTTCAGAAGAGCCAAGATATCAGAGCGACTTCACTATGGGGACGAAGATCGTCTTCATATCTGCCGCGGTGAAGAGAAGGACGGTACGCGCATGGAAGCGGAAGTGAGAGAGAAGAGAACGCGTTGAGCGTTGCAAGTGAAAGAGGGAGACTTCCAAAGTCCCTAAGTTGCTGTCGCCAGAGACAACCATATCGGTTAGATAGACAGCTGGCGAAGACGGGTGACGCACCATGCAGGAGTGCGGCGACCTTTTCAACAGCTTGGAGCCGTGTATCAAGTGCCGCTATCAACCTGAAGTGGACATTCGTTCCGCAGAGTTCCCCTAGTAGGCGGTGCGGATTAATCTATAGTTCGCGAAGATCGAGCTTCTGGCGACGAATCTCGGAGAACTCTGCGTCTAGAGAAGGTAAGTCTAGTATACAGCGAATCAGCGGAGTGTTGAGTGGCGGGGGTTCCACGGTGCGGCATGTGTGGGCGTTGATGCCAACGTGGTTGAGACGCACGTCAGATGCAATAATCACAAGTACTCCCACGTACGTTGATGCCTTCTAGCATACCAGGAAATAGTACAGAAGCCAGCATTCCAGCGAACAGTCATGGTCGCCCGCAACACTCCGCAGGGATCCCGGCATACTTTCCAAGAAGTCCCTTTTGCTCAGTTTTTGGCTAAAGTTAGTCCAGTTTATACCCAGATATGCCCTAACAATTTCCAAAATCTTCAAAAATAAAAATAAAAGTACAAATCTGCCGCGGCGGGCTTCGCGCGCCTGGAGCACCCATTTCGCCACGAAAGCTAGGCGGAAATATGCGTGGTCCGCGTGGATTGTGCGTCACGTCGTGCTTTCGAATGTTTACCCAATTTCTAGCTTTACACCTCTGCCGCGGCGTCCATCAGTCGGTTGTCCCTTCGGAGGCCGGCTGCTGAAGCTGGCCAGTTGTACCCGGATTCTGATATGTCCTCGGCCCTCGTCGTGCGTTTATACCCGGACAATCTCGCGGTCTTCCGGCCAGTTCCTGGGCATTCGTACCCGGATTGGGATCTGACAGGGGATATGCCGGGGTCCTACTCCGCGCCAGCACCGCTTTGGCGCCTATCGACGCTCCGAGCGGCCATCGCGTCAAGGTCTCGGTCTCCTCCTTCGACTTCGTCTCGCCCTTTTCTGCGGACCTTGACCAACCGTGCTGGAGAACATCACGATGCGAGCTGCCATAAGAATTTTCTGATCATATCTGTCGAGAACACTTCGGCGAAGCTGGCCGCTAGGATGTGAATGTTATCGTGTAGGAACTTCGCCGGAGGTCAGTTCCGTATCTTCTCCACTACATGAGTCTCCGTACTCACAGTAAGATCTTGTTAATAGCGTATTTTGTGTATTTCGAGAAGGCCAAACAGTGGTCTGGCCATATCGAGGCTGCGTGGCACTGGTAGCCTGAGTACTACCAGTACGACTACAACTTTGGTTCGGCAGTCTTGATCTAATCAGTTCCGCTAGAAAAATAGGGTACGTATCATGGGAAACCTGTGTCTTATGCGTGTTATCTGAAGTTGAAAGCTTGAATGGTAGTCCAATATGCCGTGGAGGCCTTTTTTGCCAGTGCGCTGAGTACTGAACGCCCAAAGTCCTGCGAAACTATTGACACAGATGGCAAGACCATCATCAAGGTGTCGAGTTAAGTTCATATTCCCTCAGTGTGTGCGAGCGCAGCACCATCTGATCCGAATGCCAGCGAGTCGTATTCGTTCTCATAAAGCGGATGGGCGGCTGGTTCCCTCTGAGCTTCACGACCTGTATTGTGCTTGTGCAAACCTTTGTTCTCGACAGTTCAGCAATGACTTCCTTCGCCCTTGGAAGTCTCTTTCTGTCCATATCCATGACTCTCTCCACTATCCTGGCTATGTTTATGCTACGTCGAAAACGAAGGCCTTTCCCTCCTGGACCACGTGGACTGCCAATCTTAGGGAACATTCAGGATTTTACGTGCGGATTTGAATGGATCCGCTTCGGCACGTCCATGAAACACCATTTTGGTACGCATTATTATTGCAGCCCGTGTATAGCTCTCATTCATACTGTCTGTAGGAGATGTCCTGGGCTTTCGTATTTTGCGCAACACAATTGTGGTGCTGAACAGTGCCAAAGCAGCCAGGGATCTTCTGGACAAGCGAGGCCACCTCTACTCCAGTCGACCTGTACTAACCGTAGTTGGAGAGCTGATGGGGCTTGACCGGGTCCGCAGCTAGCGTTCGTTCTTCCGCAAGCCCCACTGATGCTTATGTTTCAGTCGATGCCGCTGCTGCCATATGGCTCTGAATGGAGGAAGTGCCGTAAACTGGAACATATTGCGCTCAACGCGACGGCAGTGAAGCAGTATCGTCCTATGTTAGAACACTTTTCAGCCATGCTCGCTCTCGATATTCTCGGGGATCCCGACAATTTCTATGAGCTGACTCGGTTGTCAGTGAAATATATATCCCGTACTTCGACTGCTGACCAAATGTTTCTCATAGATGTGCTTCCAGGATCATCCTCTCTGTGACATATGGTCTTTCAGCGCGTGTCACAGACTCTGAGGTACGAATTCTCCTCCCTACGCCGATATTGATCGACTAAGAGATTGAACAGTACATTACGCTCGCTGAGGACACCATGCGGATCGTGACCTCGTCTATTCGCCCAGGCGCATATCTATGTGACCTGATTCCAATTAGTAAGGAGTATCTGGACGCTCTCGACCGGCGGCACTGACCTCTACGCATAGTGAAGTACTTACCAGGTTGGGTTCCTTTCCAGCGTGAAGCGCGGCATGGTCGAAACATGATAGAACGATTTGTGTACACGCCCTTCGAACGCGCAAAGGAAGCTATAGTACGTTACTTGTTCATCTGTGGCTGTCTGCTGCTAACTTGTTTGAAGGCTATGGGCAGCGCTGGGCCCTCCCTTACTCGCGATCTTCTCACCAGCATTCCGGCAGACTCGCTGACCACGGAGATAGAAGAGCGTATCAAGTGGACAACAGGTGCGCTCTTGTCCCGAATTTACTGACCTCGCCTTGTATTGACTGCAGTCAGGATCAATGTATGCAGGTACGCTCGTTCCCTGCTACACTTACTGTGTCTATGTTTGACCCGCAGGATCATGACCACAGCTGGTGGAGAATCGGTACGCAATGCTGTGCATCGAGAGCTCCTCTTCGCGTCTGACAAGAGCGAACACAGACGTTTGGCACTCTGGCGGTTTTTATGATAGCTATGGCGGTCAATCGCGACAAACAAATTCGGGCACAAGAGGAGATTGATTCGGTGATCGGTGCAGAACGACTCCCTAACATCCCTGACAGAGGCCGCTTACCGTATGTGGATGCGCTCATTCAAGAAGTCATGCGTTGGCACCCCATTCTTCCTCTCAGTAAGTGCCGCCTTCCCAACACCCTCAGTTTTTGACTTTGTCAGGTATCACACGCCGGGCGGACGCCGAAGATGAATATGAGGGTTACGTTATTCCCAAGGATACAATCGTGTCCCCAAATCTTTGGTACGTCTACAGCAGTATAGAATATTCGTATGAAATTTGATCGGTCGGGATTACCTCAAGGGCTATTGCAATGGAACCGAACCCAAAGTACCCACCCGAACAATTCATTCCAGAACGCTTCCTAGACAAAGAGTATCCCACACCCAATCCCACCACGTGGGCATTTGGGTTTGGAAGAAGGTAGTATCTGTTTGCCTATTGGCTGTTCTCGGATGCTGACTGCGTTCTAGGATCTGTCCGGGGAAGACACTCGCGGAAGAATCAGTTTTCGTTCTGATATCCACTTTACTTGCGACGCTCGACATCCAGGCACCACCTGAAGGCCTTGTTCCGAAATTCGAATCTCGTGCTGTTTGGTGAGCTTTAATTATCCAAAATCGCGACATGCCGCTGACTAAGTCTCATACAAGCCTTCCTAAACGTTTTAACTGCGTGTTTAAGGCGCGCTCGCTCGACAAGTTTGAGTTGCTCCGCGGCGCTGCCGCCCTGTAGTTCTATCTTGGGAATGAATCTGTTAGATGAAGTTTCAATGCAACTCTCAATGTAATATTGGGATTGGTTGACCATCAGAGATGCGCTCAGATGAACAAAGTGTTCTTGCTGTTTCAAACCTTACTCATACCCCTCACCGTACCTCGGTACGCTAGAGCTTCGTGGCTGCTGCCTGATCCGGCACGTCGGGTAAGCCATACAAGCTCCATCTGCGGCAAATGCAGAGCCCTTGTGTTCATGAGACAACGCGGCTCAAAGTGGCGATTCGGCTGTGCGCCGCCGAATGTAATGTCACGGCACCGTCGCAATCTTTTGATTCAGAGTACGAAGAATACGTGTATGACAGGTGATCGTTTCGCTGGAAATCATTAGCCCGAGAATGTTCGCATGTTGAAAATGTATCAGAGCTTAGTGACTCAGCGTTCCTTCGAAGCAGATCAGATTCCCAGGTCAGGCCTTGTGGTACGCTCGACATGTCGCCACATTCGGCTGCCGACATGACATCGTAGTGGTGCAGAGGGCGCGCTTGCAGACGGCACGGAGCTCGGGAGGAGCGTTGTAACCTTCTGCTGGATCTGATAACTTTCGCAAGTGCCTTCGTCCCCCTATTGATAGAAGTCGTACTTTGCCTAATGGCAGTGCTCAGCTCCATGTTTGCAGTGCCTGAGAACTTCTGGACCAAGTGCTCCAAATCTGACCTGTGATCTATATCTACCGCAGGAAGATGTCGGTTCATGGAGCATCACGTTCAAGCGAGGCAAGGAGAGATGTGCCAAAAAATGCAGCCGCAGCTCTACCGGGTTTGGCAAACTTGGAAGGCCCTTAGATGAAGGATTGTTGATCTGGGCGTTCTCAGCCTTCGACACCTGTGTGATGCCGCTGGATATGATTCGCTCAAGTCGGATCCTGCGTCCTTCGCAGCGCCGCTGCTCCATCTCGAAGAAGCACTACCGTCTTAAGTTATCCCATGGTCATCAAAGTTTTGCCTCACACTCCGTGCGAGTCCGCGTTCCTTCCATCCGGGATTCCCTGCAGCTCCCATAGACTGATTGTCTCTCGTCTCAGGGCTCACCGTGATCGCTTCCCAGATGCCAGCATGGCATGAACGTCGAGTTTCACAGGCTTCCAGGCACTTAAAGATGTGAACAAGAGGGGTTGTTCCCGAATGCTGCATTCACACGTTTCCACCCACGCTAAGTCATCCGAGTCCATCGGATTGGCTCCCCTAATGTAGCGAAGTTCGCTTCTAAACCGCCACCGGCGACTGATCCTGGCATTGTACCCTTCAGTCAATATTTATCGTAAACAGGTTTATTTATGCGTGGTGTGTACGTAACAATGGGTGATAGCACGAGGAAGTAGATACTGTAGTTTGGTGGGTTTAATTACGAGTACTCAGCTACATGTCAGGCTTTGCAACGATACTGCGCTGAGTACGCATGTCGTTTTGAGCGTCACAAATAGCACGTAAATTTAGGTGGAAACGTGTGTATCAACGTCGTTTTAGTTCACAATGCCCAACATAGTCGTGATAATTTCGTCGAGAAGCGATTGAAGGTACTCCATATCATAAACATCAAGGAACTAGTCCTGTCAGCGTTATACGGAGCGATGCAAAGTCTCACAACTCACTTGTATCTGCAAATGAAATACGTCTCGGAATGTCCATGCATGCATCACTCTACGGGATCGCATCAGCCAGTCATCATTACACACAATTCAACGTATCAAACTCACGGGCACCGCATATTGATGATGCGATGGCCAAACTTGAGCTCCCCGAGCTCTAAGTGTAGCTTGTCGTTGTTCCCGCCGACCCACATGGAAGGGACAAACTTGTCAATGACTCCAATGTTGGTAAAGAAAGGGCGGTGTGGATTCAAGGGCAATGATCGCAGCTCGGTGCGAGCCACAATATTGGCGAAGGGGAGGGCTGGCTGGCTGAAGTAGTCGGTGTATTCCTTACGCAAGGCGGACATAACCTCCACGAGTTGGTCACAAAGCGGCGAGTCCATGTTGATACTTTGAGGGGAGAGGACGAGTGGAACATAGGCCATGCTCGATGCGATGTGCCGTTCCTCTGAATATCCGGAAGGAAAGTATCTCTGGAGAGCAATTCTGGAATAGTGTTAGTTCTCGGGCCCGTTGTACACACGACGTCACTGTAGGACGTACATAGTATTGTCATGGATATATTGCCAGTCGGCATCGAGGTTACAGTTACGTTTGATGGTCGTAAGAGCGATCGCGGCGTCGCAGAGCAAGGTGAAGCTAAACCCGATTGCCTTAAGAGCCGACAGCACGGAACGTAGCTTGTCGGTATTGATGGTGGCGCCAACGCACGCCCGCAGAGCAGGCGCCGTGATGTCATTACGCTGGGGAGCGAGCCCGATAGAAGGCTAGAAAAGCTTCAGTAATCTTGGAGAGTCGCGGGAGATTCGAAGGAAACAGACCAAGTTCTTATTGAGCTGCTCCGGCAGCCGTATCCCACTCGTTTTGGCTGCCTCCAGCAGATCCTTGCCGAGCAGTTGGATAATGTCCACCGGCAAGCTCGCGACCTCGCCGCCGTACGGAAGTTGGTCAAGACAAGGCTCATCGTCATGGTGAACGATGACATGAAACAGGTGTCGAAGAGTGTGCATAGTGGGTCGAGCATCAAGTACAGCATGTGACCCATGCATGAACAGAGCGTGCTCGCCGTTTGGACGGAGAATGAGGTGGCAAGCAAAGACTTGCTCACGCCTGTCCCCAATATGGTAGGGGAGTCGAATGTCGGTGATGGAGTTGATCACTTGCTCGTCAGTGGAAGTCGTTTCGTGCACGATGAGAGTCGCCCTGGCCCACGCCAGAGCATCGTCTTTGCTCTTCATCGGCGCATAGACCCATTGAAAATTGTCTGGAGACCCTGCGAGAGGCTCTATACTGGCCGCGATCAGGGGTGCAGAGAATCTGGGCGTTATGGTAAGCGGCTTGAAGGTGCGGCATATCAGCTCCGCCATACCTCACACGAACCAACGCCTCCACGACGGCCTCAGGAAGATTCGGAATATCTGTATTGAGCGTGAAACCGAAGCAGAAGTTGAACTGGCTGTGCTGTGTCAGCGGACAATCGACAACCGTGCTTGCGCAGGCAGACGTACCCATCACAGAGGCGGTTTAGTCGGGCCATGTCAAACTCAGTGCCGACTGTAGGTCTGCCCAATCCAGGTCACTTCCCCGTACAATGCAATATGAATATCAATGCATTACCTCACGTAGTGCTTGTCCACGAAGGTCCATCCAGCAGGCAATTGGGGAATGGCAATGGTCATACTGGTCTGCTTGGGTCTTGAAATCGGTTCAGAAGCTACTCCCTTTAGCGGGGAGAGGGCAAGGAAAGAGAGAGGAGCTGCTCGTCTGTAACTATACATCGTTTCCGCGATACACTGAGTAAGCCGTGTGATGATGCTCTGTCCAGGGAACTTACCTTTCGCGAAGACGGGGCATCGTTCAATCAGTATCCCATGCACAGCACATAGGCGTGTCAAACCGTGAGATATTCGTGATGAGAAGATATGTACTGTAGATGGAATGCGTCACCGGCTACAGTGTATGCGCAAGTGGATGCAGTGGCAGTCCCTGACCGGATCTTTGCAAGGGATCTGATCCGTAGATCTGACCAGGCGAGTGGTACATCCTGCAGTGGTCCCAAGGGCCGCTTCGCGCGCATCCACCGTGGCACCGAAAACTGCGCTGATGCACGAAGAAGGAGCCATGACACGGGGCCCTCGGGGAGGCAGTTGTCGTCGGCGGCAATTTGTCGCAATTCACGCGAAGGCGCTGATGTTTCAATCGGCATTTGATCTGAATGCCGCATTGGTTATTATCTGGAAACCCCACTTCGATCCATCTGAAACCAGCAGTCGCCAGGAAAATGTCCAGATGTCATTTGCGCGTCTTGTGTTTGGACCGATATGCCCTGAGCACCTTGACGGTGTTGGTCAACACCTCAAAGACAGGTCCCAGCAACCCACAAAGCAAGCTAAGGCACGTCGTCTAATCCAAGACACCTCCAACACTTGGATGTTTTCCTGATTTATACGCTAGCGGGATCTCCCGTCCTATCTCCTTTGCGAAGGAGGATTGCCTCTACAACGTGACATGTGCATATGCCATACGCGTTCGTCGATATACGAGAATACAAGATCATGCCGAGAATAGGAATGTGTCAAGGTGAAAAACGAAAAGCCGGGGAGACATACAAAGACGGGTAGTACACTGGATGACTCTCTTGACTGTCTAATCGTCGATGGGGCCCGGCGCGGCCTGCAGCGTGTGGTCCAAGGACTTCATACTCTTGTTGTCGAGCCTGGTCATCGAGTGCTGCTCGGTATCATCCGACTGCGTCAAGCGTCCGACATGAACTTGCATCGGGTTAGAACCGAACGCCATTGGCTGCGAAGGTGCACTCGCGGTATAGGTCGCGGTGTTCCGGCCGTGAATGAGACCTAGCCCGACGCGAGCGATGATGACAAGGGGGGTGATGGACTGCAGGGGACATCAGAGGCCGTATCAGTCGTCTTTGCAGAATCCGAACGTACCGCAACCTGACTCAGACAGTATATGGCGCCCCCTGCGCCGCCGACCTGTCCGGTGACGTCCAAGCAGAAGGAGATGAGGGTGGCCCCGGCAAACATGCCCCCAGACTCGAGGATGGTGTAGACGGTGGCGCGGTATGTAAATCTGCCGGCAGCTGAACGACTCTTCCGGCCCGCCCACCAGAGTTTGCCGGCAATTGCAAGTGTGACGGTGGTATTCATGAAGATATCCAGAGACCAGCCAGCCAGACCCCAACGTTGAACCGATGTCGCAGCGCCACCACCAGCCTTCTGTATAATGCCGCCGGTGACGTAGGCGCAGGCTGCAAAAGCGTCAGCTTCCAGTGCCATTGCACAAGGGTGGATAAGCGTACAAACGTGGGCACACTCGACCACAAGCTGCAGTTATCAATGTCAGCCAATGTCTCCAAGTGTGGGACAATAGACGTACAGGTATAAGTACAACTCTCCAGTTATGTCCCCAGACGACATACAGCCTCCAGATCTATGGCAGCAAAGTAAGCACAGATGGACGATACAGGTCGCGCAACTTACGAGAAGGAGATCCTGAAGGAAGACCACGGTGGTGTAAAGTATCAAGTGTGCACTGTCAAGCGAATCTGCAAGAAGCCAGTACTCGTCCCATGCCACAGGATTTCCGACCAAGGCAGGATTCGACAGAGAACGGTATAGCTGGGTAAACGCCACAATTTCATCACTGGTGGACACAAGCCACAGCAGACAGGACCAGCCTATGAGGTACCTAGCATTTCGTAGTCCGTCAGCGGAAGCCAGACAGATGGTATACTTGACCCTGCCTACCAATTACGCTCCTTGCGGCGGAATAGGACATGGAGAGCGCCTCCAAATATGAGGCAGCTACGGTATGAGATGAAAATCAGCAGCAAATCCCAGTATAAAAGTCTTACTTCATCCCTTGAAATGCATTGGTCAAATTCCACTTGCTGATAAGAGACACCGACTCACCATATAGAATAGCAGATGACCAGATCGCCGCCATCGAAGAAAGGCCGAGGGGCGGGAGTGTCGGAGCTGGAGACGCAGCAGCATCGAGGAAGGAAATGTTGGCTATGGTGGGCATGATGCGTACTGGCCGGGCGTACTGTGGAGCGTCGCCCATTCACGACTTATAAGCCATATTCAACGTGTGGAGATACTAGTTCCGATCCTCGCAAAATGCCGGCATTTGTCGTGTGCCGCGAACGATGAGCTATCGCCCAAAGGCCCTCGTTGACAGCTGGCGTGAGACGGGCTTCAACTATCCGTGGCAGCAATTCTTATCTGGCTGGATGAACAGACGATCGGAAAGATGCTTTCACGGATGCGGTCCTGCGTACTTCAATGGTCTTCACATCTGCTGAGTAGGGCGATGCAAATCGCCGCGGTATCACTGAATTGAGGGTCAATCAAGGGACTGTGCTCGTGCCTTACCGCGGCGCAGACGTACAGAAGCTACGTCGTGAGAGTCTACGTTCCGTGCAGCGAAAGCGCGCCCAAATTGAGTAATCAGCGATGTATCATGTCACTGAAGGCAAGAGGTGCACGTTCACTCACAATATTTGGGCCCGAGAGTGTGACTTACGGCGCCGCGGGCTTCAAGCTTTCAAGCTCAAGGGCCGATACCGTCTCATTGAGACTAGACCGGTTTCGACCCCCGCTGCGGACGAGTCCGGGCGACTGCCACGGTGCGCCCAGCCGGTCACGGAAAAATTTTGAACCGGACACTTTCCGATCATTGATCCGTAAATAAGCGCTTTGCGCCACGAGGCTGCATGTGCTCGTTGTTCTCCCTGCACCCACGGCTCTGACATAAGCCTTGAAACATCCGAACGTTCCGATGAGCGAAGCCATTGAGTTATCACTGATCAGTTCGAAAAGGGTATTGGGCTAAAGTCACGTGACGATCAAAGCACCGCGTGCGTGTGTTTGGTTTCCTCTCACGCTTTGGCCGGCTGGTCACCAGGGAAGGGCTGCGCGATGTACCGCAGGTACAGCGACTAAAGAAACGATAGACCGCTTGTGCACGAATTTCTCTTTTGGATCTCACACTTGGAGCCTCCACCTGCTCCGCCGCCACAATAGATTTTGAAGATTCGGCGCCTTAGATGCCATCCGAGTCCAACATGCTATCCGGACAGCTGACAGCATATCTCGGCCTAATTTGTCATATGGTAGATTTTGAGAAATGTGTCAGCGAGAAGCAGTGGCCCATAGGAGAGAAAGGCATAAGATGGTGGGATGGCGAGGTGCGCGATGGAGGCGGGTGCGTCGCGATGCACCAGTGAGCGGGGTTGGCGAACTGTCACTCGATTAGGCAAATGCCTGCGCGGGAAGACTCAAAATCTCGATTAGTTGTCTGTCCGGCTCCACATTAGCTCCGAAAGTAAACAAATCTCCAAATGACATTTTCGTGCAGAATCGGTCTATCGTCTCTTTAGTTACTGTACAGAGTGGCGCCCTATTAGAAACCCTGTAGTAATGGATGATTCAACTCCGCTGTAATGCGATCAATACGCCGTGAAGACTGCTTGTATTTCTTAATCTAACTCAGTAGTCATCAGGTTTCATGTATCATGCATCACGTCGGGACAACTACGCGGGGGCAGGTGCTGGGAGTAGTGAGCCAGGACATCTGCCCACCCAAGCTGTACTATGATGGTACCCTGCTTTATAAAATTTGGGAAAATTTGCATCCTGTAGCTTACCACACTCATGCTTCGCGGGCGGTTTTGCATGAGTCGATGTGTACACACCTTAGCTATATATTCGTATTTTTATAATGTTTTATTGAGGTCTTGCAAGAGCAGCGGATCCTTTCCGGTGCACAAAGTAGGCCCTGCACCACTTTTTATAAATTTCGTCACAAGTGTCACACCAGATGCCGTCGAGCCGTGTCTCTGCCGAGAAGCTGAGCTGTCTCTCCAGAGTCAACCTCAGTTGTTTGAGATCAGGCGGAGCGACAATTTCATCACGCCTTGCTCGTTCATTGTAACGCTCCACTAATGTTCCTTCCCTGTACATGTACATAGCACCTTGTAAACCAAATATGATGACCAGCCATGTCTGGTGTAAGTACAAAAGTCTATGGATGCAGTCGCCAGAATATTTGGTGAGCGAGATCTGGTTGGATCTAGCCATCAGTAGCATTTTTCGGCCAGTTTTGGACCACTTCCGAGCATCCACAAAAACATCATATCGTCCCTTGCTGCACACCCGCCATGATATGGGTGTCATATTATAGTATGAATACAAGTCTACCATGAAAAATATTCACAGCACCTCCGGGGGCATATTGCAGCAGCAAGATCGATTTTATAAAGCAAGGAGCCTTTATAAACCAGGGGGCCATCATAGTACTAAGTAGATGTGCGTGTGGTACACCTGATATGAGCTGTCGTGCACATTTGAACAAGCTTCCGGCCATGGGAAACTGCGTGGAAGATGAGAAGCTGGAGTTCAACCGTGCCTTTGTGGCAGTTGACCTGCTCCGAGCAGACGGTGTTAGCCTAGCCCGCGCCTCAATTGTTGGGTGGCGAGGATAGACGTTCTGCACGAAAATCTCAAATGGAGATTTGTTTACTTTCGGAGCTAATGTGGAACCGGACAGACAACTAATCGAGATTTTGAGTCTTCCCGCGCAGGCATTTGCCTAATCGAGTGACAGTTCGCCAACCCCGCTCACTGGTGCATCGCGACGCACCCGCCTCCATCGCGCACCTCGCCATCCCACCATCTTATGCCTTTCTCTCCTATGGGCCACTGCTTCTCGCTGACACATTTCTCAAAATCTACCATATGACAAATTAGGCCGAGATATGCTGCCAGCTGTCCGGATAGCATGTTGGACTCGGATGGCATCTAAGGCGCCGAATCTTCAAAATCTATTGTGGCGGCGGAGCAGGTGGAGGCTCCAAGTGTGAGATCCAAAAGAGAAATTCGTGCTCAAGCGGTCTATCGTTTCTTTAGTCGCTGTAACATGTACGCAAGTATTGACGCGGGGCATTCATCTGTTCTGCAATACATCTCTTTTACATGTAATGCGCCCTGGGCTTCGCGAAATCGGATAGGGCAGGCGTCAGCCTACTGCACACAAGTTGAACAGCGGTATGCATGCTCATTAATCATTTGACGCTCCGTGAGGATGCACTTGCTCCGACTATCTCTGGATGCGGCGCCGCGTTGTACTTCAAGCTTCAAGCTTCACCGGTCACCGGCCGAGCCCGCATTGGGCAGTAGCTCCTGCGAACCTTCGGTGCGGATGCAGTTGTAGGCCTGTAGTAAGGATTATGGCATCAGAAAAGATTAATGGCGTCACCATGCAGCCGTACCTATCGAAGACAGTCTTGAGGGGGTGCAATAAGTTTGTTGAAAAGTTTCTCCGCAGGAGGTACACTTGCGGGAGCACCGACTGCCATGTTGCTCTTCACTGGGTTCAAGATAGGGTAGAACAACATTATATGCACACACGGGGGAAAACGCTGACTTTCTAGACTGGGCAGTCTCCGCCGAGCACAATTGTGCGTCGTCGCCTGCCGTAGGTACCGCCCGTGAACCTTGTCATGGCTTGCGGCACGGCTGCATTCCCTCAGAGAATGTGATTTGGTAAGTGCGTGTCATCGCTCCTTGGAGCATATGGATACACATCCTACGGCCCGGGCAAGCAGAGCTCGGCTCTTCTCGATGCCAGTGAAAGCTCTGGGTGTGCTGCACCCATTCTCGTGTGCAAGAGCCGCTCTTCCGACGGCAAAATTTTTGGCACGGACGTAATGTTTGCAACGATGCCGGGCCACCTCAAGCCCGAGATGACAGCCTCGAGACAGTTCCATGGCGGATTCGAACCGATGCGAATCTCAACTTGCGCTTCATTTGGGTAAATGCGGACACAGTGCGGCGTCGGGCACCCTGGGAAAAGATTGCGGCACGCGAATGAATACTATGGTCCCCAAGCCTGTGATTGGATTCATCATGCGTGATCGGATTGGGGTCGGCTTGTCTTCAGAGGGCTGGGAAGGCTGTGGAGGACCCGCCCCGGCTACGGACAGAACCTCGGGGCATTATGAGATCGGACGCCGCTCATCGCGTGAGAGAAACGTTGTAGAGGTTGCGCTATCTCACGCTGTGGCGTTTGGTTGAGAATCCGTATTACCCAAGGCGCACCACTGTACCCCGAAACCAATGTTGTCAATGCTGGAATATGCCGTGCTCTCGTAAGGAAGAGAAATATAGTATGATGGAAAGAAGAGCCTTCGGGTGGGGAAACCTCTAAGATATACGAAAATAAGTTACGCTCAGCAGAATTTTGACTTTGACCTCAGGCTACATCTAGACCCCGGTATACCGCAACACAGCGTGGCACTGTGATTCCTCTCGGGGACACGATCATCATGCACTCGAGCTATGGACGATACAGCATGCACAGGAGAGTATCACTGTCGCACTCATGCCAGAGGACAGAGTTCATCGGAAAATAGGACATGTGCCCTCTTTGGCCTGCAATTTGTGCTCCGTTAACGGAAGCGAAGCACTGCAGACCGCTACTTCACGAAGAGAACGCTTGTCTACCTTGCCGTTGCTACACGTCCATGATGAGACACTCGCATGGTCTCTTAGCCTTAAGAAGCACGCACCTCGTCATTGGGAACATTTCTAGGGAAATATACCGCGATGGAACTGAGTAGTACGGTAGGCGGCGCTCGATGAATGTCTTGAGCTCGTCGATGGGCACCGAAGACGGGCTGATGATCCCCCAAAGGTCCGTACCAATGAGCAGAGACACTGCCCTGGTGACACTGGGGTGTGCCTCCATGACGGCTGCCACGCCGTCGAGTTCGACGCGGAAACCCTGCACAGGGCGGTCTGTGTGAGCGAGCCATTCGCGTTTTTATCTTAGCCTGTGGGAGCACACCTTGACTTTCACCTGATCGTCCAGCCGACCGAAATGCTCCAGCTCGCCGTGTTCGTTCCAGCGGCCGAGGTCTCCCGTGTTGAACATCATCCTGTAGCGCACCCAGTAAGGTCACAGAGCTAGAGAGACAAGGATAAATTACGTGCCCGTTGTTGCAGAATGGGTCAGGACGGTATCGATCGCGCGATAGCTCCAGCTTGTTCACGTAGCCTGACGTCACGCAGGCGCCCGCCGCCCACATCGTGCCGATGCAGCCTATCGGCAACGGCTGCAGGTTCTCGTCGAGGATGTACACTCGGTTGTTGGGGGTCGGGGCCCCGATGGACAGGGGCGTGAGGTGTTGGTGGCGATGCATCGTGTTCACGATCGTAGTCTGCACCGCACCAACAAACATGAGCCGTGTTTTCGCCAAAGAAAGCATCGCCACACGCACCTCCGTGGGTCCACAGCAGTTGTAGAACGCCTTCCCGACGGACCACTCGTCCGCGAGCGCCTGCGAACACGGCTCGCCCGCGGTCGCGACGACGCGGATCGCAGGGTAGTCCGCGGCGCGGTAGCACTGGAGGATCGTCGGCGTCGCGACGACGACGTGCACAGACTGGAGCGTGCGCTCCCATTCGAGCTTGCTCGAGCCCCGCAGGACGAGCGTCCCGCCGTTGAGCAGGCAGCCGAGGACTTCCCAGACACACATGTCGAAGGCCACGCTGAGCAGCTGCGAGACCTTGGTCCCGGGGCAGATACCGAGACTTCCGGGTTCGTGGCAGAGCACTGCGATACGGGTGATGAGCAGACGCTATGAAGAACGGTGGGTATGCATACAGTTGGTTACGTTCCTGTGAGACACGCTCACGCCCTTGGGCATGCCAGTTGTGCCTGGAGTATGGTTCGGTCATAGATATGCAGACAGGGAACGGCAGCGTACCTGATGTGTAAATTACGTAGGCCTCATCGAGATATGAACTCTGCTCTTGGACTGGGAGTTGCATTGTGCCGTTGTCATTAGAGGGTGCGAAGTCTTCCAAGCACAGTACTTGCAGGTCGTGGGGAGCACGGTGCGTAAATACCGAGGTGCAGACAATAAAAGCCGCGCCGGAGTCTTTCAGCACGTAGCTGAACGTCTGCTCGGTGACCACGCCGCCGTCCAGAGGAATGTATGACGCGCCCGATTTGAGGATACCAAAGATCCCGACAAGCATGCCCAGGGAGCGTTGGACGAGGAGACAGACTCTAGAACCCCTTTCCACGCCCTTCTTGCGCAGCTCGCGCGCGAGCATATCGGAGGCTTCGTCGAGCTGCCGGTAAGTTAGCGTGGCACCAAGGTGACTGGCGGCGACGGAGTCTGGGAGTGCATGTGCGCGCCGCGAGAATACCTCCTGGATGGTCAAGGGCTCTAATTCTGCGTACGGTCCGACGCCGTAGAGTGCAAACCGGCACTGGTCTTGGATTGATAGGGACGACGCGCCCAAGCGAGCCAGTATCTGTGCCGTAGCGGAGCCAGGAATACACTGAGAAGTGGACGCGGTGTTCAACAGCATGGACGACGTGGCGTGGGCGGATCGGTACTTGCTGAGCGTGCGGGCACAGTATCCAGTGCGAGGACAATCGACTGCCTCTAGGTGCCGCTTCCACGACAAGATATGCACAGGGATGTGATGATCGACTTCCGCGACAGAAGGTGGCTAATTAAAGCGGGCTATAGAACTTGAACATAGAGTCGCCGAGCAGCACTCGCATCATGCGTCATGTCCCATTGCACGGCGAAGCAGATGAGACCGGAGCATCGCTACTGGATACTGTGTGAATGACATTTGGTGATCGCAAATAAAATCCACGGTCACCTGCTGTGTATGTACCCGCTGAACTCCGCGCATGCTGTGCGAACGAGGAAGGCTGATCCAGATGGCGACGAAGGAGATGGTGCCGGAGACGACGGAGGGGTCGAAGCGATACACCACGGTGCTAGTCGGGACGGCAAGATTTTGGACGGGGTGTTCCCACGGCCAAACAAAGCAAGGTTTAGTGCAAATAACTGGTTTGCTGTGCGCCCAACCAACTGGGCCCATCGACATCTGCAGAAGCAGAAGACGACAGCATGCGGCCACGGCCTTCCGCGGGATGTCCCGCCCAGCTGGGGCTCGATCTTGCCGGAATTCCTGTTCTCGTCACCGCAGCATCGTGGAATGTGCCGTCGGCACGCCCCATGCGTGGCGGTTCGCTTTATACTCTGCGGCCAGGCCCCCTCACGCTGCTCTCCCCAGAGTGCCCGACATGTTTGCCTTCAGGAACCAGCCCTTCAAGACTCTGTACCTCCTCATCTTCATACCAGTCACCCTCTTCGTTCGTCTGCCATACTGGGTGCTCATCTCCGCTATTCCCGCCTTCAGGCCACATAAAACATGGTCCTTGAAGCGCACCATCAGTCTCTACGTCATCATCGTCGCCAACAACTTACCCTTCCAGATCGGGTTTAGGGCTCCCCCGGGTGACCCAGCAAAGGACAGTGTCAGCCCCGAGACCACTGGTTTCGCGTGGGTCGATGCAGTACCTGAGCAGCTCGTCACTGGTGAACTCGCCGAGCTCGCTCGTCAGAACCAGGTGAAGCCCGCAAGGATTTTCGGATACTGGTATGGAGTCCGCGACGAACATGGAAAACCCGGCCAGCATGCAGCCAAGGGGGAGCGCGTTTTGTACTACATCCACGGTATGCAACGTTCTTCATACACCTAGCCAGCGCGCTGACGCGCCCTTCACTAACTGCAGGTGGAGGCTACGTCGTGAGTTCTCAGCTTCGCTTATGGAGTACAATTTGACTCACCGTTTGCCAGAAAGGCTCGTCTCACCCTTCTAGCATGTGGACGAACATACCGAAAGGATTCGTCGAGAAATGCGCCAACATCGCAAAGCGATCCTTTGCGGTCGAGTCTCGTCTGTCTTCTTCCGCCCCCTTCAAGCCTGAGAACCCGTTCCCCGCGTCAGTTATCGATGCATTATCAGGCTACCGATACCTCGTCGAGGTCCTTGGTTTCGAAACGCAGAACATCATCGTCTCCGGCGACTCCTCCGGCGGACACGTTGCGAGCAACCTCGTGCGCTACCTCATCAACGCCAGTCTCTCTGGTCTCGCGGCGCCCGGCGCGCTTTTCCTGCTCTCGCCGACCATGGACTGGGCCAACACACACCTCGGTACGGCAGCGTCCACGATGGAACAAAATCACGCGACGGACTTCGTGCGCGAGGTGCTGCTCAACGGGTACAGCGCGACGAGCATGCGGGGCAGCCTCGACGCAAGCGAACTCGAGACGAACCCGTGGCTGTCGCCCGCCTCGCTGAAGCTGGAACAGACAGAGGGTCTGTTCGCGAATTACCCGCCGACCGCGATCGTGGCTGGGAGCCTCGAGCAGACCGTCGACGCCATGCGCACGTTCCGCGACCGCCTCGAGAGCGACAGCGGGCGAGACAAGGTCGTCTACTTCGAGTACCCCAACGTGTTCCACGATTGGCTAATGGTGACGTCGCTCGAGCCTGAGCGGAGCCAGGCGTATAGTGACCTGGGCAAGTGGTTGAATGGGGTATATGGCGTTTAGAGTGGGTGATGTACGGTGTGCAGGGTGGGAGGTCTTGACGGGTTTGGCTGGGTACATTTTCATTTTTCTCTTCCGCAATTCCTACGTTATAAACCCACCATACTCCCTACAATCGCTTCCCCGTGTTTATGTTCTCTTACGAGATTTTCCCATCCTTTTGCTTGGGCTCGCATTCGTACGGTTGCCGACTGCGCCTTCGAGCTTCGCATGTGCATTACAGGCGCGGCCATTTATTGGTGTAAGGAGCAGAATCCGTGTCGGGCCTGCAAAATATGAGCGAACAACCATAGTGTGTGTAGCGTCGAGGATCTATTACATGCAAACGACGTTGCCGCATGACTGGGATAGACGCCCAAGCGCTTGCACTGGCTCCTTGCCGAATTGATCCAGCTGATCCGATCACGCCCCTACAAAGTCATCCTCGTCGCCATTGTATGAAGGTCGAAGGTGGACAAAAATAAATATCTTGTCTTCGCAGTGCTGGATCTCGTTTTTGCAGCGGTCGACGACTTATATTTATTGTAATATACCTAATTGATTCCCATGTTAGTGAATCTATGTGCATCCGTGCTTGCTGTTGTGCATGATCTTGCAAGTAAGTTCACATTTGTTCGCTTTCTGTACACCTACACCTACACAACTTGGAGTTATGAGAGTCTTGACTTCGCTAGGTATGACATTTACGCGCACAATCATGCACCTTTGCGCATCAGCTCCCATCACAGACTTTCCGTATTTAGGTATGATAATCGCTTAGACAGGAAAATCTATGATAAGCGCCGAACGGAAACAAAGGCCATGCGAGAACGAGGTTCGATGCGGACGAAATGCTGCTTGAGTGTACTTTTGTGCACTTATTTGCAGTATTGTGCACAACTGTGAGTGTCAATGGACGTAGATTCACTACTATGGGAATAAATTAGGTGTTTTACATTGAAATGAGCTGCAGATCACTGCGAAAACGCGATCTGGCTCTGTAAACACAAGATATTTATTTCTGTCCACCTTCGACCTTCGCAGCATTGCGTGGAACTGAAGCTCAACGCTCTTTTTAACTTGTGCTGCAAGCATAACAAAGAAAATAAACACGGTATATGAAGTTTCAACGCTGCAGTTCTCACGTATTTCGAGGCAGTACATGCGCGACGCAGCGGGCATTCAATATCCAATATTCAGCTCTCTAGGACACTGTTGCGATAGAGTTCAATTTAAGGGTAAAGCCTGTGGATGTCGCTCGATCAACAAATACAGTATCTCACTACTCTCACACCACGTCTTCTCAGGAGTCAGGCTTTCGGAAGATTCCGTACGCGATTCGGACTTTCTTTACGAAGCGCGAGGTTGTAGCCGACAAAACAAAGGATGAGGACCATGCATAAGACTCGGAGACTATTGAGTGCACGGAGGAACTTCCCGGTGACAAGTGCCAACACACAACCTCCTCTCCGCACTGACCCGAACAAGAGAGCAAGCACGCCACAAACCCAAATGCACATCGATAGCCCCTTCGCACCCTGTCAGCAGAGTGGCTCGGTCACCGGCGATCTGTGGGTATGAACGAAAACGCAGATCCCTCAATGGTTATACGTCGGCTTCGCGTAACGCCGGACATGAGGCATCTCTGTTCACTTCTCGGCGAACTGATGCTCCGGTATTCGTCAGAAGCCAAAGCCTACGAAGGAAGACTGTTCACATCGTGAGAGATGATATGCAAATGCTGTATATCAGAACAGATATCCCAGCGATGTTCAATGACATATCTTTCGGAAGCTGTTCAGAGTGCTTCTGTCCGTTCGGTGCAGTGCCTACGACCGGCCCTTCTGTTCAGGCACTTGAGCTTGCTGGATGTGCTGTGGAATTATGGGGACTTCCGGGACCGTCAGAGAAGCTATAATTGTCACTCGAACGGAGGCCCCTCTGTGATCATTTATGGCCTGTTTTGAACTATAAATGAACGCCACCATGTTCCCGCGTAATCGCTCTTCACGCCACAAGGACTAATAATATCGGTGTTTCAATCTCCAGAAAAACTGTAAGCGCGTGATTTGAAGAGATCTGCGGCAATTATGTCGGCATTGCGCCCGTCTAGCTGCTCCCTTGCTCAGAGTTGTCCCTGCAAAGAAGACTATATTTCCGCCACGGAGCACCATGTGATATGAACTGCCAGAAGCAGAAGCGAAGCAGAGAGAAGCCGGCCCTAGCAGCACTGCAGGGGACGCAGCGCGCGGAAAGCGAGACTGTGGAGCTTCGCGCGAGGCACGCTGCAACTGGCGGAAACGTCCGGCCAAGAGCACGTCAATAGGAATCACCAGAACACACCAAATCCGCGTCCGCTCAGCATCTCGACTCCCGTGGAACCGTCGGCACTCGAGCTTCGCAAAAGCAAGCACCCACGATGCATGTCGGACGGTCTATAGTTACTAGTCACCTGATGAGCAACATTCGGAGCAAATCCCAAACTATCTTTCTGTGAAATTACCGCCTCATCGGGCCCTCCGAATCGGCCATCCTATCCTAGTGCGTATAGCCTGGATCCGCGAGGCCGTGCGCCTTCTATCTCGATTTCCACATGTTGTGGCTCGACACATGCCAGTCAAATCAGCAGACAGGCACAGCGATAGCGTATATAGGTGTGGATGTGGTCTGGTGGTGCAAAAGTGGCTTGCTGCTCCCACCACCGTGGGCTATCTCCGTCTGTTTTTCCGCCGGTTGACGGAAGGCGCAGTGTCTTCGGGTTTGGACATGCAGACGGGACATGATTTATTGACACGTCAACATACACTTCCGCCATCTTCCGTGCTCTGCGACAGCCGTTGATTCGATTTAATATATTTCCTTATTGCTCAGTACTCAGTACTCAGTCCCAAGACGTCTCATAAACGCAGGGACGATAGAGTTCAGTCATGCTTTATTAGTTGACGGTCTCTGGTACCAGGGGTCTGTGTGCCCAGGCTGGACTTTGCGGGAGTACCGCTGGTTTGCGACAGTGTCAAGATCTCCGCCGGCCTTGGCTTGTACAAGCAACTGCGACAAAAACGATCTGTGACGTACAATGGCCTGATCGGCGTGTGAGAAAACGCACAGCCTGTAGCCTGTATTCTTCGTCAACAATGTTACGTAAACTACAGGACGTGAAGAGTGGTGATTGTGGCAGGACCGACCACGGGCGATGCACTAGCACAACATCTTGTGCAATGTTGTCTATTTTGTATGTTATTCGAGTAGTCGTGATGGCAGCACCTTATTCATGTGTTCAGAAACCAGGTTGTCTATTTTCGGAGACTATCTCGCATGTGCTGTGTTAATCCTATGCATGAAGTGTAACCATGAGGACGGTGGCCCTGCGGGCACAGCAGAGACTCCCAAAAGGCTTCGCAATCGGGCTCCTCGAAGACGTCATGATTTCGTACGTAATAGTTCCTGTCATCCGCACTTTCCCTAAGCTGCTCTGCACCAGAGTGATGTTGCATTCACGAACAGTCTAGACGTGCTGTGGCAGGTGTATCCGGCGTAAACCTGATTGCGTCGGTGAAGAGCATATCGCCGCGCATACAACTTGATAAGCGATAAACTATGAGGGAGGCGTACAGTGAAAAAATAGGAATGTAGGCTCTGGAGGTGGTCAACGGCTACCCCAAGTTCAGGTTAATGGGGGAACGGAAAGTATTTTCTTCGGCGGCTCGGAGTTTTTTGGCGCCTATGTCACGTGCACTATTTCAACATCTTATTAGCCAGAAATAGCGAATAATACAGACGGGCTCTTCGCAGCACTCGGTCCTTCAATTTCTCATCTTTATGTTCACGTTGTCTTCCAGGTTCGCGACGGCGACACGTATAGTGTCCTGACTTTTTGTGCTGCCGTCTGTTCAAATGCGACGTCGGGCATCTTGCGTTTGCTTTTCGCCGGTGCAGTCTTCCAGTGTGAGAAAAGTGCGCACCATGGGGTTCCCTTGATGCTCGACGGCTTTAATCTTTGCTGTTGCTGTTTACTGCCTCATTCCGTCCGGCGTGGACTATGGCGTCGTTCACGTCCCCTTATTCTCCCATTGTCGTTCCGCCCCAGTCATACTATAGCTTTCTGCGCAAAAACGACATCTTTCCTTCACATTCACGCGCCTTCGTCGACGGTGTCTCTGGTGAACACGTTACTCGCGACACCGCCTGGGCTCAGAGCCTATCGCTGGCTCATGGCTTGAGGGCTGCTGACAGTGCAGGCCTTCTGCCGTTGCACAAGGGTTCAACAGTGCTGATCGTGAGCCCCAACTCCACTTTGTACCCTGTCGTCATGATGGCTCTGGTGAGTACTCGCGGCTACAACGTTCGTGTCGCCCATGCAAGTGCTCATCGTCGGTAGTCTGCAGCTGGAATTTGCGGGGCACATGCGAGCCCCATGTACGTTGTACACGAACTGGCCCATGCGTTCACCATCAGCAATTCGTCACACATCCTTGTTCATCCTGCCGCGCTGCCGGTTGCGGTGGCCGCTATGACGAGCATGGGATTCTCGCGTGCAGACATTGAGAAGAGAATCCTCCTGCTGGCCAGACGGCAGGACCTGTCTGCCTTCACCATTCCACAAGGGGCTTGGGTCACTTTGGACGACCTGCTGGCCGCGCTTCCGGACACGTCCAGCTCAAGTATTCCAGAAGATTTCAACGGCAGCGATGCGCACCAGACCGCAGTTATTTTTTTCAGCTCCGGTGCGTCAGATCGCCGCTTGTACAATTCGTTGAAACGGGACAAACCTTTTAAATAGGAACCACCGGTCGGAGTAAGGCTGTAGCCTTAACTCACTACAATGTCACTGGGATGTTAACCCAAATTGACAAGGCGTGGCCACACTACCAACCCGAACATGACGTCGTCCTTGGCGTAGTCCCCTTCTTCCACGTACTCGGCGGCGTCATTGTCCTACTTTTCTCCTTCCTCAAGGGAATCCCCGTCGTGTCCCTGCCTCGCTACGACCCGACACTGTTTCTCGCAACCATCGACAAGTTCCAGGTGACGGTCAGTGTGCCTTCTCTGCCAGGTTGAGGACCATATTGACGTGGTAGCAGACCGGTCTCATGGTGCCGCCCATCGTCAACTTTCTCGCCAAGCACCCGCTCGTCGACGATTTCCGTCTGGCGTCGCTGCGGTACGTTATCGTCGGCGCGGCGCCGATCTCGCCTGCGACGATCGAGCTGTGTACGGAGCGCTTTGCGCGGCGTGGCGTCGCGCTGAAGGTCAGCCAGGCGTACGGGATGAGCGAGACCAGTATGTCCCCCGTAGTGCCGATTCGCGATACCTGCGCTAACGGTGCTCGATTGCGACCAGGCGGGTGTGTTTCCCTCGTTCCTTTGGAGCACCTCAAGGACGGCCATGGGTCGGTAGGCCTCATGATGTCGAACCTTGAGGGGCGGATAGTGGACAAGAGCGGGAGGGACGTGGCAGTCGGTACTCCGGGCGAGCTGTGGCTCAGAGGTCCGAATATCATGAAGTGCGTGCTTTGGTTCTTGCTGGTCATGACTTGTGCTGAAGACTTGTCAGGGGCTATGTGAACAATCCGGAAGCCACGGCCGAGACACTGACGCAGGATGGATGGTTGAAGACGGGAGACGTTGCTGTGCGGGATAGCCATGGATTCTTGGCTATTGTGGATCGGTGGAAGGAGTTGATCAAGTACAAAGGCTTCCAAGGCAAGTGTGCCCCTTTTATCATTGGAATCCCAAATGCTAAAAGCGAAATATCAGTGCCCCCCGCAGAGCTTGAGAGTGCATTGACAGCTCATCCGCTCATTGCGGATGCTGGAGTCATTGGGGTTTACTCCGAGGCTGAAAGCACGGAGCTCCCAAGGTGAGATGCCATGGAAAGTTATGCTATACCCCCTCACGGCTTCTTCATTTCTCTATCCGTATATTTAGAGCATTCATTGTGCCAAAAGACGTGGCACTCATGCATGGCCCTGACGTGGAGAAGTTCAAGAACAACGTTCACGAGTGGCTTGCAAAGCGCATTGCGCCCTACAAGCTCTTGCGAGGAGGTCAATAGTTTTCCTGAATATCTCATTGTTTTTTTTTCTAAACAGGACACTTCAGGTATCGAGCTGGTAGAAGCAATTCCACGTAACCCTTCTGGGAAAATTCTCCGGAAGGACTTGCGCGGATTATCGAAGGGAGGGGCGAAGCTTTAACTAGCTGCCTACCATCACAGCCTGTAGGTGCACTCAGGGCGGGCCGGGTGGCATAGTATGGACGAATGATTTGCATGTATATGGTGGATTCCATCAGATTTCTATACATCCCCTGCTTCACGATACTAATACTTATGGCTCAGGCCTGATTTCCCGTCATATTTCGGTTCTTCAGTATTTTCAATGGGAATTGCACTCTCCGTGGGCAGGTAAGCACCTGTCGAATATATGTTGCTGGGCATGTCGTAATACACAACTGTCTGCCTTACAAGTAGCGAGAAATGTGCAGAAATTGCTGAGTGCTTTGAAGAAGAAATAAAGGAAGTTCGTCAATAATGCGAGATTTATTACATAGCGCCCAGCTGGTCACGGTGGCGCATTACCGGACTTTGACTCAGCCTGGGGGGGGGGGGGGGGGGGGAGTTTATCCGGGTGACGGACCTAGCCTATGTAGACAGTATTTGGAGGTCCTATGTCTTTCCAAAAAACGTCAGATAGGTCTGAACGGACCTGACAGGGCCCCCAACATCAGCTGGTCGTGATAGCATGCGTAAGAATCGCGCAATTGAGTCAGGATTGATGTGGCTTTAATAACAAACTATCCTTTGTACAGCTCTAGTCCAACATCAACTTCGTTCGTTCGTAAGTCAAGTCATACTCTGTCAAAACAAAGTTAGAGAAGTAAAATAGTATAAAAGGGACAACACACATCAGATGGTCATGGCTTGAACGTTGTCGGGGCACTGAGGCGCGAGCAAACAACCGACGTAGGCTTCTATTCCAATCGGCCGATAAATCCACATCTCGCCCTCCTGGAACATGTTGAGGTCGTAGTGCATACGCGAAGGCGGGCTACCGACGCTCTGCTCAATGACCTCGAGCGTTCCGAGCTCGGAGGGCAGGACAACGGCACCGTCACGCACAGACTTACTCGGCACGGCATCCTTGACGATAACGGCTGTATGGTCGGGATCCCCCAGCATCGCATGGCCGCCGTTGGGCATGCCGACACGCGCGGAGCGCCACTCGACGATGTCGCCACGGCGGACGCGGTCGTCGCCGCCGCGCCAGCGGCCGTCCAGACGTGCGCCATTCTGCGCGGCCATGCCGCAGAAGATGAGGTGGCCGTGCGTCCGCGAGAGGCTCGGCACGGGCTTCGGCACATAATCGAACTGGTCAAAGTACTTGAGCGCCTCGTTCGCGAGGTCCCAGCACTCGCCGCGCGCGCAGTACTGCCCCGTGCCGTCGAAGCCTTCTGCGAACGCCGCGATCGTCTCGCCGTACATCTCGTGTGCCTCGAGCAGCGCAGCCTTGTCCTTCGCATCCGGGCGCGGCAGGTACTTGGCCGAGCGCTCGACCATGCTCATGTCGTTCGGATCTGCGCCAGGATTAGCGGCGTCAAATTGGACGGAGTACCAGCATATGCTGAGGTCAGCAAAGAGGATACCGCCAAAGATGTTCTTCAAGTGGCCGCGAGTCTCCCAGGATGTTGAATATGTAGGAGGACGATGGTCTTTCAGCAGCGGGGGGAGTTCGGGGGTGATGTACCAAGATGAGTCCCAGTAGGTAGAGGTAGAGAAGTAGAGGGCAAGATCGAGGGCAGAGGAGCCATGTGTGGTAGGGGGAGGATATGACATTTCAAGCGTGCCTAACAATGTGCATAGCACCGCCTTTTAGTGCAATACACTTAGCGCCGAAAGACTTGGCTACTCACCTTGGCCGGGAAGGGTGGCCTGTGGTGGCCTGGACCACGTGGGAATGGTAGGCTGCGTCAAAGGTAAGTAAGGGGCGAGGCGATGATTAACCACGTACTCACAGGCGTTGGCGGAGTTCCAGGAGTATTGGTGATCCGTTTAGTTGGCTCGCTCTTTCTAGGTTGAATATCGATCTCAAGCTTCCTGCCAAAGAACTCGTCGAGCCAATCAAAGAAAATGCGCTTGTCCTCCCTAGAGAGGTTCTTCCAGTCAACCTTCTTTCTCCCATCCTGCGTAGCATTGCTATCAGCACGTTTATATAACGAAGGGCGCTCGTTTAAGGCCGGAGATGGTGTGCGATTGGGCCGAGTACCCCCGCGGACAAGAGGTGGGCTGCGTTGAGGAGGCGCAGGCATGGCGGTGTCTCTGCTGTTATTACGTGAGTGACTGGCAGCTGGTGGAGGAGGTGGGGGTCTCTTCTGGTTGGCATCCCAGTTGTAATTCTTGCTAGGCGCGCTAGAATACCTGTCGCGAGTATCGTGCATCTTATTGACAGATGCATCCTTGGCCTTCGCCGCCCGTTCGCGCAACTCTGTTGGTCGCGTCAAAAGAGTCAGGCGTCGTTGTATGTCGGCCCTCACCTGCGAAAGAGAGCATGGCGAGGAGCTACGCTGGAACTACGCTGGTGAGGATGGAGGTACTGGCCCAAGTTACATATATCCTGGAGATTCCCGTGCAGGCGATGATCCCGATGTACCACGAATGGAAGGCGGACACTTGGGATCCTAACAGGCGCAAATAAGTAGAAAAGGCTATCCGTTCCCTGGCGGCTATCTTATCAGATTGTTTCTTCCGCACCATGATCGCGACCTCTGAGCTCGAGTCTGCCGTTCGCTCGGCCATTCCAGTCCAGCACCTCGAGATTATAGATCAGTCGAGTGGCTGCGGAGAGAACTACGCCATCCTTGTTGTGAGCGAGGTAGGCATCCACAGGCTTGTGTACCAGAGGTGGGAGAACGCTGACCGTCATCTTGCCTGCAGGCGTTTGAGGGCAAGACAACCTTGGCGAGGCACAGATACAGTAACTGGCTAGATCGCTTTGTCTCAGTTGAAGTGCCTGCTAATTGGTTATTTAGTCAACGAGTTACTCAAAGATCAAATTGCCCGCATGCACGCCTTCAGCCAGGTGTGGGCTAACGTATTCCGCTTAATAACCAGCGCTGACTGGTCGAGCAGAAGTCCCTCACCCCCAAGCAATACCAAGATTACCTTGCGAAAAATGCGGCAAACTGATAAGCTTGAAGTATCAGCGTGCCAGTGCGCCGGGTGGGATCGTAGCGTGGGTAGAGCGGGGACAGGTTCCTCGGGCAGTGGTTCGGGTACACACTAAACACGCGGTATCCTGCTTGGTATCCAGAATCGATGTAGCCCGAAGTTCGTCACAGAAAGATACACTACAGTACTTTTCGGCGTCCTCGCATAGCGCTCGTAAGTGTAAGAGAATGAGCTCATGCAAAATGAATTCCGGCGTCGTGGAATGCCGACAACAGTCTAAAGTGGGAGAGTGGTCAGACCGACTTGGCGGGATAAGAAGTAACAATACACACTTCAGCAACTCGTCAACACCCATCTTCGCAGCACGCTGTTCCGTAAAGCCTGACTCGTCGAGAACTCCTTCCACCTTTTTCTTAATGTCGAAGTCATCTTCAATCGTCTGACGCAAATTCAGCCTCGACTTTGAAAAAGTATACGAAGGCCGTACCACATTATTCGTTGAAGCCCATGTTCGCCAGTTGCTCTCTAGCATCTCTATCACGCCCTTCGCCATGAAATTTGCGTGTATGATTTTATTCCGTCGGCTGAAGATGATGCGGCCAAGACCGTCAAACTCTTCGAATGCAACTGGTGGAGGTGGGTCAAGCGGCACGAGCCGAATAACACTGCTCTCGACTTTTGGCGGGGGACGGAAGTTGTTCTTGCCGACGTGCATGACGAGGTCGACCTTCGAATACAGCTGCACGTTTGCAGATAGACGGGACCATGGTTCGGTACCCGGTCTCGCGACTAGTCGCATAGCAAATTCGCGCTGAAACATGAGAATGGCGATGCGGAAGAGAGGACGATGCGACAGGAGGCGGAAGATCAAGGGAGACGAGATTTGGTACGGGGTATTAGATATGCAGACGTCGAAGTATGGCAAGGTTGCTTTCACGAAATCACCAATCATAATCTCGAGCTTCTTCTGTTCAGGCCTGGCGCAGTAAGTGATAAGCTGTGTAGCATGGCGGAAGGTCATTTGCTCACTTTCCCTGCACACGCTTTGTCAACTCGGCCGCCATGCGAGGATCCATCTCCACTGCCGTCACATGCTTCGCCTTCTCCAATATCCGCACTGTCAGGTTTCCAGTACCTGGACCAACTTCGAGAACTTTGTCCGTTGGGCGCAAGTTCGCCTGCGCGGGCAAAATTAATGTCCATTTACGCATTCTCGAGCATCATGGAGCACACCTTTTCGACGATACTGATGGATCAATGAGCGAAGAGTTCAGACGGGGGCAGATCGACATACGTGTCGGCGGTTTGAGGGTTTTTCAAGATGTGCTGACCGAACCGTTCGGTGTTGAAAATGGGATTCCGTGCAGTAGAGGACTCTCCGGAATCATTAGACTGCTTCGGCTTGCTTGAGGGTTGGTGAGCCCGGCTGAACCGATCTGTGGTTGCTCGCGGCATGCTGAGAGATATACTGAGAAATTTCAAGCGTCGAGAGAGCTATAGGCCGCGGCCAATCGAACGAAGCCAAGATACTTCAGACGCAGCCCTGACCCCGTGGGAAAAAGAGAATGCTCAAAGTATTTTCGGATCAATTTTCAAGGTTTAATCTCCGACTGGCATTCCCCGAGATTAGATTACTCTTGTCTTTCGCCGGGAGCTGTGGTTTGTCCTGTTCTCGCTGGCGAGTGCGTTAACGACAACGACGGAGGCAATATGAGCGGTCACGGAGAGCACAACACTGAAGCCTTCAGGCAGTGGTTGCATGAACGCAGAGGTTACATCCATCCAGACGTCTACTTAAAGCCTGGTATGTGCCTGCACTGTCTGACCGTCGTCCTGGGCGGCGCAATGACACTAATAACTAATTCTTAGCGTCTCAACTAATAATTTAGTTTCTTTTGGCCTGAATGTTGTTGCAATGAGCAACATTCCCGCGGATGTTCAGATCGTGTCTTGCCCGTTTAGCCTCGCAATAACGCCGGAGGTCGCACGAAGGGCTCTTGCGGTAGTCTTCAGGGTCGACAGATCTTCTCCAACGCTCGCGGGCTGGTCGGAGAGGCAGCTGGTATGCTCGTATATTGTTATGCATCATATTCTGGATGGTCAGAGGTGCGTCCTGGACTGCCTGCTTGCCCAAGCCCCCCTCATTTTTTCTAGTGCACCATGCGAGCTGGCGCATAGACCATACATAAACATTCTACCATCAACAGACAAGCTCAGAACATCGCTACACTTTACACGTGAAGAACTCGAATTCTTTCGAGGCACGAACCTGTATGGCGCCACCTTTGACCGTCGAAAAGCCTGGGAGGAAGAATGGGAAATGTGCCGCTCGCGCATCGCTATCTCCAACTCGTATCTCGCCCATCGATTCACCTGGGAACACTATTTGACTGCATCGACCTACCTATCCTCGCGCGCGTTCCCCTCCACACTCCTGTCCGATAACCCGACCCTGGTGTCTACCCCAGGGTCATATCCCGTCCTTCTTCCCGGAGTCGACTCGCTCAATCATGCTCGCGCGCAGCCAGTGTCATGGGTAGTGAGCAATCCGCAGCCGTCAGCTCCGTTATCAGACTCGGAGCCGAGCATCTCCCTGGCGCTCCATACGCTTACTCCAGCAGGCGCCGAGCTCCTCAATAACTACGGGCCAAAACCAAACGCCGAGCTTATTCTCGGCTACGGCTTCACGCTCCCGAACAACCCCGATGACACGATTGTACTCAAAATTGGCGGCGTGAAGTACGTGAACCCGACATGGGAAGTCGGGCGCGACGCGCGGGGCGCCGGACCCGTCTGGGATGCCGTCAAGGACGCCGTGCTCGCGCAGAACCGGCACGACGTCGACGAAGAAGAGCGTGCAACGTACTCTGCCGAGGATGAGCTCTGGGCGACCGAGGTCCTTGTCGAGATGGCGGAGGACCTCCTTGGACGTCTGCCGCCAAACTCGTCTGTGGCGATCAGCGACGACGAACAGTCTGCGATACGTCCCGAGGTAGCGCAGATGCTGGACCATTATATCGAAGGTGCGTGCGTGCTCGTCAGACAAGCCGACTGATACCAATTCTTCCCGCAGGCCAGCGTGATATCCTGCACTCGCTCATGGAGTTTGCGAAGGCGAAGGAGCAAGCCATCATAGAACGCGCGCGGGAAGAGGGTATCGAAATTGTTGAGGAACTGGTGACATAGATATGTTGCGTACTCCTTATGGACACCATGTGCTTCTTGTTGCTTGGCTTACTCGTATTTCAATCATCACCTAGCGATACCCTTTGCCTTACGTTCTCTCACACTATTCGATCCTGCTCATGGCATTTTCCGTACACTACTTGACGGCTTGTTATGGTCTTGCAAAATCCGCAAGATTTACGCCGACCGGAAGCCGCTATAGCACGAGCTGTCGGGATATGTCCTCGCGATTTAGAACCCGCCTTGCATAACCGCTGGTACAACATCCGGGATGTGTACGTTAGCAAGACGACTACATAGCCGGGAGCCAACCTTATGCTGTGCTGCGCCCACATTGTCCCTAGCACCCCTGACATAAGCATTGTGGCTCTCAGACATGTTCCTTATCCGTCCTGGTCCGTGGGGCTGACAACCTTCTCCGGGAGCACGAAACTGCGACCATTTGCAATGTCAATGTTTGCAGACGCGCCGATACGTCGCTTCGGTTGGGACAAACTGGTCGCTTGGCTAGCTGGGTATGTCTCACCGTCCTCGTCGGACTCTCGTATGTGACGCTGACGTGGATACACTCCAGGTGCTTCGCCCGCTCTCAATGATGGGCGATGTAGACCTCTCAGCTTAGGGTATAAAGCGTTGGGCAACAATATCTCTCCTGAATCTCCCTTATCTGAGAACAGCATGGCTTTGCAACTTCCTGCCATCGCAGTAGTACTGCTAACTGTATGCTGGTTTGCAACTAAACTATATTGCATACTGACACACAATAGCATCAAGCACTTGCGAGGACCCAAGAACACCTCAATCCTGCTCGTTACGTCCCGTAAATCGTTAGCTGTGCATGTTTTGCATGTGCTGACACAATGTTCTTAGGTAACGCCATGAGTATCTTTCACCAAGAGAGCCTGGGAGATCTCAATTTCAAGTGACTGCGAGAATACGGCGGAGTATGGCGCCTTCAAGCACTTCTTGGGGTGCGTGCTCAATATATTATTTCTGTCCTTTGTGTTGACTTCCGGCTCTGTTACTTGTCAGGTAAATGTACTTGTGCTGGCAGATCCTAAGGTACGCATAGTAATCAGGTTTCTATATAGTTAAACAGAGCCTGACGTGATGGCAACTCCAGGCGATCCATCATGTCATTCAGCAATCGGCATATGACCACCCAAAGACTCTCCAGCTACGCGTTACAATGTTCAACCTCACCGGTCGCAGCATCCTGTGGGCACCGAGTGGGTATTCTGCTTTCGTCGTCGTAAGACCGTCCTGACGCACTAGCCGCAGCCGGCGAGATTCACTCTCTGCATAGGAAGGTCATTCTCTTTGCTTCGGATGCGTGCTTTCTTCCCACTATTCCAGCGCACTGCAAACAAGGTCAGATGTCATTCACAACCAGCAAACGATGTACTCAGTCGGAAGCGGCCAGCTATCCCAATTATGGAAAGAGCAGGTTCTCGCTGGTCGTCTGGGTGGAACCACCGTGCAGGTGCATGGCAGGCTGGCGAGGACTACACTCGATATCATTGGCGAAGGTACGCAGGTATTCTCATTACTACAAAGCGCTTATCCGAGCTCGTCCTGTCTCTACAACTGCAGCCGCCTTCGGCTTTGACTTCGGCGCTCTGGACAACACGGAGAACGAAGTTAGCAAAGCGTATCACAAGATGTTGTAGGTGGCGTTGATACTACAGATCCTCGTCTTGCCGCTCATATGCGCCTCAGCGCCGATTCGCAGCTTTATCCCAGCGTGTGGAGCATGGTCTTCCAAGCAATGTGGTCCCTCATTCCAGAACCTCTCCTATTCTACATTCGTTACCTGCCGACTCGCGAGAATGCTCGATACCGGTATACGCTCAAAGTTATGGACAAGCTCTCCGGTAAGCTTATCAAGGAGAGAAGCCGAGAGGTAGCGGCAGGCAACCCGGATGTATCGCGCAAGGACGTGCTAAGTTTACTGGGTGCGCCTCTTGCCATCTTATAATATGCCTATTCGTATCCATGCGAGTAGTTCGCGCAAATATGTCTGAGAGTCTGAAGATGAGGCTCAGTGACGAAGAGACGCGGTCGCAGATTGGCACTATGACCCTTTCTGGACACGAAACGACTACGAACACTCTGACATGGATGCTTTGGGGGCTTTCGAAGCGCGTCGACATCCAGGACGGACTACGTGGAGAGATCGCAGAGAAGCGTAGAGAGATATCTGCCAGCGGGGCGTGTGACTCTACTCTCGAAGACTTGGAGTCCATGCCGCTCTTACAGGCAGTTATTAAGGTGAGCTTCCCGTCTGATTTTTGAATGCTATCTCCCTAGCGCCTCACCTCTCCAAGGAAACACTCCGATTCCATCCCATTGGATCAAATATTTGGTGCGTCGCTTCTAAGGACGACGTCATACCCCTGGAGAAACCCATCTTGACGAGGACAGGAGAGACGATCTCAGAGATCCCTATCGCTGCTGGACAAGTTGTAGTGACATCTTTCTGCAGCTACAACAGGTAATTTGCGACTTTGGCATGTCAGTTCGATACTCTGACGGCGCTTTCTCACTTCAGAATCGCGGACGTCTGGGGAGAAGACGCGCACGAATGGAACCCCATGCGTTTCGTCGAGCGAGATACTCAGAAGCAGACCAAGGTTGGCATGTTCGCCAATCTGTGAGCGCGGTTTCTGTGAGTAAGCAGTGAAATAGTACTGATTTCAGCCGTGTACAGCATGTCTTTCTGTGCGTACCTCTGTTCGTCTTGCGTTAGAGATGGCACTGACATGTTTCGGCGTGAAGCTGCCGGGGTCGGGAGCTGCATTGGATTCGTATGATCTTAACCTCTTTGGATTTGTACTCACGCGTCTATGTAACCGTACTAGTTGGAGGTTCGCGTGAGTGTCCCTTCTAGCTTTTGCGAGTCTCGTTCGCTTACACAAACTGCAGAGTTATCGAGATGCAAACCCTCATCGTCGAGCTCGTCGAGAACTTCAAGTTCTCTATCCCAGATGACAATGCCGATATTATTCGCACCCCTACACTTACTATGGGACCAATGATCAAGGGTAGAATCCACGAAGGCTTCCAGATGCTGCTGCATGTGGTACCTGTTTAATACTCTTAGAGGACCTGCACCGTCAACTTAGATACTATCCCTGAATATACGTGCTGCTCTTCAAATCTCAGACATGTGCCGTTACTCTCGGCGCTGGGCCGAAGTGTTGCGTTTAGTCGTTCAATCCGGTCAGGACGTAACGTTCAACGACTTCACGAGTTCTGGGCAAAAACGTGCGATAATACAGATGATTGGACGCAATGATACATAGCTTTAGTCGTACACTCGATGTTCGGGCCTCGCCGCCGCGTACAGACGCGCAGTCGCACTCAATGATAACCATTGGTGCATATCCATGTTTCGGTTAATTGTCCAGCCAGTTAGGAGCCAACCCGAGATCATAAATCCTATTTGCGTTGTCGAACAGCGCACCCTTCACGATGCCTATAGCCTGTGATTCGGTCAAGTCCTGCTTCGCGACAGACTCGGCGAGGACCTAACGGTGCATAGGGTTAGCATGTCTACGGCTACGATTAAATTACAAGATAGTACCTTCCAGAGGGCCTCTCGAGCCTGTCTAGTCCCCAGATAGTACGATTCCGGCCACCAGTGGCCATCCGCTGACATACCCATTAGCCGTCATATACCCGAGTTTCGGCCCGCGACTCACTGGACCACATGATCTTGTTCGTCGGGGCAAGTTCAAGTACTTGCTTCACGACGGCACACTGTCCGTCGGCGCTCAGAAAGGGGAACACTTCGCCGAAGTCGAGGAAAACATTAGGATATACGGCAGTCAGGTAGCCGGCATCTCTCGTGTAGGGGTAGCTCGAATGCAGCAGAACGAACTTAGTTTCAGGATAAGACTTGATGATAGACTGCATTTGTGCAGGTGAAGATAGCGCCAAGGTAATGTCACTGTCTCCGAGGCCGGTATGGAATTGCACTGCATGGAGAAATATGAGTGAAACGGGTGCGGGTGGACAGGAATCGGGGCGATCACTGAACTGACCAGGTTTACCACACTCGCCCGCTACGCGCAACGTTATGTTGACGATGTAGTCGTTAAGAGGCTTGTCAACGAGGCGGAGTGTTCGCTGTGCCTCGTAGCGTAGCATGACCATCGTGACGCAGTGTTCGACAGCTTGTCCTTCTTGCACGATGCCAATGTTCAGTCCAGTCCGGTAGCATGCAACCGACTTGAAGCCAGCAACTTCAGGATCGTTGGCAAACTGTTTGACTGCTTCATAGAATTGCTCGATAAAACCGATATAGGCTCGATATGGGTTCATCTCTTCACGATTCAGTTGCGAGTCGAAGATCTCTTTCAAAAGCGTCTGCAGCGCACCGTCCGTGAGCTGTGATACAAACATGTTCTTGTGAAAAATGTACCTCCGCCAGCGCCTCGACCCGCACAATCCTCTTCGTAGGACTCCTGGTGAACCTGTCGTGCCACTTGTAGTCCTCCGCGTACTGGCTGGAGCCACCGAGTCCGTCATCGATCAAGATGCATTGGATCCCTGTTGCCTCCATAAAGACTCTGCAGAGTCTGTCGTAGTCCAAAGCGTCCCGAACCTGCTTAACCTTCTCCCATGTCAGCTCACCCTTCAGCCCGAGAATTTGGCCCAGCTGCGCAGTCGCACGGAAGCAAGCAAGGGTGTGGATAGCATCTTGCGTCAGGGCTTGGCCAGTCGCTTCAGATACCAAGCCTTCAAACTCGAGGTGAGAGCGGTGTTCAGCCTTCAGGAGGGGATGTGCATGGTTATCAATCGCGGGATAACTCAAAGCTACTCGGGCGAGCTCTGCCGTGCCGTAGGTGTTCATCCTCGTTGTACTCAATCTGAAAATCCATCAGCATTTAGGTCCTGTACACTACATATTTCTTGTTTTACACACCCCTACCGGAAGCTGGGAGAAAGAGACTACGTCGCACGGAGATGAGACAGATGGCATGGCGGTTTGCGGTCACGTCGTACTCGTCCAAGCCAAGCGCCTAAGATAGACACGGTATATTAAGCGCTGGATAAAAATCGTTGCAAAAATTCGTAAAATGTTCTCTTAACGACCGGAAGGATGGAAGTTACATTCGATAAAAAGAAACGGGGGATAATGTGCGAGAACTTGACGTATGTAATTATCAATGTCCATTGCCGATGGTCCCGTTCTGCACTTGGCCTAGAGAGCAGTGACATGGAGCGGCATTTGTATGCCTTCACGCATCTTCCCCTTTACCATTGGTGCCATGATACCTGCTGGCACACGAATAATCTCGGGCTTCTCCTTAGGGATGCTGAATTGGAAGTTTTCGACAAGGTCAGCGGTAATGGCCTGCATTTCGATCATACTGCGAGAAGGTTCTCAGCCTCGGCGCGAATACAACAAAGCGAAAGCTTACGAGAACCGCCATCTAGAGAGTATGATGAGTACAAGATAGATGTGGTCCGAATACCAAGACTCACCCAATGCATCCACGGACGCCGGCGGCTGGTTAAGGCACGGTCAGCGCTCCTTCGAGCACAAGCATTCTTATTTAAGCACTCACAGAATGACATCCTAGGATAGCGCCGCATCAGTATACACATGGTCGCAAGCAGTAGCCAGAGGCATAGATGGACTTACAAATTGCCAAACATGCCAAGGCGAACCTGTGTGTTTGGGTGGCCGTCGATAAACCTCATCGGATTCCACTCGTGAGCATCGTCGCCCCACAATTGGGGTAGGCTATCGAGTGGGTCAGCATTCGGCTCATCATCTGCGACACGGTACGCACCGATTGTAGACGGCGATATTGGGCATAATGACCTGACCGGCGGCGACAGGAATCTCCGAGACCATCTCGCCCTTCTTAGTCATGATGGGGTACGCCAATGGAATGACGTCGTCTTTGCTCGCCTGCCGAGATAGGTGGTAAACAATCGGGTGGTAGCGCAGGGTTTCCTGCAGGAGACAAAGTATTCAGCGGTAGATCGCAGCGGATGGGCGACCGCTGACCTTGAGAGCTGCCTGCAGATATTCCATAGACTCGAGGTCGTCCATGGTGAAGTCCACGTCGCCTCGGGCATTGATCTCCGCCCTCTTCAAGGCGATCTCGTCGCGTAGCTTCTGCTGATACTCCGGGTGCTTGGCCAGCTCCCAAAGCAGCCAGGTGATAGTGTTCGCCGTCGTCTCGTGTCCGGCGAGGGTCAGCGCGGCCATCTGCGACACCATCTCTTCTTCCGACAGCTTGGACTTCGGATTCTCTGAGGCGTTAGCGCGCACTAGTTTCTGGTTCAGCGCGGCGACGGGCATCATCAATATCAAGCTTACCGAGGATGCTCATCACATCTTTGTTGGATTTATCGCCGTCAAGCAGGTCCTCGGATTTTTGATCGATTAGCTCCTTCGACACCCCGTTGATAATTTGCAAGGTGTGCTTGAAACGGACGTATTCGCGGGTCGGGACGTGGCGCACGTAGTAGAGCATCCAGTCAGGCGTGAAGTTCCAGAGTGTCTGGAAGATTGCGTTCCAGGCAGACGGGTACATAACTGAATCGGAGCTGCAAGTAGAGGATCTAGTAAGATTAAGCGGATGTCAGAGTCTCAGCACCTACAACATATTACTATAGGCTTTGCTAACTTCGTTCTCGGAGTTGTCCAAAGCGCCAAACTGGAATTCAAAAGCCGCTGAGAAAGTGGTCAGCTTCGAAAGCCTGGTCTGTGACGAGCATCATCACCTTCTCCGATTACATCCAAGGTTGTACGAGCAAGCCATTTATTCACGGTAATAGTGACACCTCCTGGGGTGTGGTCTAGGACCTCGTCTTTCCATTTCTGACATAACTGCAGAAAACGTGAGGCTCGGTGAGTAAATAATGCAGGAACTGGGATTAACCCTGTTGGACCCTCTACGAAACAGCGGCAGGAAGGACCGCAATTGAGGGGCGGTGAACGCAGGGTTCATAACTTTCCGGTGTCTGGAGTGAACTTCGCCATCTAGAAAGAAACTGTTATGCACATTTCGCGCATTTTGAGTCCACAAGCGAACGAACTTGGTGCCCACAGTATACTCCGGCCAGCTACGTTGAATGATCCGATGCGAGTTAAGACGCTCTTCGGGAAGTTGTACCCAGACTTGTGTAATATGTATTGCAGCGCTTTAGGATCACAGATCATTAGATAATTGAGCTATAATGAGTTTTCAGTAACAAAAAAGCTGGAAAATGCAAACACCACTGTACCCCAAGAGGCGACTTCAGCCTCCAGGCCGTTCCATACTCGTCCAAGAGCTTGAAGTCAAGATCGCCGACATTCTCCTGATACATGAATTCGCGAACATTGCCTAAGCCGCGTAAGTGGATGTCTTGGCGAAAGCAGTTCTATCAACTCACCCAGTAGACGAGACTTGGTATTTGGGCCTCGGATATACTCGATAGAATGGTGCGTGAGCCAGCGGTAATAGCGCACTAGCGAGGAAAGTGCAAGGACGGCACCAGCGAGTATGATCAAGGAGAACATTGCAAGCAGCCTGACAAGATTGAAACCGGTAGACGTGGGGGCAACTAGCCAGCAACGAGAACAGGGGATTATCTATAGGTGAATGATAGGCCCGGGATACGTTGCTCCCGGATCTTTCCCAGCTACCTAGACATGAGGGTATTACGGAAAAATATCATGAGCCATAGAAAAGAACGGTAGCGGACCGAAGCGTTGAGCACCACCGGGGTGGGATTTTGTCTGACGTATGCATAATTGGGCAATGAGAATTCGGCGAGTAACCTGAATGAAATTGAACACGTGAGTTGCAATGCCCAAGTATGGGTTGTCTCAAGGCGACCGAATACTCACGCTAGCTTCTTGGTCCCCGATAATGTCCATATGAGGGCATATATTCGCGTTCTGAAGTCGCAAATGCGGATGTAGGCGTGTACTCGCCTCATGCGCCGCAGTGCGTACTGTACTAGCGTGGGAAGAATCCCTACATCAGTAGTCAAACTCGTTGACGTTGCAGTACCGAGGAAGTAGATCCTCGCCGAGTGTGCGAATACATGGAAGCTGTGACGAAGTGTAAACCCGTGATTGAAACGCCTTCTCGTGCCTGCATGCACTCTCGCACCTAGAGAAAAGTGATGGATTGACCAAAAGAAGCTCTTCACTGTGACTGTATACGAGAAAAGGTTGCTGTCAGACAGTGCTTCATAGGTAGACAGTCTGTTCAATTTATCGGCCAGATTACACCGTCCTACGCTAGCATTATGTCGGAGTCAAATGAGACCTGTGTGTGCAGCAGCTGTACGTTTTATCAAGAGACTGTGATAATAACCCGAATAATTTTAACACTTCTTATCTGATCATCGAGGGCACAGTAGAGTTCAACATCGATAACACAACATTATGGCACCCAGCTTCGAAGTAATCGTCAGAGTTCGGCTCGAGTCCCGGCGGTGAGCGCATTAGTGTTGTCTAATTAAAAGGCTAGCTCAAAGTGCTCGCAATATTGCATCCTTGGTAGGAGAAAAGTGTAGTGTAGGAGTGAAGGATGCGATGGCGACAAGGTCGCCGCGGTGGACGTAAGCGTGTTGGGGTTCGGCTAGCTCAGGCTCGCTTTGATTGGACGCTCGGCAATGACCGCGCCACGAAGAACCCGAGCGCGGGTAGGTTTTTCCCAGGCGAGCGCGAGAGCGGCACTCTTAGCTTTATTCCTCTTCCGGAACTCGTCGACATATAGATAGCTGAGATTACAGCAGCGTTCGTGGAGGACCGTTGTCGACGTCATAGATAACGTAGCGCATGCGCTGCACTAGGTTCTACTGTACTTTGTCGACCCGACCGGCGGTCGCGCGTCACACCGGTTTCCGTTGATCCCTCCGATAATTTTCTCTCGATTTATGGAGATTCTGGAGAATTGTCGGGAAAATCAACTTCGGCGCTACCCGCTGGTCGAAAAAGTATCACATACTAGGTCAGAGGTCGAAGAGGCAGAGATGCAGGCACAGCAGTGTCGGTGAAGATTAGAAACAGTTCTTTGTAACTTAATGTGATTGCAAATCTGCCTGACAGCATGAGTGGTCATAGGGAGCATTATCGACAGCATAGCCCTTCCGTCTTACTAATAGCAGCTCGTATGGGAACATGTAGGTTTCAGCAACGTCGACCATTCGCGATGACGTGAACGGTATAAATATGAGAATCTCATATCGTGCAACGCCAGTCTAAGGTCTTCGCAGCTTGCCATGCCTCTACGCTCATAAACGCGCGCAGCTCTCCAGCGTCGTTTCAGATAATAGGGCAGCCAGGGCCCGCTCTGGCTGATCCCAATGAAGCTGACGAAAGATTTCCCCATCGGCATGGAACACGAAAAATAAAGTTTGTGCACTCACGAAGTGGTTTGCACCAGTCAGCCTCATGATGGAGATCTTTCGCATGGGCGTCCCTGATGCCTTTGCTTCCTCAATCTCAGCAAGCAGAGCCCACGTCCCCCACGGCATCTCCCAAACGGATTGGTCGCACCAAATGTGACGAAGCTCGACGTCGTCCCACGGACTTGCGACGGCCTCCTTGCCAGGCTGAGCGCCGGACTGAGCGGAGCGGCGTATGTACAGCGCGGCCTTGCGAATCGTCTCCCACAGGCCGTGGGTCATACCCACGTGCACGAGCGTGTGATCTGAACCTCCGGGAACGGCGGGTGTGTTGTATAGTGCGTCCTCTAGGTCGCTGGGAGACATGGTGAGGATACTCGGGGGCGGGTCCTTGAGAGGAACGCGGAACTCGAGCTCCGAGAGCGAGTTGCCGTGCTGGTAGTAGCCTGAGACCCACTGGGAAAACAGCTGTGCTCCATTTACAGGATCTTGCGTCGCAGGGTTGTAGTAGTTCGGTGGAGGCGTATATCCGAAACAATGGTAAGGTGGATCTGGCCGAAGGACTGAGTAGAGGAGCCAGCCAGGGCGAACAATAAGACTTGCCGTAGGCTACAACGCGCTTAATGTATTTCGTAAGTGGGCGAGCCTCGTCTCTCAGAGGAAACGAGGGCGCGTGCGCGAGCAGGGCGAAAATAAAAACAGAACCAAAGGACCATCCCGAAACAATCATGGAGGCAAGGGGAATGCGCTCCTCGTAGATGAAGGTGTTGAGGAAGTCATACAGCTCTCGAGCGCGATCTTTCATGTAGACATGAACGGAATCCTCGACTTTGAGGTCAGCAGAGCGAGAGACATCGAGAAGTCGATGCTCTTCATCATTGAATGGAGCAGAGCCCGGATAGCCGCGTCTATTGACGAGGACGATTCGCGTGCTGTTACCGCGGAATGGCAGCATACGGGAGAATACACCTGAGCAGACATGGGATAGCATCAGCATAAGCTGCCGATACAAACAGGAGGCAAAATAAACTTGCCGCTGTGCCATGCGAAGCCGTGAATCATCACCAGAGTGGTATAGGCCCCCGAGGTCACAGGCGCTCCTGTATCCCGAATGGCGAAGGGTCCGACAAGCTTAAGGGCGGACATAGCAAAATACAGTATGAGAGCAGAACTGAGGCAAATTTGGTACCTGAAGCCAGCAGAAGACAGGGTGGAAGGCGGACATCCCTCACAACTCGTAGCTTCGAAGGTTATACGGCACCGAAGGTGGGAAATAACTTACCGGGACAGAAAATTCACAGGGTGCCCCTCTCGTGTCGTTGACTATTCGATAGTAAGAATTCCAAAGGAAGCCTGCGAGTCGCTGTCAGTGCTGCTTAAGTTTTCAATGGTGCGTGGGAGGTGAGTTTCCCATGGTTTGATATACAAGTTTCGCCGGAGTCAGGGAGTCAAGGCCTCATTTGTGCGGCGGCGTGAAAAGATACCGTGGACTGTTGTTAGGGCCAGCATTGGGCTGCGAGATATGCGGCTCGCGTTCGACGTCAGCTGACGGCGCATGTGGAGAGGTACCAGTCTCGTTATGAGAAAAATCATCATTCAATGGCTCGGATCCCAAGCGTTCGCAAACAAGGGGTATCCAACGATCAAGATCATCGAAAGCTAGATGCGTGGAATCTCCGATGTAGCGAATATTGAAAGCCAAGAGCCCGCGGTGAGAAAGTGGAAGAGCGTCCCGCTCCCGCCCTGGACGCGCATACGGTCACATGATGCGCCATCAAACACCCGACACGCTTCGGGAAGCGCGCGCGAAGCTCGAATCGAACATCCCATTTCTGGTCTGAGGCGGTTGCCAGCGTGAGCATGCTCTGAGCACCACCAAATCCGACATCGCGCGGGACCATGCCGGGGCCATCTAACGCGAAAAAGAAGCGCAAGGCGCAGGCGAAGAAGAAGAAGGAGAAGGAGAAGGAGAAGCGCGCGAAAGCGGTGGAGGTTCCGAGTGTTGTGGTGGAGGAGACAGCGTCGCGGGCAGAGGAAGAGGAGGCGGAAGGGGCGAGTGTACGGCGGGAGGCGCTGCAGGAGGTGAAGATGGACTACGAGAGGTATCGGCCGCTGCGCTCTCAGCCCCTGCGCTACGCCTCCCGACCGACGAAAGCCAGCGCACACCCGAGCCTGCAAATCGGCGGGCGCGCCCCGCGGCACGGCCCCCGCGACGACACATACCCAGTCGAACCGACCCCGCGCAGCGCCTTCTCGTCCTTCAGCTCGTCCTCGCGCGCCCCAAGTCCAGAACCCGAGTTCCACGCGGACGCACGGGGCCCGCTCCCTGCGGCGCCGTGCGTCGAGGACCGTGGCAACGGCCCGCACGTACACGACATCCACGCGTTCCTGTCGTCCAAGCTCTGCTCGCCGCCCTCTCTCTCAGACGCGCTCTGCGCCGAGTTTGCGCGCGAGGAGGTCCTCCAGATGCTGTGCGGTGTCCTGCCCGCCGAGACGGCGCTCGTGAGTCCAGCTTCTTTGTGCCTCTTATCCTTGGTGTGCTCATCACCTTGCATTTTATGTGCGCCGCAGATCGTATGGCACAACAAGAGCAGACGCACCGCACGCATATGCCCGGCGTGCCGACGGCTCTACCGCATCGGGGAGCTCACCCGCGAGCCGCTGCTCGACGACAGCTCGCCGCCCGCCTCGTGCTCTCCCTCCTCCTCTCCCGCAGACGGCACCACAGCCGAGTCGGAACAGTCTCGGCGGCGGCGGCGCGAGCAGGAGATCAGCGGCATCTGTACGTCCGTTACCCTAACTTGAGACAAAACGTCTGATCACCCGCCACAGGCTCCGCGCTCTGTTTCATGCTCGTCGCGTACCGCTTCCCCGCCGCGATACGCAGCACGTGGGGCCGCATGGCTGAAGAACTGAGCGACGAGACGTGGGACGAGCTCGACGGCCCGCTTCCCGGGGGCGCCGCTGACAGCCTTGGCTTCAGCATGATGCTCAAGATGACGCGGTGCCACGATCTCGGGCTTAGCCAGCTGTTTGGCGTCGAGGAAGATGGTGAAGGGAGTGAGGACATTGGCGAAGAGGACGCTGATGAGTGTCACAGGGCATGAGATGATGGACTCAGTAAGGTCTGTAATGTAGCTTTGGATGGATATGCTTTGGATGATACCCTCTCAATCAATGGCGAAAATTTTCAATGCAGCATCGGAATACATTATGCTAGCCAGCTCCATACAAATACAGGAAATTCATTACTGGTGGGTATCATATACTGTCTTCACCGTCTCACCACCTGCGACCAGTGCCGACGCCGGCCCCAGAAGCAGCATTGCTGGTACCAAGACCGCCAGCATTCTGCGCACCCACAGGCATGCCCGTCTACCAATCGCATACGACCTCAGTAAATATTCGCATGCAAAATGGACATTTCATGAAACTCACCTTCTTCTCTTGGCCTCGCATAACCATTGCGGGGTTCCCGATGAGTTGCCCTGTCAGCTTCTCTGCCTCACCAACGAGTTTCTGACCAGTGGAAGGACGGACGCCTCCTGCGCCTGCTCCCGCACCAGTACCAGCACCCATGCCACCACCCATGCCACCACCGCCCATGCCGCCACCGGTCATGCCGCCACCGGTCATGCCGCCACCGGTCATGCCGCCACCGCCCATGCCGCCACCGCCCATGCCGCCACCGGTCATGCCGCCACCACCCATGCCGCCACCACCCATGCCGCCACCACCCATACCGCCACCGCCGAGGCCGCCGCCCCTGCCGCCACCACCGAGGCCACCGCCCGTACCCAAGCCAGCAGTGCCGGTCGTTGCGCCGGTGGTGCCGGTGCCGTAGCCTGCGTTCGTGCCAGCGCCGCCCGCGCCCCCAGTTGCGCCTGCGATGACGTCTTTAACTGCGCCCATAGGCCCGCGGTGACCTGCACCTGTGGCGCCCGCACCAGTGCCGGTGCCCATGCCAGCTGAACGAGAGGGTGTCAGCCCTGGTGAGAAGATGTGTATGGTGAGGAGGACGTACTGTGTCTGCCGCCGCCGCTGCCGAAGCCAGTGCTTGCTGCGCCAGAAGTGTTCATGATTGTAGAGTTTGTGAAGTGGTATTTAAAAGTCGTGAAGCGTGAAGGGTCGTGTCGAAGTTTTCTGTCGATCCAGGGGGGTACCTCGAAGATTATATACTGTATGGGCACCTCCCGGCTGTGCATTAATATGAGATGATGTAATGGTGCAGACTATGACACGTCTGTTGGAGTAGCTTCATAGAGAGCTCGTTCTGGTAGAGTTGTGCCATAAACCGCGCGCAGTATTTTCACGAGCACCGATGACGAGCAACGTCGGAGGAGGCGCGTGTTCGTGCTCCAAGCGTGGCGCGTCGGGCCGCTCTAGCGTGGGGCGCGCCTTATCACGTGAGCATGACGGAGGCTTAAGCGCTCCGACGCGCTGGACGCTGAGGCTCCGATGACCTCTGAGTATCAAAAACTCAATTTTGCAAGGAGTCACGGGTGACATACCTGTACGACGGCTTCACCTCTCTCCGAAAACGCGTGCAATATGCGAGGTAACACAAAGACCTCAGTATGCAGGACTCGGTAACTATCAATTTTTCTCGCAATCCCGGGATTACTGATGGTCTACCTGCCGTCGATACGAAACGACCCCATATAGCACTCTCGGTGTGTGGTAGTCGTCCGTATATCACGAAGTTGCCGTTTGCACGGAGGAGAAACGGCAGAGCGCACCAACAGGAGATTGTGCTGTGGGAAATGCATCACACGGGGCAATGTTCCGTGTCCAGAAAAGGAAGGTCTCGTTTCTCAAGCATCAGCATGAGACAGTGCCACTGGCCGTAGGGCATATCTCCACTGCACTTGTCCGCAACTGTCGTCTCGCATCGTGCACCGGCACCACGACAATTCGAGCCACCATCGCTGCGGCGGCCACCATGACGGACTTGTATGAGACGGAGAAGGACAGCGGCTCGCCCATCCTACAGATATCATCAGCCGAGAGCATCACGAGCGGCGATGACACCATGCTCACGGCTGCACTCAACGCAGAAGGTGTGCCGCGTGCACGCGAGACCCAACCCACGTACCGACTCTACAAGCGGCGCTTCGTCGGGCTCGTCGGGCTTGTGGGTGCCTGTGTGCGTGTTCCTGGGCGGGGGCTACTCTAACGGCTTCAACTTGACAGGTCCTGCTCAATGCCGTCGCGGGAATGCCGAATCCGTGGTACGGACCTATCTCGAATAACGGTGTGGTGTGCCAGCATTTCGTGCTCTTTGGCCCCAGCTCATCATATCGCGATAGTCTCGAGCGAGTTTGGCTTCACGCTCGACCAGGTCAACTGGCTCGGCAACGCAGTCAACCTTGTCTTTCTCCCGTCGTCTATCCTGGTTCCGTTTGTCTGCAAACGCTTCGGGATCCGTCTTACCGTGCGTGCACCACTCCACATATCTCATACACGGGCTAGTACTTACACCGTGCGACGCAGTGTTACTTTGGAACGCTTCTCTTGCTTGTTTCCGCATGGATACGGTATGCAGGCTCCGTACGTACCCTCGACAAGGAGGGCGCGTACGCACTGATGATGGTCGGCCAAGTAAGTATATTTATCGAATGCAGAAGATTGAGACTACTCTCAAGCTCGCTGTGCTCTCGAGAGCCAAGGCCCGCTGTTCAAGCTGGCATCATTCGGATGCTAGACAGCAGACGCTTGTCAAAGCTCTGACACCGATTCTGTGTCACACGCACAGCGTGCGCTAGACCGCGTAGCACTACCTCATCCGACCATTCTTGCGCTGCACAAACACCGGTTGCTCTGTTCCCACATGCACGATAGCCTCCCATGTTAACAATATTCGATAGCTCATTGCAGGTGTGGCGCAACCTGTATTCCAAGTTCTAGGGCCACTCTACTCCGAAACATGGTTTGACACCAAGTCCCGGACCACGGTCACCATGGTGGCATCCATCGGTGGGTCACTCACGCTGCCTTGAATCGTGCCAAATCATTGAACAGCGCGCAGCGAACCCTGTCGGTAGCGGCATCTCACAGCTGATATCACCACTTAGCGGGACACCACGAGCTTCTGTGAGCGCGCAGAAGCAACACAAACCCAGCTCGGACTTACTTATCCGCAGATCCTCGTCCTGGCAATAATCTGTACAGCCGTCGTACCCTGCGCCTTCGTGGTGGGCGATGCCCCACCCACACCGCCGAGTGCGCCCGCTCTCCTTTTATTCCCTGTATTCCTGTCAGCTGACGTTCTTTATAGCGTACTCCGCGTCGCAGCCGAACCCGTCGCTCATATCGCTCGTCCGCGCGATCCTCGGACGTGAGCAGCGCGGCAGTCAAGCGTACATGAGCGTACGCGAGCGTTGTGATTTTGTCATCATCATGCTCAACTTTGGCGTCCTCGTTGGCATGTGCGTCTCTTCCACTCTCTCCTGCATTCTTTCACCCACGCAGTTTCGTCCCGCCAGCGTGACGACGTTCTCGATCCTCACGAACCAAGACCTTGTATGCTTTCGCGCATCCATACTGGTTTCATGCTAATTATGGCTACATTCTGCAGGGCCCGTACGGCTACTCGAGCGACACCTCGGGCTTCATGGGCGCGGCGCTGCTTCTCACTGGGATCGTCTCCGCGGGCGTCACCTCCCCGCTCTTCGACCGCGTCTTCACGCACCACCTCGCGCTCACGGGAAAGCTCATAGCCCCCGCGCTCGGCGTGCTCTGGCTCAGCCTCATTTGGGCCGGTAAGCACCCTTCGTTCCCGCATCCCATCGAGCAAAACCACTGACCCGTGAGATGGACACAAAGTCAAGGAGAACAATACGGGTGGGCTCTTCGCGATCATGGCGCTCATCGGCGCGGGCTCCGTCACTCTCCTTCCCGTGGCGATCGAGCTCGCGGTCGAGGTGTCGCGCAACGCCGACGGGAGCTCGGCGATACTGTGGTTTGCGTACGTCCCTTTCTCCTTGTACGCCTCCCACCTCCTTATCGTGCCTTTCCCTTCCTTCTGTCAGGGGCAACCTTGTCAGCATCACCTGCGTGCTCGGTACGTCCATCGTCTGCCTCTCCTATTACCAACATCATGTTGACATTGTGGTGGTGCACAGTCGAAGGCGCACTCCGCGCCGGCCCCAACGCGCACCCGCCGCTCAACATGCGTCGCGGGCTCATTTTCCAGGGCGTGCTCGCTTGTGTCACCGTGTCCACCGTCCTCGCACTCAAGGGCACGCAGGCGCGGCGCGAGATGGACGTGCGGGTGATGCAAGGGACGCTGGAGCTGCAGAGGATGGGGCAAGAGTATGTGCCGAGCTTGGAGCAGGATACGAAGGGCGATGTGGAGGCGCTTGAGAAGAGGGACGAGCAGAATATTTAATTATAGCGTTATACTATGTACTGCTTCTTGGGTTCCTTGAGGGATTTTTTTATTTAGTAGACCCGGTCCTGATTTCGTCTTGTTAAAACAACTTCCCACGCTCGATCGGGGCAGGGTTTCCAAGTTTAGCAAAAGGGCGCATCACGGAGCGCCACAAAGCTCCTTGTATGTTACGTTCGTTGTGCAAGGACCGAGCTTGCCAACTACCGACGAGTGTAGGTTACTGATCCGACGATTCCAGTCGAGCCTCGTGCTCGTCGGGATTCAGAGCTGCCCACGTCGCATGTCATCGCCACAAAGAGCACATTAGGCGCCAGAATGGAGATGATGCGCTTTTCCATAGACGGGGCCCGTCCGGACATTCTGACACGATATCATTGGCACGGATCCAAGAGACTGGCATGGATATCATGGCCGAGGATCGCGGAGGCATAATTGAGCTGGAGAGGCTCGCGCGCGGACCAATTCAGCACCTCGTCAGTAGTGTTGTCATTGACCTCGGACCCCGGAAAAACGGCAGCGAGCGCGTTTCCTCATCTCGAATTGTGTAGGCCTTTTTCTGCGATCTAAATTCTGGCTTTCTACTTTTTTACAATGCCTGAAGCTCTTGGGAGGAGGGGTGGAAACCCGAAGGAGTTCCCACGCCATTGACCCCGGTGTCATCAGTCCATTTGACAACACTGCTCGGAGTTGTCAGATCTGGCGAGATACTGCACATCCTTGATGATGTACGATATAGTCTCCGATCGGCGAAGCTTTGGCGCATCCGAATGGCTCAAAGCAAGTTACAACACTAATGAACGATGGAGTGGCAGGCGCGTGTATCCACCGTGACGACGCGGGGCGCGCCTTGTCACGTGTTCAAGCTGCACCTCATCCGCGCGACGCGTGCCGACGCCGACGGGGCCCGGGCTTTCGCAAGGAATTGCGGGTGCTACATCCGTACAACGGCTACACAGCTCCTCGCGGGATACAGTCTACAACGCGAGTTGGCCAGCATCAAACGCGAGCGTCGGCATGTGAAAGTCGGCGACAATGCATATGAATCCTATCCAAGGTTCTGTACTCCCGACACCGAGATCACGGCTGTGACTTACAGTTCGCGGCGCAGTTCACTCAGGTCCAAGATACTGCCTTGGGTTAAAAATTGAGGCGGGCACTCCCGCCTCGAGCCTGTATCTGCGCTACTTATTAAAACTATTTCTTTAATAGACAGCTACACAGTACTCAATCTCGATATGAAACAGTCACGTACAGCTCTCCGAGCATGAAGCAGCGGCCCTTCATATCGTGTTACTACCTGTGGGTGGGAACAGAAGCTAGGCAGAGATACAAAGCACCGGCGGCCGGTACGGCGGTAATGGGACTTCGCTAACGAGAAAACACTACGATCACACAAGGCATTGCTTCGTCGTCAATCTGCAAGACCCCACTTCCCCGGCACCGGCAGAAACCATGAAGCGCGGGACAATGTTGCTGGCTATAAAGTCTCTGCTGCATTCACCCACAACCGCCATCTCGCATTGTGCGCCCACCTCGCAACAACTCAAACTACCGCTATGGTAGACTTACACGACACAAGGAACAGCCGTCACTCGCTCATGTTGCAAATGGCAACTGACAGTATCACGAACGCCAATCCTGCTACGCTCGCGACCACACCCCATACAGAAGGCACGTCGCTTGCTCACGGGGCCCCGGTCACGTACCGGCTTTACAAACGGCGCTTTATCGGGCTCTTAGGCCTTGTGAGTGCCTGTATACGCCTGTACCTAGCGGAAGCTAATCTGATAGCTCCAATGTGACAGTTCCTGCTCAATATCGTCGCAGCGTTGCCGAACCCATGGTATGGCCCCATCGCGAACAACGGTGCGCACTCAATCGTACTCTTTCGCCGCACAGCACCTCACATTATCTCGTGCCGCTTATCTTGCGATAGTTTCGGCCGATTTTGGCTTCACGCTCAACCGAGTTAACTGGCTTGGCAACGTGATCAACTTCGTCTTCCTCCCAACGTCCATCTTCGTTCCATTTTTCTGCAAGCGCTATGGCATCCGTATATCCGTGCGTTCTGTACTTTACATATCTCATACGGAGATCGGTACTGACACCTGGCTCTGCAGTGCTACATCGCGACATTTTTCCTCCTTGTCTCCGGATGGATACGCTATGCTGGCACCGTGCGCTCCTTGGACTCAGATGGCTCGTATGCGCTGCAGATGGTCGGTCAAGTAAGTCCATTTGTTATGTGCAACGGATCAAGGCTGCTCCCAAACTCGTGCTCTCGGCAGTCAGAGTCCCGACCCGATGAGCTTACAAAATTATTGACCATATTTGCAGCTGTTAGCAGGCGTAGCACAACCATTCTTTCAAATCATTGGGCCACTTTACTCCGAAACATGGTTTGATACCAAGTCGCGGACGACAGCTACTATGCTGATTGCCATCGGTGAGTCCCTTGCGCTACTTCGAAGTGTATTTGAACTGACGACGTGCAGCAAATCCCATCGGTGGTGCTATCTCGCAAGTACTGGCACCGACCGGCGGAACACCACGATCTTCTGTAAGTGCGCCCCGAAAACCCAAACACAGCTGCTCACTCGCCCGCAGATCCTTATACTGGCGATAATCTGCTCTGCAGTTGTGCCTTGCACCTTCCTCGTGGGAAACACTCCGCCCACACCACCAAGTACGCCCGTTTACCCTTTGTACTTTGCACGCCCGACAACTGACGCTTTTTGACAGCCTACTCTGCGGCACAACCAAGCCCGCCGCTCATGTCGCTCGTGCGCGCGCTCATTGGGCGCGAGCCGCGCGGTCGCCCGACGTACATGAGTGTACGCGAGCGTTTTGACTTTGCGATCATGATGACCAACTTTGGCATTCTTGCCGGCACGTGCGTCCCTTTCGTTCTCTTCTGCACTCTTTCGCTCACCCGACGCTGTACCGCTAGTGTGAATGCCTTTGGAGTACTGACCGGCGAGGACCTGGTAAGCACTTTCATGCATCCGCATTCGCCGCCGTGCGCTGACCCCAGCCATATTCTGCAGGTCCCGTACGGCTACTCAGACACAATCGCGGGTCTGATGGGCGCGACGCTACTCATCGCCGGGATCGTCGCCGCGTGCGTCACTTCCCCGCTCTTCGACCGCGTCTTCACGGGCCGCCTCGCGGTCGTGAGCAAGATCTTATCGCCCGCGCTCGGCGCACTGTGGCTCAGCCTCATTTGGGCCGGTGAGCACCCCGCGTCCCGTGTCTCGTCGGGCACACGCTAACCAGTGGCGAAACAACAGTGAAGGAGAATAATACGGGCGGCCTCTTTGCGATCATGGCGCTCATCGGTATATGCGCGATTACCCTCCTTCCCGTCGCGCTCGAGCTTGGGGTCGAGGTGACACGCAACGCTGACGGGAGCTCGGCGCTGTTGTGGTGCATGTACGTCCCCTCCCGCCCATCCTCTTAGCCACATCTAACAGCGCAAACTCCGTCCTCTCGCAGAGCCAACCTCATCAGTATTGCCTCTGTACTCAGTACGTTCCTCTTCTCTCTCTGTCCTCGTCTCAATACGACGCTAACACGCACGGTGGCTCACAGTCCAAGGCGCACTCCGCGGCGGCCCCGACGCGCACCCGCCGTTCAATATGCACCGCGGGCTGATTTTCCAGGGAATACTCGTTTGCTGCACCGTCTTCACCGTCTTTGGGCTTAAGGGCAAGCACGCGCGCCGCGAGATGGACGAGCGGGCGATGCAGGAGGCAGCCGGTCTGCAGGGTGTAGGGGGAGATTCTGTAGAGGGTTTGAAGCAGGAGGTGAAGGAGGGTGAAAGCGCTGTGCAAGTGCAAGCCGTTTAGCCTTGGATCCGTCCTTCTCCGTCCGGTTTGTCAAAGTGACGATGAGGCACTTGGCGTATAAGTTATAGCCAACACGATAATACGTAACTTTAATAGCAGGGGACAAGCTACAACAAGGACTATAGATTACACTCGAAAGCATCGCGCCCGCGACACCGATCGCCGGGAGGACATATATTATACAATGATCAGACTTAAATTATTTTCCTTACGAATTTGGATGGTTTGAAAAGTGTGTGAGAGTACTCCGACAATTCTTACACTTGGAGAGTGCTGTATGTCGAAGGTGCCTGCGTCGAGTACGGCCTCGCTAGGAGGCTCGTGCACTGTCGGAAGTGTATCGCGGCCTCGACAGCTACCTGCAGGTGTCTGGCGTCGAGCGATATGCTGTGGGCGCGATTGTCTCTCAGGAGGTATGGGACATGTTTGTTGAGACGACTCCAGATGTCTCCATCATAGAATGCTTACTGGTCGTCACGCTTGAGCTCAGACCTCGCACCGTGACTGTTGCCGTGCTATGGGCCGGCAGCTCTACTGCTTGTCGTCTCGGCGTGTATACTTGCATAAAGTTTCTACGCTGATGGTACACCGAATCTGGACTCCGAGTGACTGAGTCAAGAGACGAGCAAGAAATCCAGTGAAATAAGACAAAGCAAAAGCTAAATAGATGGCGAGTGAAGCGAATCAAGGGGAATCGAATATTCAGCTTATTGATGACAGCATCCCATTATACTGTACCACTGCCCTACAAATATTGCCATGCGGACCAAATTAACGGTGGTAACCGAAATGAGAGTTACCGTCACGAACTGGGTCTCAGGTTCCGAAATATTGATGATGTCCTTCCATATAGCCTTCCCGGCCGCTATTCCACCTTCCGCCAGGCTCTGTTCCGGTCTCCTTCGATGGAATTACATCCCTCCATACTTCTTCTCAACCAGCTCTCTCGATGTGAGTCGTCGCGAGACGTCCGCGCAAACTTCCAAGGCTTCTGACTGGCCAAACCCTGTCTGCTCTTCGCTGCGTCTCACCCTGCACAAGTCCGTTTTCAAAGCCCACATGTCTCGAGTCTTCCAACATCATTTCTATGTCAGCATCATGGCGAGGCCCATGGACTATCCCCGACCCCAGTTAATTCATTTGCAAGTGCCGGTGCAGTGGAGGTGACGCGAAGACTAGAGTGCTTCTTCGAGGAGCTCGAACGTAGCACCCGTTGTCCGCGCCCCGCGGCTCCTTCTCTAAGGCATGCTGGGGGAAGCTACCGAGTGGTACTTCGATCTCGCCAGTTTGGATGGTCGACCATTCGCAGAGCGTCATAGGAGATAGCCAAGGCAGGAGTTATAAAATAATAAATGGTCCTACTCTGGGGTCGGCTCATGCTGATGCGGCTCATCTGCAGGTGGTGCGCATCCTTGCCATAAAAATAATATAGATGCGGACACTGGATAATATCTCCAGCCAGGAAGTAGTGGGAGCCTTTCGCCAATGTCGTTGTCTGAGGTGCATTTATCCTACCCTATCTTTACAGATAATATCCCATACGCTGCGTATCCGTCCCTTCCTTTCTCCGCCTGCGCCAATGTATCCGTTCACCATGCAATTCTCATATTTCCAGCCTATTGGAAGTGCCTTCTATCCACGCAGATTCCCGCATCCTACATGACGACTGTCTTGGATGTAGTCATGCCATGTACGGCATTCTGTCTAATGGTCGCGCTCGGCGACTATATGCGAATGTCAGCAAACCGATATATTTATAGCCTGGTCACTCGCCGTGTCTTCAGTGTACTGCTCGTACATCGACGACTCTTCGATGCTTGGTTCGCTATGGTCTCTAAGTCTCAACGGAATGGAATTCACCACGTCCCCATGTAGCTTCTCTCTCAGATGCTGTCTTGCATTAAGGCTGAAATGAAAATGGTTAGATATCCTTTATAGAGGCGAGAGGTAGAGCTTACAATCCCATGACAGAGTTTCCATACACTAGAAATGAGGAGTGTAGGTATGTGCTTTGGACGCATAGTTAGCACTTACATTTTCCCAGAAGTAGAATCACCGCCCCATACGCCAGACTCTCGCTCATGAAGTTGAACTGTACACCCTTGTTAGTACTGTTCGACTCGCAATTTCGAGAGATACTGACAAGGAACAGTGCACTAAGGGAGCCAAGACTGCTCACAAGTGCAAGTTAGTTACAGACGAGCAGCGGTAACTACGCTACTCACATGGTGAGCGCTCCAGTATTGATCGAGAAAAACATCAAGGTCTCAATGACACCCCGGGAACTGGACAGCAGATAAGCAGAGAGCGTTCTGATATGTGAATATTCAGCACAAGACGTACTGCTGAAAGCTGGTCATGTTCTTCCTGAGATAGAAGATCATCAATGAGGCGATCAAGATGTCGATGAATGCCGACATGGACAGGCCAAGGTTCATCGTTCGCTGGCCACCGGGGTACACAGGTTTAGTTGAGACCTCTGAGCATAACCAAAAATTATGACGCACATGCGCTGGGCGATGTACCAAGAAACCCGACCAGGTGCTGGACATGGATCTAGACAAGAGGTTTGGTCGATGCGGATACATTCTATCACGATTTATGGTACCCACAGATACACTACACTTGCTGGAGATATATGTCACGATATATGCCTACAATTAGGACGCTGTACTCACCGTACCCTGCGCCTAGATGGATGATCCAGCTTGTGAGACAACTGACACATGCCCAGACTCTAAGGCTCACCTAGACGAGCTAGAAGAAACAGGCTCTACAGGCCGGATAGGACTGTAAGTACTACTGTGAAATTTCGCGGAAATTGCCACCCACAGATATCCCTGCAATTACATAGTTTCTGCCGCTCACTAATAGACGTGTGAGAAATTTTACCGCACGGCGCAGGGAATACTTACGGCGCCACAGGCGCAAGAGAAAGAATCTTGAAAAGGTATCTGTTTAGGCGGAAACAGGCTGATTATGGCAAAACAGCACACACCCTTGGCAGAAGCCGATGATTGTGAACTGAAGCGGACGCGTGAGCACAGCTTAGGATGGAGACATGGAGTAACAAGCCCACTTCAACAGCGAAGCCTGCCTGAAGCGGGGTCACGGAAATTAGAGGCTTTTGCGGAACAAGCCATTCACTTACTGCGATACTCCTAGCGAAGAGTAAGTCATAATTTCAAACATCACAGGATAGAAAATACTCACCAGACGATGTTTAGCAGCTTCTCTGGGGCGCCAATGTCAACAACGAAGTATTCATAAAGGAAGTGCAGGCTGAATGCAGTATGCAATGCCTCCAGCACCCTAGTAATGTGGTTGTTAGCACCAAGGAAGTAGGAGGTATTATGTTATATCCCTGTCACCATATTGTTGCCACGAGGATGCGGAGGATTCGATGATCCTTCCTGTATGTGAACCAGTAGAAATAGACCTGAGCAATAAACGCGCCGAACAACCTGTACGGCTTTCAGTAAAGTGGCAGAACAGCGATACAGGCGGGGCACAAACATCAGCGAGACACAGATGAGGAGCATCGCCGGCCCCATGATAAACTGGAACGAAGGCAGGGACGGCAGAGATGGAACGACAGGCTGTGTAGCGTCCATGGCCAGTCTTGTGGAGTGAGAGTGAGAGCGAGAATGGGAGCGCGTGTGTTCGGTTGGTTATCTCGGAGCGCGAGCTCTGCTTGGGGGTCTTAAATGAGGAATAAACAGACTTGATAGATGGCCAGCACAAGGCGTGAATGATATGGATCTAGTGGCGCACGCACTGGGTTGCCACCTATGGCGCGGAAGCATGATCAAGGCTAAATTAGGCGATCTGGGTTGATAAGCTTCTGCTACCGCTGTGAAGAAGGAAAAAAAAAATCACGTTGGCGGGATGCCAGGAAAGATGTAGATGGCCATGTTGATAGATAGCCGTCACTGGTTTGCCGGGCGGTGATATGGTGAATAGGTGGCGAGCCTGTTCAATGACGCTTTATACCAAAAATCAGCCAAAGAAAGTAAAGCCTGAGCCGAGTTGGCCTATGTGAGTCATCTTCAAGGCTCACCTGGAGAAGTAGCTTGCGTCTCGCCGCCCGCGCACACGAGGGATGGGGGTCGGTGATAGACAAGCGGCCATTTGACGCTGCGCCGCCACCAGTGATTGATTGTTTCGGGCCCCGGTCTTATGTGTGAATATTATATATGCGCTCCGCGAACATCATAACCAGTACGTACATAAAGGCATCTCCGTAAAAATAGCGGAAGACAGCGAAACGTCTGATGTCGCAGAAATCCAAGTCGCCCATCTGGGTGAGAAGTTCGTGATGAAACGTGGGAGCGGTGCCCCGTACGAACGTCTATGCGCTGGAGAATTGATGAGACAAGGCCATGGAAAAATAGGTTTGACTCAAGCCATGGTATGCTGTGGAATCTGACTACTGTCGGCGACCCACGAGCCATGCACTTCAACGACATAAGATGGGCCATAGCCACTCGGCTATCACTTGAGAGAATAACTATATTTTTGTGGCACTTGTAATCAATCGCGGAGCGCGCTGTGGTGAGGGGTGTTAGTGCTTGCGCTCTGAAGGACGTGAAGCGGAGACATACAATCGCAGAGGTCTATTTTCTTCGGATAGGAACTTTGTTCGGATACATTATGCTTGGAAATATGATTCAGTATCATGATAAAAGCATGTTCTTAGGCGATAAATACGACCGCCCGCCAGTTAATGATTGTGAGTGAGGCATACATGGGCAAATCAGCGAAGTACTCCTCGTGAGCGTGATCAGTGGCCCCATAATTGCGACCAGAGTGTTCAGCTCCACCTTGTCCAGGACACGCGCACATCGTCAGGCTTAGTAAATGTATGCCTTTTATATCGCTGGAACTACAAGATCTTCCAGCTGAAGTACGAAGGCTAGAAGGCCGTATGGACGACCTGGTTTACAGTTAGCGAGCTCCAGCGAACGCTGGGCGATACTACTCACATATTCATAAACATCACGAATCTATCTCATCTAGAGACGGTCCATAGCAGCGCTATCGCTCTGCAAAGAGCCACGCACTTAGTGTAAGTTACAGAAACGGCATAGAAACACCAGAAACCGGTCGTCACCCCACGTACTCGGTACGTTGCACACGTTGCATACGACTCCTAGCTGCAGAAGTAGAGTGCAAATATTGCCCGAGAGCTACCGCGGATAATTACTCCGCGTACGCTAAGCTCACATGGGAGAAGTGGTCGAGTTCAGCGTATAGTGTACGTATCTAAAATTGTGGCAATTGCCGAGATTTATGCTGATACCATCAGATCTCAGATCTCAGATCTAACGCCCAAGCATGACCTGCCCCTGCCAGCGCAGGACCGCATCTCATGCTATACACATGGGCTCCTCGGTGTGAAGGATATTATGAAGTGATAAACGACCTATGCTGCTACCGGAGCGCACGCTGAAACATCTTTAGGACTTGCTCTCGCCATCAACATCACGATGTCCGAGTCGTGGGTCTCTGTCTTGCACGATGTAATGGATGCCTTCCCGATGGTAGCAAAGCAGGCTCTAGGGTTTGCCTCGGGAATGGCATGGAGGTAATTGCTGGCGGTGGGAGATGGACATTGCCGAGACGTCGGAAGCGGAAACTCCACGGTATGTCACCATGCATGTATGGGACATGCTGCTGAAATAGACTGTCGTAAAATATCGGATTCAGCTCGCTGCTATCACATCTTTCGCCACAAGTCTGAAGATTTGGGCTTCTCTTGTCCGAGGCTGTATCGTGAATACTTTCCACTGTTCGAGCCGGAACCCTTGCCCGTACCCCCGTGAATTGTAGCGCATGAAACGAGTTATAAGCCCGTGACTTGCAACTTCGGCGTCGCCATGGCCAACCTCCAGCGGTGTTCGCCGGTGGCCATTGGTGTCCGCTGGTGGTCCTTGCCATATATGGGTGCGTCATGATGGGCGCTTGTGAACACCGCCGCTCGTCCGGTTGCTTGCTGCCACACACCAGCCAATGGCAGCAGCCACTGGAGATTGACATCGGCTTTCACTGGGTACTAGTGAGTACCAGTGAGTGTGCCTCATATTCGGTGAAATCTGGTGTAGTTGAGAGTCCCGGGCATATTACTGCCGACGACTGCCTTTCGTTGTACGTGCAATCTTGCCGCCAGTTCATCACCCTGTATCGATTCCATGCATTTCTTAAGTCCTTGTCTCAACGCCCCTCGACGAGGCTTAAGGACGCGTGTCATCGAGCAGAGTGCTGGTTGGCTTCAAGTTCTGCTGTGTCACCTTCTGACTTTGCTACCATCATCCTCTATTCACGACAAGTCTTATATGAGCATCGGCCAATGACCAGAAGCAACTCTCAGAGAAAACTACACTAGCCCTGTGGCATCTTCGTCATGTAGAACACGAACACACCCTCGACCGGCTGCATCATCATCCTCACGACTCCCATGCTCTGCCTTCGAAATCGAAGGTTCTAAGTCTGGGTGAGTTTAAATGGTGATGCTATCAGCTTACCGTGTACTCACCATGTATGGTCCTGTCAGTAGGTACCGCATTCAAGCACTAGCCATCTTCAGTTCAAAGTAATGCTTCCTTACTCACTGGGCATTTCGCTCCGATTACGCTCCCGCTTCTATCTTACTGTTTGCTACGAAGTACAAGATTTGCAGTTGAGAAGGACAGCGACTGGGTATGTGCTGCTTCTTTTCACGAGAATGCATTATTTACGGCGACTCGCCTATAGGTCGTTGCGCTGGACACCCTGGTGGATTTCACTGATGGCACTTTGCATGCGCGCGCACTTACAAACGACTGTGTGTAGGGGCTCAGCTCAGTATGTGCGGACAGAGATCATTGTTCTGCTCTGTAGCAGGACTATGCAGGTGACGGCTGGCGAGGAGGTACGCGTTTGCCCCTTTTCATCCGTTACGACCGTCCACCCAACTTCGTTCGCGTTGCAGTACTCCTCCCATCCAGAATGCGGCCTGAGCTGCAGACCCGCGACTGCGAGCTTTCTCGGCTTCTGCAATAACATTGCAAGACAACCGGTACGGCGGCGGCGGTTCCGCGCCAACAACGTCGTTCATGCTCTCGCTGTCCCCCAGCGATCATGGTATCAAGGACATTGCACACGACATGCACCCCTTCGCGCGTCCGTCGATGTCGTCTATCCGGGAATGCACGAACTTGTCAGCTGGTACGACTCTCCGGGTCCTCAGTCACTTTGTATCTCGGCGCCTCCAGCACGAGCTTAGTCGAGAGCAGTGCCATCATCTCCACTTTGACCTCAAACCTCGCGATGCTGCACACTAACACTGTTAACTCATCACCACTGGCAGAAACGAGGGCTAGGTTTCTGGCTTAAGCAACGTATCACTCTGCGCCAACGCTATCCTCTGCATCAAGTGACGCCCGCGCAATGACCCCCGCCTCAGAATGTATATCTAACAAGTGACATACGCTGGTCCGCACCAGCCCTGCAATGTGACTAAAAGGCTGGTACAACAGATACCGTTGGCGTCGAGCCTTCCGACGACACCGGACTCCCAGTTGTCGCAGCGCGTTGCGACCATATACAACATCGCTCCTGTCGTCCCGGCGTTCTCGGAGTCGCTGCAGAGCGAGGTATATTTCGCGTTCGGGGTTTGGGTGTCTGCCGCATCATGATCGGTATCGAGGCTGCCTGATTAGTAGCGGCGGGTGCATCTCGTATGGATCACTGGGATATGACAGAGGATGAGATTGGTACTGTGACGCGTATGCCTTGCCAAGCACTTTCCTTATGATATGCCGTTCTGTTGGGTTCAGCCATCTAGTACTTTTTTTTTCACCGCCACTACTCACTTCGTTATCAGTCTTATGGTCGTTTGGAGAAGTTCGAGCGCACCTCCGCATAACTTGTTTTGTGCACCACAAACCAATGATTGTCTAGTAGAGGTGGTTGGACACATGTTAGAGTAGATGTTAAATGACAAAATAAATATGTCTGCGATGCAGCTCCCAGATAAATAGATGAATTATCAACGTCAAAGCCATTAGCTTGGGGTCTCATGGTATTATCAGCTGGCATCCTGTGTCTCTTCGACTAACTTTATCGTCTCCGGCGAGCGAGGGACGATCTTGCACTCGAAAAGGCATCGGGAGCTATTGGCGGACAGCTCAGCAAGACATAAGACGTAAGAAAGGAGACATCGTCGTACCTCGTTAAGCTGGAGGACCACAGCAAGATAAGCCCAACCTCCTCACCGTGTTCGTGGCGCGCCTTCGCGATGTCGGATAGTACGAGTATGCGCGCAATCACGCAGAAGAGCGTGGCTTGTACAACGTCCTCGCCGGGGCATGCCCTGCCCGAAAGGAATGCCATCAGAAAAACAACAGTTAGAGCCAATCTGAGCGGGAACGCAGACGCACCGGCCGCACGTCCAAAGCCGAACGCGAGCTGTCCTGCGCTCCGGCCAAAACGCGTTGGCGTCCTTGTAGGTTCAATATCGAAGTCTGAGGCCTGCATGTCGCCGCATACTGCGAATACGAGATTCTGTCACGTTTAAACGAGGTCGTCGCGTACGAACTTCCAATAGGTTCTGCTTGGACCTAGCAGGTGCCGGAAGCTGAAAAAATGGATTATAATGTAAACGAGTAGCTACACGAACACTGAATTTGTTTTTAAGATATCACGGAATGCATTAATGCAGCAGAGACCATGCATTCACCTATGCGAGAAGAGCTCAACGACTTTCCAAGGGGTATCTACAAGCGCTAACGTCTCAAATCCGACAGCTATTTGTTCGGGAACCCATCGTCCTTGACCTGTCTCTTCGCCACGCCTTCGCTATTCTTGAAAAACAGCACGTCGCCTTCTTCCTCGACGAAGAGGCACTGCGTGAACGAACGCCACAGGGCACGCAGGATCGGCGTCGAATCGTAGTTGTATGCGTCCCCGAGCAGCGGGCGGATAGCCTCGTGGGCCATTGGGAGGTTGTCTGTGGGTCCATGCGTCAGAAATCGCGTTTGTGTGTCCCGCAAGAGACGCTGCGGTGCTCACAAAAGGGGATCTAGACGATAGAAATTGAGCTGAGGATTGTGAATGCAAGCTGGAATAACTCACGTTTGCGAAGAGATGGTGTGTGGTATGGTGGTGGTTGACTCCGAGGAAGAAGACGACGCCCACCCAGCCGAAGAATGGCTGCGCACCGGTGTTGTCAGCACGAGCAACTCGCGATTATGGATGAGCGTACCCTGTCTATCGTAGAAAGCGCACCGCGCGTCCGAGTCCAGCTTTTCCCGCGGTAGAACGGCACCGTTGGGTCAGAGTGCTGCAACTAGGATACAAGCCCCCAGTGAAGCGCACATGACATCCAAGGTATCCTGCCACTCACAAATGTCATTGCCATAATCCTTCAAGCAGGCAGAGCATCAGCAAAGAGTAGTCGCTAAGCTACGCAGACTGAAAACGTACCAGTGATTTGAGATCAAGAACGGGATGAAGTAGTACTTGAAGACGAAGGACGTGGATGTGTGCGAGGCCAGCAAGCGAAGTAACAGGACCGTAGCCACAAGACCTGCGTTAGAAGCCGACACGTAGGTGTACTCTTCTTTCGTGAACAGGCCAGAGTATGGGTTCCAGTGCTAAACGGGGGTCATCAGTGTACGTTGGACAATTGTTCGGTAGGGCGCACGTTGGAACCTTCCGGATACCGCTGCGAACCCATTGTGTTCAATCTGTCGCATATTGTTAGCTACCATGGTATGAATTGGCAGCGGAGGGGAGATGTCATACGTCAAATAGGTGTCTTCATTGGGGCGGTCGCTGATGTGAGTATAAGCTACACCCAAGACATGAATTGGACGTACGCAAGCCCAAAAACTGCATCGCACAGAATCGAACCAACAGAAAGATCGGTAATTCCTCAAACACCTCCTTGTAGTCATTTTGACTCGCTTCTTGTGGCGGGGGCAGCTTGTAGTACGAGCGTACGTGTGGCACGTAGACCTCCTCCAACTCCATTGAGCCCGCAGTCTTGTGATGCCGGAGATGCGTAATCCGCCACGAGAAGTACGGGAGAAACAAGAAACTATGACATGCCATCCCAACGCCATGGTTCACCCATTTGTTCTGTGAGACGTTGTTGTGCCCTGCCTGCTGATGTTAAGCAAATCTCCGCAAGCAGTGTTCGCAAAGCTGTTACCTCGTGGCCTGAACAAACCATGAATATCTCGATATCTCGAGAATACCACTTGACTGCGCACCTATGGACCATAAACCCGCCCAAGCCACCCCTTGAATGTTCCAGTAGAGTGTCCACAGTGTCCATTTGAGAAGTCGTGTGGGGATCGCTGACCAGCCGAGACATGCCACAAACCAATCGATGTACAAGCCAGCGTAGGACATCACAACTGTCAGCAAAAATACCGGCCCCATGCCCCATAGTGCCTTCAGCGTGCTGCGCCGGAATGCGTCTTTGGGGATCGCGCGTCGCAGGTCGGATAGCTGCACGTCTGGAGGCGTGAATGCAGCATGCTGCCGTGCGGTGTATTCTGGGCCGTCCGAGAGCAGCGAGAGGGACTCGCTCATTGTGTTGCACTGGGTCTACGGGGAGTGCAGGGCCGTATGGCGGCTTAGCCGTTGTATATTGGCTGTGAGCATTGTCATTCCGCGGGCGGAGCCTTGTGCGGTCAGGCGCGTCTGAAGGTACCCGAGTGGTACTGCGATCGCGATTGGGATATTGCGAGCCAGACGCCACATCGGCACAGGGGCGGCTGATCCGGGAATGCCGTGATAGCGTCGCGCCTGTATCTGGGCAATGCATACTGAAACAATGATAGAAGCGACCACGTACCGGATACGACACACAATGGCCAAATCCTGAGGCCTCCATCCCACCGCAGACAGACCGTGGCAAACGAAAGCACGGCAGACGCGACTCTTAGTCGGACATTAATCAGAAGTGTCGCAGCACGGCGTGGATCTGTCGTTCATGACGACAAAGGATGCGCGCGAAGCTGAATCGCGCAAGCTCAAGCTTCAAATTGCGAGATAGCAATTTTTGCTGTCAACAGATGCGTCGAACAGAATGCGAAAACACGGAGCATACTGAACCCGTGCGCTTTTCGCCACGAAATCCGGGACCCCGAGGACCAGCATCGGCATCCCCCGCAAAAACGCGGTGTTGACATATCCCCTATCATACGCCTACACCGACTCTGGAACGAGTGGTTCTGTTCAAGTCACCATGAGGACAGCGGGTTGATCGCATCGACAGCCCAGCCTGGTCCGCGGGGCATGGGCCGCAAGGCCCTGGCAAATCAGCTGGTTAGCGTACTCGGCTGACCAGGTCCCTGCCGTCGCTCCTCGCCAGCGACATGTCGCTGCGCCTCACAGTTGCCCTAGGCTCGTTCATCGTCATCTTCGGCCTCCTGCTCAGATGGACTAGACGCAGTAACCGTGCGCTCCCTCCTGGCCCCAAACCGGTTCCAGTGCTAGGGAACATTCTTCAGCTCTCCACAGTACAAGAATGGCTGCAGCTCACCGAGTGGAGCAAATTATACGGTGCGTAGCGTTATTACTCAAGCCAAATGATGCTTGCTGAGCGTTGTCGCAGGCGATATCTTCACTGTATGGGTGTTCAACAAGCCCATTATCATGCTCAACTCGGAGAAGGTACTATTCGACTTGCTCGAAGCCCGTTCCAGCCTATATTCGACTCGCCCGCACCTTACGATGGCAGGCGACTTGTGAGTAGCGCGACTCTTCATGTATCAGTCAAGTTGACTGCTAACAGTCTTGTTTCCAAAGGATGGGTTGGGGCGATTTAGTAGTACTCATGCCGTATGGCGAGCGCTTGAAGAATTACCGCAAATTGCTTAAGACAGGCCTAAATGCCCAGGTAATTCGAGGATACTGGCCCTTTATGGAGCAGGAAATCGGAAAATTACTGGGCAGACTGCTTGACGATCCGAATAATTATGCCAACAATTTCCGACGCTGTGTGCTCACAATCGCAAAGAGCTCCCAGGGCATTGAATATTTCTTCAGCACGGCGGGCACCGTACCCCTCAAGCTAGCTTACGGGTTCAAGCATGAGAACGAAGAGCTTCAAATACTTGTGGAAGTCACACAAACTGCTCTGCGCCGGTTCGCGATGGCAGCCTTGCCTGGCGTGTTCCTGGTCGACACCCTCCCATTTTGTACGCTTCGTTCGTCCTTTGTCACGTCACCGCTAACTCTACTGTGAGTCCCAATAGATGCGTAATAAATCGGAGGTGACGTACTGAAGCTAATTAGCTGAGGTGGCATCTATAATGCCCTAAGCATGCCACCAATGGTTTTAGGGAAGGATATGACTTACGGCAAGTACAAAAAGCCATGAACGTCCGCTTACTAATACTGCATATTCAATGCCCGAATTACAGGCAGACGAGTGCGCACGTACATTGGTAAATCTTGTAGGCGAACACACTGCGTACCTGTTATTAGCACTGCAGACCATCGAGAACCACTGTGGAAGACCTACGAAGTTACGGTGACCTCAATCAAGTCCTAGTGCGAAAATATTATCATCTGCGCAATTTATTGGTTTCTGGACAGGGACCGAGAGCACGTACACCAGCGACGATATCCCCCACGAGACTCCTGAATCACAAGGGTAGGGTTCAGCAAAGGCTTTGGTGCGATAGTTAGAACGCACCATGGTGCTTGTGTTAAGGCGAGAGGGTTCAAGAAATTTGTTACCGCGTAGTGGTACGTAGTATGCGAGACAAACACAATATATACGGTGCAAAGAGCCCTGAAGACGCTGTAAGCGCTACCTCCCCGACGAAAATTCGCGTATCATACCACAGGAAGAGTATCTAAGATCGTCCGTGAGTACGTGCAACACACAAATTGGAAGCTACGGGCAACTCGCTTCGTGAAGGGACCGTCGCGAGAATCGCGGGCAAGGTAGGCGTACACTTGCGCGATAGCAATACCGTAAAGCCTGTGAAGTATAGTATTAAAGAGCCCTACAGAATTATAGTACTAGAAGAGTGTTTACAATATTGCCAGGAGTTGCGCTGTCTAGCGAATCAGCCCATGACAAGATTCTTCCAAAAATGAGATCGCGCACCGATGATTATCGCACCAAGAGTGTTATAGAAGTGCATGGTGACTGGTGGGAGCGACGATGAGGGCACTGCGGTCGAACTCGGTAAGGACATGCTTGCCGCGCCACTTGTGGATTAGCGAAGACGGGGATATCGCTACTTCTGTTATACTTGTGCGTGCTATATCTGTTTAGCTCCAGTATCAGCTGGTGCTTATCCATCATAGATCACCGTTCAGGGTGTTCTTGTCCATAGCTCCAATCTATACGGATGGGGATAGCCGAAGCCAGGTGCTATCGGCCTTCACACACATCATCGTGGCTGTACCTCGCTCAAGTTCTAGTGATGTGCGGGCCCGGCTTGGGCTCAAAGCCCCGGCTTGGGCTTGTGGCAGCGTCGAGCCGAGCCCTGAGCCCGAGCCGAGCCCGAGCCCGGCCCAAGCCGCAGGCTTAAGCCCGGGCTTGCTCACAATACAATGAATATTATGGTGCTATGAAAAGGGAGTATATTTGGATGTAGTAGATTATTACTGCGTGTACTCACTGAATTCAGCCTCCAGAAGATGTACACTCGGGGAATAAGTCGAGTCGCAGCGAAGCCCACGAGCGCGCGCCTACGGCAGGCACCAAACGGTGATGCACAATCGTGCTCGGCGGGAACCGTCGAGTCTAAAATATCAATATTATGTCTGGTATGTACATCTTAGATCTCTCCCACCTTATCCTGAACTCAGGGAACAGTAACAGAGCCGGTACACCCAAGCCTGGGCTTCCGAGCCGGGCTTGGGCTTGACTATGCTCCGAGCCCGGCCTTGAGCCCGCTGCCAGGCTTGGCTCGGGTCAGGCTTTTTGGGCCGGGCTTGGCGGGCTCGCGGGCTTTGAGGCCCGGCCCGCACATCACTACGCTCAACTGACGGCAACAGACACACTGAACAACAAGGCTATGCGATACATCACGGAGTGCGGGTAGCAGCACGCCATGTCTCGCTGCAGCAGGGTGCAGCGTCACGCATCAAGGCGCAAGCATCGCAGCGCTGCCTGAGCAGAGCGACTCAACGGCGAAGATGGTGACGTCGAAAGAGCTTAGAGCGACAGTACCCGTGAAGCGTAGCGACATGTTGCAAGAGCAAGGGTCAGGCCGGCCATGTACGCTGGCCAGCTGACTGATCAGAGCATTGTGGCACATGCCCCACGGACCAAGCAGGGCTGTCGATGATCGCGCCTCGTTGTCTTCGTGGCGGCAGAGACGCAGGGTCTCAGGGTCTCGGGCTCGGGGTTTCGGGGTCTCAAATACCGGTGTCCCGTGGGTAAATTTCCGGATGGGCGCGTCTTCGAGCTTCGAGTCCTGCCAGTGCTCGACGCACCTATTGATGGTTATTGCCGCCTTGCATTGAAGCCTGAGCTTCGGCTTACACGAGTCAGTTTCGCATGCTTTTGTCACCAAGAACGACAAGTCCACCCGCTCCACGACGGCTTCTGATTGATGTCGACTGGGACTTGCGTCTGCCGTGATTTCGTCTGCCACAGTCTGCCCGTGGCCGGATAGACCCCCCCTGCAACAGCTGTACTTCCGACCACTGGGATTCAGTACGCTGCTGCTTCTATCATGCCTTCTATCATAGTTTTAACATGCACTACCCACATACAGGCACGGCGCTGTCACGGCACTACTAGACCATCCACACCCGGACGTGGCTGCGCCAATGCGGTGTCTCGCTCACGGTGCTACAATGGCGATTGCGTTACCACTCGGGTACTTGCGCGCACGCTCAGACACTGGCCCACCTGACCGTGCATAGCGGACAGTCTCATTCGCGGAATGACGACATGTCACGTTCACAGTAAGTATACGGCAGCTAAGCCGTAACATGACCCTGCACACCCTCTTGACACAGAAGGCCAGTGTGAGTCCTTGCGTATTACAATAGACAAGTCCCTCTCACTGCTCTTGGATACATTGGCATGCGTTGCATGGAAGCGTGCGGCATTCACCTCACCCATCGTTCCCAAGACGCGTTTAATCTGATCTCAGTGGGTTTTTAGCTGTTATGCGCAAATTTTTCCAGCAAACTAAATGCCTTCCACGGCCAGCAATGTCGGAAGTATTGCACTGGCCGGCCAGCTACTTCCAGGGCGGAAGCTGTTGAGCGACCCTCCTAACGCCTGTAAACATGTAACATTGGCGAGTATTTGTGCTCTGTTAAGTAGAAACGCGCGAATTCGATCGCGTACCACGACTTCAACCAACCATGGGCGCACTCCCGTCGCGTGTGTCTACATCTGACGTGCAGTCGCTCAATGCGTCCGTAGGTGGCCGCTTGCATGTCAGAGTGCCTTATGCGAGTCCCTGTTTTGAAGATGTGGCTCCAGGAGTCGCAGGAATGCGGGACGCCGCGGCATGTGCGCAAGTCATGTCCTTGTATGCTCAGAAAGGTATGACTGGCACGTCGTGGGAGGCTCTGCCATTTTCTTATCTGCCAGCCTTTTCAAGACGCGCTAATTGCCAACTTTGTAGTCTCGTTCCCATCCGCTCTTAACTCTGACGTGTAAGCACTGTCAGCCAGTGCATCGGACTTTGGAAGCAAAGTGCACTAATGAGACTGCACATCACCATTGATGTCCGACGCAGTCTCCGACCGGCGAAGTCCGGGCGCGCTAGAATGGCTGGGGACGAGACTACCAAGTTTGGTGCTTATCCGAATGTAAGCGTCTCTTGAATGCCGTGTTGGTCCATACCTGTTGCTTACTCCCTCTCCCTTAGACTGCTTGGGAAACTTGTCAGGCGACGGGTGAGCAGTGCCTACTCGACTTCAGCAACACTAGCGACCCACTGGCGTTTACGCCTCTGAGCACCTGCGCCCAAGGCAGCGTGCCGAACTATTACGTGAGCTGTCTCCTTTTGTTCAGCGACTGCCCGACGCCCATGCTGAAAATTCTTGTCAGATTGGTGTGCAGAACCCAGAAGACGTGAGCGTAGCGCTCAACTTCTCACGGACCACGGGTATACCACTGGTCGTGAAGAATACAGGAGTATGTGTGGTCGTGATATAAAGGTTTCTTGTTTAATTCTGGGCCGCAGCACGAATACTTGGGTCGATCGAGCGGTCCGGGGTCCCTGGCGCTATGGCTGTGTACAGTCTCTTCCATTCAACGTACATTTCTAAACGTGCCGTGTATAGGTGCATAGTATCCAAGGTGTAAGTCCACAAACTGACTTTAACGATATCGCACGTTCCAACAATGCTTGCAGATCTCGTACAACTCCTCTTTCACACCGGAAGGGTGCAGTCAAGCAGGTATATCTGCTGTAACCTTTGGAGTGCGTGTCCGAAATCTTTACTGTTTGACGCTGCTTTTCATGGAGTCGGATACCAGGCCGGCGTCACGTTCCGCTCATTGTACGCCTTTGCGGATGCGCAAAACATCACAATTATTGGGGGTACCGATGATTCCATTGCTGCAGGCGGCGGCTACCTCATGGTACATACTATGATGGACATACACTAGAAAATTACGCTGAAGCGACATCGGCAGGGAGGCGGCCACAGGTGACATGCATAGTCAGAGCACTCTTAAGTAAATTCACTCAGACATTCACAGCGCGTTTTCGAACTCCCTTGGACTTACTGTCGACCATGCCGTGAGTTAAGCACAGCTCAAGGTAGACGTTCGTGCGTTATTTGACGCGATATATTGGTCTTGCAGCTCGAATTCGAAGTTGTCACTCCGGATGGCCAGCACCGCATCGCAAATTCCTGCGTCAATTCCGACTTATTCTTTGCCCTCCGAGGGGGCGGCGGCGGTACGCTTGGAGTGGTCTTGCAAATTACGATCAGAGCATTTCCCGGTTTCTCGTTTTCTGTGTAAGCAACCGCTTACTTCGCGCTTTGGAAAGTGCTAAGCAGTAGCTCAGCCTCCAAACTGTATTTATGGGCGTCCCCTCGATCGAAATCCAAAGAGAATTTGTCAAGTTTCTCATAGACAACGCTCTGCCTTGGGCTTCAAAAGGTGAATACCCGTCAACAAGGTTCGGCTTCTCATTGATATACTCTGCAGGGTGGGGTGGATACATTGAAGCTGGATATCTTCTCTTTCTGCATTATAAGACTCGACTTACGTTCCCAGCCTGGACTAGGTCTGACGTTTGTTAATCCTTTTGTGACGTATTCTCAGGCCGCTGAGACTATGGAGCCCCTCAAGTAACTTGTCTTGACTCAGCTCAACGGAACCTTCGTTCTTCAAGAGGAAACATCTTGGCTTTCCTTCTTCAACCAATTCGTGGCTCCCACAGGTCTGGTACGTAGAGTTTCTCTGATCACTGCTGGTGCCATTAGACCGTTGCCTAACGTAGATTTGTTTAGCCCGACGGCCTTCCCAGCGCAGTTGGCTCTAGGCTCATCCCTGCTACAGTCTTCGACTCGGAGAGCCAAAAGGCCGCGCTACTAGATATTGTGATGTCAGCGGTTCCGAAACATGCAACCGCTTTGCTGTTTCCCGTTGCACCTTACTTTTTCAAAGGCGATGACCAGACGATCCTAAATCCTGCGTGGCGGTCCTCACTCTGGCATGTACGTCAACTTCAGTGGCGTGTTGTTGCAAGGTCTGAGCGGCTGTAGATTGTCTTTCTTGATTTCTGTGATTTCAACACAACAGCATCGGATCGAGCAGCAATATACGCCGAAATGGACTCATCGTTGGCTCCGCTCCGCCAGCTGGCCCCCTAGTCTGCTGTCTATCTTGTGGGTGGCATTATTTGATATCTTTCCACGCATAGTCGACTGACCTCTGTAATCTCAATGTAGAATGAAGCGTACCTTTTTGAATCAAATTTCTCGAATACGTCGGCGATTAGTATGACATGGCTGCAAGCCAACATTACGGTAGAGATGTTTTGGGGTCCCAACTACCCGGAACTGCTCCGTATCAAAGAGAAATAGTGAGCCGTAGCGTTTAATGAGGTAATACCGTTGTGCCACTATCTGACGGTTATCTGTTTCAGTGACCCATATCACTTGATGGACTGTTGGCGCTGTGGTAAGTTCACTGATACTCATGGTAATCATAGTCTGACAGCATGCGTCCAGTTGGCTGGAACGGCCCTTCTGCTGCTCGTTTTGGAAGCTATCCATAGAGTGCATGTGAGCCCCGTATCATCGTACGGGGCAGACGTCTTAGGCTTCTTTGTTTCATTCCCTGTCCTCTCAGTATCGGAAATGATCTTGACACGCTTCGTTCCGTTCATCAGGTTATCTGTGGACATGTTCAAAGCGATTGCGCCGAATATCTCACGAGGACATGTGGTCCGCCTTCGCTGCGACCAATCAGTGCCTTGCGCGGTGCTCTGTGCCTAACAAGCGCACGCGGGTTTTGCATCGCTAACCTTACTACGGTACAAGTCCCGCATTTTCCAGAAGTTTTTCTCGAACGCAGGACATCGTATGCACACGGTTTGTGATGCATGGACGGAGCAGTATGCGATGGGCCGCGGTATGGAAGCCTATTTGACTGAATGTGGCTGCTAGTGCTTCTCTTGTGGTGTGCCAATACCTCCGAGGACTTTGCGATCTCGACGGGAGCAGCCCACTCCGCATCCGTGCATATTGTTGCATCTCAAGGCACAGCGTATCTGATATTGATCTACTACTTGAAGTGTACGCCCCCTGGAACGCCTAAGTAACTCCCAGCACCGGCAGACGAGGTTGCGATTCAGGCCGGACTACCGTTTGCGTTAGGAACCTGTTGACATGGGGTCATGCTATAGCTACCGTGAAATGTGCGATCGATATTTATAGTCCTGTCACTCGTGGAGATCGCAGGTAACTGGCCCTTAGACTGGCCACACTCTTGCTTTGCTAAACGATGCCAAACGCTGAAGTCCCTCCGCCACAGGCCCCGCCCTCGTGGTCAGTTTAAGTGGCCCCTCTTGCTACGGTCATACATGTCGTTAACACTTTCAAACTGCTTAGGTCACTCAACGAGATACGTTCGCATATTCCGGAGAGATTGTTCAAGCGAAATACCGCGAAAGCTCTCGGATACACTGCGCGGGATCTCCTGCTCGCACTCGTCTTATTCACTCTTGCCACTCAAATTGACAAGACCTGCGCAAATACCCTGCTGTTTTCGCGCGTTGGGCCGGTTGGCATAGAAACCCTTCGGTATTCTTTGTGGATGGCGTAGTACGTGGTTTCCACCGTACTGTGGACGACAGTCTTACAATCGTGCCGCAGCTGGTGGTTCCAAGGCCTTATATTCACCGGCCTCTGGGTTATCGGTCATGAGGTATGGACAATACGTTCTCGGAAAATGAGTCTGACACCACCTGCAGTGCGGTCATGGCGCATTTTCTGAAGACAAACGACTGTGCGATGCTATTGGCTTTGTGAGGTTCAGCCCCGAGTTTCGCATCCTCGGGCTAACTGATTCTCCACCTAGATCATCCATAGTTTGCTCTGGACGCCATATTTCAGCTGGCGGATCTCGCACCATCGCCATCATATGAACCATGCTTCTATGGAGAAAGATGAAGTGTATACTCCCAAGACTCGCGAAGATCTGGGCATTCCATCCTGCGCTGAAAAGATCGACTGGGATGAAAATTTTGGAGACACGCCGATATACACGTTGTATATGCTCTTACGGCAACAGCTATTTGCGTTCGAGGCATACCTTTGTAAGTGACCTTCCATGCACAAGAGAGAGTCAAAGTTTAATTATTATAATAAAACAAGTGTGGAATGTGTCCGGACAGAAATCTTATCCCGAAGGCACTAATCACTTCAATCGTACGTAGAGTATTCTGTTATGTCTTTCATCTCCTTACGCCATTTCTCAGCATCCAGTATTCTGTTTGATCCTTCACAACGTACCGCGGTCATTATTTCCAACATCGGATTGCTCTGCACAACCACACTTGTCTGCTATCTGTCCTCCCGCTTCGGTTTTCTTACCGTCGTGAAGTTCTACGGTATCCCCTGGGTCCTCGTGACGCATTGGTTCGTCATGATCACGTACCTGCATCACACAGACCCGAAGCTGCCACATTATCGCCAGAGCATGTGGAATTTCCAGCGGGGCGCCGCAGCCACGATAGATAGGGACTTTCTTGGGTGGCAGGGGAGGTTTTTCCTTCATGACGGTACGCATGAGACGTCGACTGTCTCAAACTACTGCTTCGTCTGACCGGAATCTTTTCAGTTGCGCACTTTCACGTTATACACCACTTCTTCCCCAGAATGTCGTGGTATAACGGCGAGGAAGCGACGAGATACCTCCGGAACGCCATCGGCGAGTATTACCAACGCTCAGAAAAACCGGCGTTCCAGGCGCTGTGGGACAACTATAACTTCTGCCAGTTCGTCGATAATGAAGGTAAGCTTGGCAATTTGACGCTATGATCAAGGTAGAGGGCTAACCGACGACGAGCAGGAGACATGGTGTTTTACCGGGATAAGAAAGGAAAGACTATCATGGAGTACACGAAATAGCCAGTGCTCCATGGGAAGAATGTCTTACTTATTTCTAGTCAGGTAGACACAATGAATATAAGATATATACACAGACGTTAGTCGCAACACATTTCACAGACGGGCTCTGGTTTCGGCGAAAGGCGTATACGAAGAGTTACCGCTGTAGATGTCTAGAGACTTAACGAACGCGTCCCACGCCTTCTGTGATGCGATCGCCCCTACAGCGTACCGCTCGACACCAGACGCCTGCAGGTAGCTGTCGAGGTCACGGTACACTTCGGATAACGCACGCGCCTCCTCCTCCGCGAACGCGCGCCTACTGGTGAGGCCGTACTCGACGTAGGCCGCGAGGTCCGCACCGACGACGCCGAGCTCGTAGAGGCGCACGAGCGGTGCAGGAACAGCCGCGTCTTTCGCGGCCTCGAATGCCATGCGGTGCCCGATGGCTTCGACGAGTGGCAGGCAGCGTGGGAGAAGGAGCTCGTTCGCAAGCGCCCCGCGGTGCTTTCCCCGCGCGTCCACCAAAATCGCTTTCATCTCGTCAAATAATCGCTGCTCGTGGATGGCGAGCCGGGAGTTCTTATCCTGGCTTGGCGGGACAGTGTACCGGCCCAGGAGGAGTTCGGGAGCCAGTCCTTGGCAGGGTGCGTTAGAAGAACGCCCGACAAATGAGTGCAAAGGGCTCACGAAGACATAGGACGAGTACGTCGCCCTCGGAGATGGCAACACCGCGAAGTTCCATCTAGAGATTCGCATTAGTGCGATGGTGAGTTAAACAGCCAGTTTAAATACCTCCATGGGCATGAGCTGGTTGTAGTCAAATGTACCCTGTGCGCCGCAGCGATCCGCGACAGTCACCCCTGTCCTCCGCCAGTGTCCTATCATCGTCGCCTTCACTATAGCGCATATAGCATTTCGGAGGTTGATATCTTCAACTGGTGTCATCGCAGAGACCCAGGCCGTCGCACGCCTGTAGAGGGCCTCAAGCGCAAAGCCTTGGGCCAGAGAATGCAAAATGGGCAGCTGCTGTGTCCTGAACGAGATGAGTGAGATGGGACTCCCGGTAGGTCCGGCGACGCATCGTCCAGCGCTGTACTTGGCCGCGATGAATGCTGCGATTTTCAGTCCGGGCACCACCGTCGCAGAGAGACTGAGTGAGCCTATGCTCACTCTCCAGAGGGTCTTGAGGAAGAAATTTCGAGGATGTTCCTTCAGGTCTATTTCCCCAAGGAGTGCTGAGGGCGGAAGTATAACATGATCAAAGTATGTGAGTGCATGGCCGATGGCTTTGGAACCGCTCCTGGTCGGAAGCTCTCTGCAAAGAAAGTTAGCACGCTACAATGCATACGTTATCAGATATCATACCGAGCCATTATCCCTGTGCACATTTCTTTCCCATCGTTCAGTGCGACTACAAAAGGACGAACCCCTTTGTCGATTCCACCGACTATCAGTCTAGCCATGACAAGGCCTACGCGCGGGACGCCACCGAATGGAAGTGTAGGAGGCATGTATCTGCGCGTTGTTGTCAGAAATATGTCCATACACGCCACCTTTCCCACTGACTTCGCAGCACCTTCATTGGGAGTATGTAAATCGAAGCTCCCGTCATCCTTCATAGTCGCCGTCGTCTCTAGATTGAAGGCATCCAGGCCGTGTGCAACCTCGGTCAACAAAAACTGTGCTCTAATGAAAGCCGATCAGATTATTCCAACACAGACACGCGAACGGTTGACTTACGAAACTCGGAACTCAAGCATGTCATTCAGAAGAGGGAGAAGATCGGGCCTTTTCTGCGTGAAGGGCGCAAGAGTCCCGGCTGCGAGGTTTAATTGTATGCAAAAGAGAGCGACTGCACCGCCGTCGAGCGTGACTATGGGGTCCATATACATGTCCCAAAATTTCTTTGAAGGTCTGAGGACATCTTCGGGTGAGAGTGCTGCGGAGGCAATGGGTCCAGATATTCGTCAATAGTATTGTGAATGCCTACCATACCGTATGCCCACGGCTGTTGCACGTTTGTGAGACAGATCGATGCGTTCCGCAACAGAGAGATGCTCCGAAACAAGTCCATAGAGCGGAGAGGTGGGCAGATCTCGTGTTACAAATTCCGTCATCATTATGTCAGTAGCAAGTGTGTTGTGGGAAGAAGAGGAAGCCTTGAGCTTTCGTTAAGCTCTCCGGACCGCCTTTTGGAGTGGCCAACAACTCTCTATAGGCGGAATTGACCATCTCAACGGCCTTTCCCAGAGGACGGAGCACACATGTCAGCCGACGCCGTGGAAACACTACGGGCATCCCCAGATTTCAGGGCGCCCGAAATGTCCCAGACAAGGCATCCAAAATGTAACATTTCGGGAGACTTTCCAGCAACTTTCCCGAGTGCTGAAATGCTCACTTTTCTGTCACTTTTGAGGCAATTTCTCTTGTCGGAAAAGGCTGTCTGTCACGCGCTTTGAAATAAACCTGAAACATCCCAGTTAGGCAGGCTGTACTGGTCATATGAGTGTCCCGGAAATTGCCGGGAAAGCCATCATTACTGATGGCTTTGTAATACATTTCAGGACATCAGGAACAAGCGCTTTTGGAGATTCGGAAATTTAACAGACCAAAAAACTGATGATAGTCCTGAAATACTCTTAAAATGTCTCGAGCAGGTATAATTAAGGCACTCATAAAATGTATGTAACAAATTACCTTTTATGGTTGCTGAAACTATAGCTGCCATGTCCATTTCAGCCCATTTCCTATCTG